AGTCAAGAGAAGGGATAGTCAAGAGAAGGGATAGTCAAGAGAAGGGATAGTCAAGAGAAGGGATAGTCAAGAGAAGGGATAGTCAAGAGAAGGGACAGTCAAGAGGAGAAGGATAGGATAGAAGAGAGAGAAAGAGAGAAAAAGGGAGCACACTCACGCTTGCGTCCTGGTCCCCGCATATGAGCTCGGTGGGCTCTCGATAGACCCAGACTTCATCCAGCTGCGGCACGGGGCATCCCAGACGAAACGCTGGATCAACAACTTGGTATGCTCGCCGTACTCGTCAATGACGTCCTGCTTGGGCACGAAACTCTTGATGTCCTCGGTCTGCATCTTGTCGATCATCTGCAGCATCCAGTGGGTGAAGACGTCCATCATGGCCAGGATGCTGCCCTGGCCGATGGGCGAGTACGGGCCATAGAAGGTGAAATAGTTGGGCATCTGAGGGGCAGCGACGCCCAGGTAAGACAGGGCGTCCTGGCGATACAGGTCCTGCAGGTTCTTGCCGTTGGCGATGATGGGGAAGCGCGGCACCCAGGTGGTGTTGAAGCCGGTGGCGAGGATGATAGCGTCGACCTCGACCTCGCGGCCCTGCGGGTCGAGGAAGCCCTTCTCCGTGATCTCGTCCAGCCCGACCTTGCAGTAGGTCGTGACGTTGGGCTGCACCAGCGCCTCGAGGTAGCCGTTGCCCGGGGTGCGGCGCTTGCAGCCGACGGGGAACGTCGTCGGCGTCAGCGCCTCCAGCAGGTCGTCGCGGCCCCGAAGCTTCTGCCGCATCAGCACCGCCGAAAACTCCTGCGCCAGCTTCGTGATCGGCGTATCCTTCAGCACCGCCAGCGGGTCGCTCAGCTGCGCCTCCACCTCCTTCACGTACTTGAGGTAGTACTCCGGGTCCTCGATGAATCGCTTCTTCTGCTCCTCCGTGTAGGTGAAGTTGCCGCCGTCCGGGCCCGCCATGTTCGACCCGTAGCTCGACGTGATCCACGTCCCCGTCCGCACCCACGTGTACAGATGCGACGCCTTGGGCTGCAGCGCCGCCGTCAGTTGTAGCCCACTCGCCCCGGTCCCTACCACCGCGATCCGCTTGCCGTCCAGCTCCAGCCCTTCCGGGTAGTTGGCCGAGTGGACCAGGATGCCTTTGTATTTGTCGATGCCCTTCATTTTGGGCCATTCCCAGTAGCTGGAGGTGGTGTTAGAGAAGGCTGGAGTCGTACAGAGACAGAGACAGAGAGAGACAGAAAGCGGTGATGGACAAACACAAACTTACTTGAAAATCCCCGACGCATTGATCAGAATCTCCGCGCTGTCCTCAAACTCGCTGCCGTCCGCCAGGTTCTTCACCTTGACCGTCCACTTGCCCGTGTCTTCGTCCCACTGCGCATGGTTGACCTGGTGCCGGAGCTTGATGTACTTGCGCAGATCGTACTTATCCGCCACGTGCTGGAAGTACCCCAAGATCTCCTTGGCACCGGAGTAGAACTGCGACCAGACCTTGTGCTCCCACGTGTACTGGTAAGTCACGGACGGGATATCGCAGGCACAGCCACTAGAAGAAGATTTCAGGGGTTAGATGTCTGGACTGGACTGGACTGGACTGGATATGACAGGATCGGACAGGATAGTATCAGACAGGACAGTATCAGACAAGATAGGTCGGACAGGCCAGGCCTTGTCCAGGGCAGCAACTTACGGATAGCGATTCTCCGTCCAGGTGCCCGACACCTCGTCGTTCTTCTCGTAAATCACACACTCAAAGTTCTTCAGCAGATCCTGTTGGAATTTGGCGAAATCCAGGCCCGAGGCGCCCGCTCCGATCACAATCGCCTTGCGCGGCCGCTTGGTGCCATACGGCACTTCCTGGATGGTGTAGCCGTTCTCGTTCGTCGTCGGCCAGCCGTAGACTTTGGGCCGCTCCTCCATCGGGGGCGCCTCGGCGATGCCACTGCTCACGGGGATATCGACGTTTGTCGCCATGGTGACTGGTGACGGGTGACCAATGACCAAGATGGCTGACTCACTGACTCACTCACGCATTCACTCACTGAAGGGGCAGCGGCAGCGGGGTAAGAGGGACAGGATTGACTAGTGTGATGATGATGAGAGTTCAGAGCATCGACAACGATACATACAATAGGATGTCCAAACCCTTCGACGGGATTTCAGATTCAGAGGAGCCCTCGGGATATTTCTACTTCCTTGCTTCTGTTCTTGCCGCGTTCCCTCCCGCGCACTCAAGGCTGTCTTTCCGGGGCAGCAGTAGGGATCCATTGGCCAGCGGGAGGCGCGACGGGGGCGACAGGCCATGCATTCAATGCATCGCATACCAGCCCATCACACCTAGTCCCCAATACAGAGCACTGCCTTCGAACCAAGCGCGGAACCAGCTGCTACGAGTCAGCCGAAGGGGGGTCGTGGCGCTTGTGTGGCCTCCGAAGTCATGCTGATGGTGGTGCTGTACAGGGCGATCGAGGTGCATTGGTGGGATGACTGCCGTCCCAAGAAACTAGAAACTCGACACCCCTCCGTCTGCGTCGGTTCGGGAAAATCACTCCCGCAAACCCCCATCACCTGTCACGGCCTACAGTACGCCTCCAGCATCCGAGAGACACAATGGTGCAGAATCTCCGCACGATTACATACATACTACTAGATATACGATATACACAAAAGTATGGAGTACGTACATACTAGCAGCACTACTACTGTATCGACACACACATACACTTACACTTACTCCGTACACATACACACACGCTGTCTAGTATCTAGACACATCACACATCACTCCCAGATATTCGGATACACGCCCAGTGGTCAGACCACTACCACTGTCTCTCGTCCCTCGACGGGACGGAGGATACTTTTACTTTTGCCTCTCGGTGAACCATCCATCAGCTCTCACGAGACGACACGCTTGCCGCCACAGCCGCTGCTGGGGGACGGATGGCGAGTCGGTGCGAGAATTTTCTGACGATGCTGATGCAAATGCAAATGCAAATGCAAAGACAAAGACAAAGACAAGCCCCTTAGCCCCAAACGGTAGTACGGTAGTGGTAGGTACGAGTGCCGCTGCCCGGGTAAACCATGAAAGCGAGTTTGAGTGCTGCCCACCAGCCAAGGCTACTTACTGTAATTGCTATTCCTACATTCAATGATATGGTCCTTGGGTTTGAGCGTCCTTGGGTTTGAGCGTCCTTGCCTGGTGACAAACGCCTCGGCGGCTGCAGTAGACCAGTTCAAAGACGAGTGCGACTGGGGAGTAAGAGTGGTAGCAGGAAGGGCTATCTGACCATTAATGGTATCACCAAGTAGGTGAGGGTGGGGAGTGGGAGGGTTCATTGTTCAATATCAATATCAATCGGGGCCTGAAGAAGGCTATGGGTATGGCTGGCTAGAGAGTAATAAAGATAATAGATACTAAACAATAGGTAATAGGTAATGGCAAGGCTGGGAATGCCCCATGCCTGACAATATACAGCACACTAAATACTGTACTTCTCCTCTGGTCGTGATGGCCCTTAAATGATGCCACATGCTGGTGAGATGTATGTAACCAGAGACTTTTAGTATCACAAGGGCCAGCAATGCATTATGACAATGGCGGCTTTGCTCGGCGGGATATATTGCACCTTTCTACTATAACACACCATCAGAGCTCCTCGACGGTCCTGATGCAGTGAGTGGGAGGAAAGCAAAACCCTAGGCCTTAGCCGACCAGTGAAGACAGAGACACAGCGGACACTATATTCAAGTAGATAGACACGAACCCGGGTCCCTTGTCCAAGCCAGTGCGCCGAATGGTGCTTGAAGAGCGTTGTTATCTGGATGTTGGATTGCCCATTGCCCACCTGTATATACAATCTTTGTTGGGGGTGGGGGTTAGATAGACCATTTTATTCTGTCAACGGTAGCCTATCTAACTGTATAGGTACCTAGACGTACAGGAGGCAGGAGATGGCTCTGACCCTTTCTCTTAAAATATGGCCATGGCGTTGGGAGGACTTCCCACACCACCAGGGACATTCAGAGGCATACTGGCGATGAAGAAGGAATATCGTCCTTGCTTCTCACATTCCTCACTGAGTTTCTCGAGATTGAAGAATTCGCCTGTCATGCCATGGTCAGCCTCTGAGTTCCAGGATCTGGGCCTGGTATCTGCTCGACATGGAGTACAGAGGCAACCAAGACAGGTAGAAGGGTAGAAGGAGAGGACAGTGACAACCAAGGCTGGTGGAGGCAGAGTACAGTCGCAACCAGGGCGAGATTTGAGATGGTGCCAATCGTGGCTAGAGGCTAGAGGAGAGGATAGATAGAATTAGGATCAGGAATAGAAATGAGACACTTACCGATCGGCATCCCCCATCCACTGAGCAGAACCTCGTGCAGGGCCAGATTCTCCAGTCCGCCCTCCTCCGGCTTCTGCCAGATGGGAAAGCTCTCCAAGCCGGGCTGGTCCCCTCCCACTGCCGCGAATCCCGTATCCCACAGCCAGCGGGCGGTGTGGATGGACGTCTCCAGGCCGATCCACGTGGTCGCCTTTATATGGCTCCAGGCGATCTTCTCGTCGTCGCTCAGCTGGCTGTAGCCCTTTGTGAATCCCGACCGTACCAGCAGGATGTCTCCTTTTTTGAGCGTCACGTTCTGGGCCTTGGCCACCGCCTCGAGGTTCTTGGCCGTGATTTTATGGTTGCTCATATGGTCGTACCCAGGAAGTTGCTGGGCCTCGGCCCATCGACAATAGTCCAGTAGCACACCACGGCCGGCGATGCCGCCATTGTCACACCAGGCTGCATGTGAGGAAGGAAACAATTTAGTCAGACAAACCGCACACTTGCACCCCATGCCGGAGAGGGGCTATGACGAAACTAGGGGCAGCCAAATCCGACTACGTACCATGAATTCCCAGCCTTGGGCCGGCATCTGGGCCAGAGATCTCCTCAACCGTCACGCCCTGGTAGAACAGTCGCTCCTTTTGGAATGCCACGTGGCGGAGCCCATCCCATTGCGAAGAGACCTGCAATAGAAGAGGAACATCAGCCTCCTACCTTTTCACTTGGGTAGTGGTGGTGGTAGTGGGGGTCAGTAGGGAGGTTAGGGGTGTCGTCACACACCTGGGTGTTCAGCTCGATCGAGTCATCATGGTTGGGCCTCGGATATTTGATGATGGTGTGTTTGAGGGCCTGCCTATTGTGCGACGGTCGCTTCAGGTAGTTCAGAGGCAGGTCCAACCCTACGCGTGTGCCGGTTTTGATTTCCTTGGCCGCCTCGGCCACAATCTCGGGCGTCAGCAGGTTCAGCGTGCCCAGTTCGTCATCCTTGCCGTACAAGCCCCAGGCAGAGAAGGGAGGGTCGCCTTCATTGAGAGGGAGTTGGTCAAAGGACGGTCGGGCCATGGTTTGGGTTTGGGTGGTTGGGGGTTTAGTTTGAAGTCGATCAGCCCGTTCAACTCAACACTCAACTCACTTCAATTTGGTGCATGGGTGTGTTAGTCCCGTACAGAGTGCTCTGTACACCAAGGTCAACGAAGCCAAGTTCCCATTTCTACCTGCCTGCGACGGAATTGGCCAATTCCGAACCGGGGCCTGGCTTTGGGGTAAAGCGACCGACTAGGCTTGTGACGGCTAGCAGTCTGTGGGGTACTGACAGCCGCCGAGGTCCACCGAGTACGGAGTGGGAGTACTCTGTACTGTAGCATAGCAATCGACTCAACTCACAACCCCTCGCCGGCTGTTCAATAAATGGCTCCGAGGGCAAAACTGCATTGTCACGAAGGCTCAGGTTGCTATGTGCAAAGTGTGAATCTCCCACACAATACTGCTAGTCTCATGACGCCACTTCCTGCGGTGGAATATCGATCAGTCCTGATGTCAGGGAGGTATCTAGCTATCTACCGAGGTAGCTATCTAGATTTCCGTACGGAGCACAACTCGCAGAGGGTTCTCCATAGGGGCACCCAAGCAACCCTACTACGGCGGAGTGGACGGCGGAAGTCTGGCGGTATACTCACGTAATCAAACGCACGTGATATGATCATAGCACGTGACTCTCCGCCCAGCGCCAAGACAGCCTGTCTAACTTAAAGGAGTCTCTGCCGCGCTGCTTTATCCTTCCCACTTCCTACCATCGAAAGTAATCAAGTCAACGTCGTTCTATCAGCTGAAATTGTAATTGATTGTCCATAGATGCTAATGTTGTCGTTGTCGTTCAACCCACCCAAGACTCGCGGTTCGGGAACATGATCAATCACCCTAACTCAGATGGATCTTCCGGAGCTGCGCCTGGAATGGGAGCTTGGGTTTCCACCTCCACCGGTGCCCGAGTTTTACAAGCATGTAACGCATGGTCAGTCGAGCAGTCCCGTCCCGGCGGGCGACGTTGTCTGTAACGATGTAACTCACCTGGCGCATCGAGTTTGAAATTCGGCGGCGCGAGACCAAGTGCAACGGCGTTCGGCCAACTTGTGGAAACTGCACCTTGCGACGTCTACCCTGCTCCTGGCCTATGTCACACCCGGCTTCTTCTAACGTTGGAGACGGTGTAACTTTCACGCAGGCCTCCGATGGGAACACTTCAGAAAGCGAAGAGGCTCGTCAGAAACGATGACGCCTATCTAGGACCAGGGCCAGGGTTGGCCGCGACCACGCCAAAGGACATCCTTCTGTCGGTCTGCTGCAACGGGCGCTGGACATCTTCTATGCACGGCATTACAGCATAGGGTTCTGTTCTTTCTTGCACGTGTCGTCACTCGACGTCGAAGTCCTCCGCCGTCGATCGCGCTTCTTCACTCACGCCCGACGAGCCGTTCGAGGGACCGAGTCTGGAGACATTGACCTTCCCATATGAGGTGTCGCGACTGGGACTGGGGCCCCTATTGCTCAGACATTCCACTTGCTCAGATAGAAGACGACGCTGGTTAATACGGTTACTGTTGGGAGGAGGTCCAGGTCCATCGGATCTCGAGGAAAGGGGTCTTGGGAGTCTGGGGGTCTTACGATGCCAGAAAGCCAGACTCAAAGGTGCCCACCAAGATGAGACATGTAGACAGCTGCCCAAAGTTTCTGGCTGCAGCTGTACAGGCGGACGCAATGCCGAAGGTCAGCATCATGTAAGGCAGACTGATCTTGGCTGAGCAAACTTTGGTAAAGACGGTCATGATGGCTCCGAAGAGGGCAAACATGACATAGTACAGGGTCAACTGTAAGTTGTACTGGTCTCCCGTCAGGTGCGTATCTTCGGCCAGCCCGGCTGTTCTGGCGTTTCCGAGATTACTGCGATCGAGAAAGCTAGACAGTCGACAAGGTTTGCAACCTAGCCTTCGATTCGATTCGATTGGTCCTCTCGTCCTGGCCTGAGCCTGAGCCTGAGCCTGAGCCTCAGAGCTGCGGGACCTGGCAAAGGAAGGACAAAAGTGCATGGTGTGAATGTGATGATACGGGGACCCAACTCACTTAAAGGTATACATGACAGCCAAGGTAGGCAGGATGATGAAGTCAATCTTGAGTCGAGGCTTGCGCACCGCCTGGGAATCCTATGACTGCACGTTGCCAGCATGACTGACAGCTTCGTTGGAGGTCCATTGGCGGTCACTCCGGACGCCTCATGGGGAGACTTTTCGGAGGTCATGATGATCCAAAAGGGCTTCTGAGGCAGGATATCGGTTGGTTTCTTTTCTTTTCTTTTCTTTTCTTTTTCTTGGGCTGTCCTCTTCTTTCTTTATATTGGGAGGGGTAGCTATTTATTCAAGCTGGCAGTTGAAATGCTCCCAGGAAATCTCCGAGACTCGATGGAAATGCTCGACATGATCCAGAATATGATTTCACAACACCCGGACGATTTGCAGTACGACTCCAACCTCCAATATCTAATCTCCAACCTTTCGGTCGGTCGCCCAGTGCTGACTCGGCTAACTGGGGGTCTTTGCGTTATTGAGGATATATTTTCGGGATTGGGTTAATATACGTGTTATTATTATTCTATTTCACTTCTGGCATGGTATCATGTGAAGGTGAAGGTGACGCAGAAAGTGAAAGTGAAGGCGAGGCTGAAGGTGAATGTTGGACGGCCGCCCTAGCATGGAACGCCTTTGGAGCCGGCAAGATCGCATCGCTTATTGGCATGGAAGGCACCCATCTACTGGGCAACTCACTGGGCACATTCCGGCCAATTGCACAGCTTGGAGACCGCTATCTATCCTTGACGCATACCTGCCACAGCGCGTTTGCCTCGTCCGCAAGCTCCGGGCAGCCGTTGGGCGCGGTACATGACGACAATGGTTCATCAGACCTAGGCAAAGAGCTCGTTCGCGAACTCAACCGCGTTGGGATCCTGGCAGATCTCTCCCACACGACCGATGAGACCACTGGCCAGTTGCCGCCATCTACTATCTGGAAAAAGAGACAAGACCTTCCCTCAACAAGCTGGGGAGGTGGAGGTGTGCAGGTGTACCGGCCCAAGGATGTGAAGCACAGGGCGGAGAAGATGTGACTGCGCCATGATGAGTTGTGATATCGATACAATACAACACAACACTATGAACAAGAGTGCGGCATCCAATAGGGCAGCTTCTACATACTTTCCAGTACAGTATTTGTCGAACAAGGGATGCTCAGCGTTGCTTGGGGATCCCCAAGCATCATATTCCTACAGCTAGCTATACTGTAGGGCTTTCCTGGGTCTTACTCCCCTTAGTGTTCCCCTGATAGAGAGGAAAATCCTATTTATTATCTCGTTGGATCTCTGTAACATAGTCATACATATATCACAAGACAGCAAACTTGCTGATATATTGACTTTAACTGGCTAGATTGCTGTTTTACATCCTGATAGGTACTAGTAGGACTCTACGTAGTAGTTGGGTACATATGACTCGGCTGCGACCAGAATCTCAACCTAATTGTATCAAACTTAGGCATTCCCAGCCTTGCCGTTTAAACCGTTGACAAATTGACCATCAGACGGTCAAGTCAGTTCAGGCCAGGACAGGCAATTACAGATTGACGTCTCTCTTGATGTAAACTCTCTAGCTCCAGCTCCGACAAGAGTGCCTGGACTGATGTACGGATAGGATAGCTGTGAGTTATGCGTAGTCAGCCAGCATATGAGCACTCATTACACGTTATCGAGACATCGACATACATATGAACACTTGTTACATGCTATCGAGACATCGACATACATATGAACACGTATGTATGCTGACTTCATCAAAACAACAGTTCATCGACACCTTCCCAAGTACACATTATGGAGATAACGTATCCATCGGTCCCCGATCAGCAAGCTGACAGTAGTAGCATTCTACGACAGTATATTATGTTGGCCTGGAGGATCGCAATCACAATCACACACACATCCACATGTAACCTCAAGGAACTATGCCGGTGCCGACGGAATGTCTCAGAGCACCCATTAGGGCACCCAAATCGTACGACACCCACCTCGATGCCGATGTGATGACTCTAGTTTCATCACTGCAGTGTCAATACGGTGGTCGGCCGAGAATGACAAATCCAGAACGGAAATATGAAATGGAATTCAGTTTAGTCTCCTTGCCTAGAGGTGTGTTGTTTGTGTATGTGTGTTAGATCGTAGATCCTAATTCCTTAATTCCTGCCAGAGAGAGATTGAGGCTGAGCGGACCACGGATAACTGGACAACAATGAACCACCGAAGTGCTATGTAATGCGGCACCGAGACTGTAGTAGGTTGGTAATCAACCAACAATGAAGCAATAGTGCGGCACCGAGATCTTACTACCATGTCTGGATGGTATGTTGCTTCTTGGCCTGTAGATATTCGTGCCGAAGAGTTGGAGTATGTACGGTACGGAATGTACGGATAGCAAGTTGGTAAGGTAGCTTCTGTCCTGTAGATAGAGTTGGAGTATCATGATGTTGCAACCAGCAAACTGTAGCAAATTGCGGGGGCTTAGGCTGGAGTGTGGGTGTGGGTGTGGGCAAGGGCAGGGCAGGGCAAGGTCCATCCCTAGGATATCCACATCGAGGTCGGATGCGAAGGGAAAAAGGAAATCTGAAATCTGATCACTAGCAAATTCACTGTAACTAACTTCGACCGAAGCGGCGGACGAAAGCCAGCGTCATCACGTACATACTACCTACATACTACGAGTGCATACATATTCACAAGGAGTCCTACACCTAATAGGTACCGAGTCTAATAATAGGTGAGTAGGAAGTCGTACCCCACGATTCGGAAGTCAGGAATCAATTTGATTCCGACCCGAATCCGAATCCATATCCGAGCGGATGACACCTTAAATGCCAGTGGTTGAGGTTGAGCGCACTTACCCTTCTAAGATTGAGACTGAGACTGAGATTACTTGCTGTTCGCTGTATTTACCGGAGTACTCTGCGTTAGAATCTGTGCGTACCGGTACGTAAACATGAGCTGTCATGGGGATGAGCTGAGGCATCGATATGACTGACTACCTAGGTACTTACCTGGTTACCTACAACCTAGACCTAGTTACCTACCTCCTAGTTACCTACCTCCTAGTTACCTACCTCCTAGTCACCTACCTCCTAGTTACCTACCTACCTAGTTACTGTATCCAGGGTGATCGGTGGAGATGCTGTTCTGTCTGATGTCCGTGTTTGCGAGGCCGATGTCCATGTCGTCCACGGCTCCTGCGGCCTCAGCCTCCGAGAGAAGCCATCTATCTGTATGTTCAGGTTCAGGTTCGTGTTGATCAACGTTGACACTTATGCGTGTGATTGTGATTATGCTTATGCTGATTGCTCGATACTGTTCTGAATACGCTTCCTTTCCACTGCGAACCCACCTATAGACTACAGAGTACAGAGTACAAACTACGGACCATAGACTACAAACTATAGACTTCAGACCACAGACCACAGACTACGAAGTGGTAGTATATATAGATTAGCAGCTATGCTGTAGTAACTGGGGGTATAATAGTGATAGTTACAGTGACAGTAGGTAGTATAATAGTGATAGTTATAGTGATAGTAAAAGAAAATGGAATGAAATGGAATAGAACGAAATATAATAGATTAAAACGAAATGAACGAAACGACATAAAACAACACCATTGCGTGTCTGGTACTGTACGTAGTGTGAGACATGATATACCTAGTAGGTAGTAGGTAATCAATCATCCTTACTGGATGCTGTACATAAGTAATGGTCCGGTCTATATATACTAACTAATTATATGTAGGTGGTAGTCATTTCTACTATATGTTGTACGAGCAGTATTTACAGTATATATGTACCAAGCTGGCTCGACCAAGGTCGACGTCACCAACAGTTCAATATAGTCAACATGTGTACACATACAGCCCCAGGCATAAAAGAAAGGCTTCTAAGGCTATAGTCTCCTCAACGCTTGGGGAACTCATAGAGGGTTAGGGTTAGGTTACTTAGACTTGTATCAGGATTAAGGTGTGATGATGTACCTCAGGTGGTGGATATTGTATCTCCGAAATGTTACCTCGCTGACCTTAAGAATCAATGCCGATACCGATACCGATGCCGATGTAATATGATGTGATGTTCCTGACTTGAAATAAAGTCTTTGCTCATGCCAGAAGCAGTTCGCCTGTGAGCAAAAAGGTACGAGCTCAGCCTCAGACAACTAGGAACGCGGAGTAGCAAAGGAGGGCTAAGGCTGGCATGGAAGAAGTTTGGTTGAGCTTTTCAATAGATGGACTAATTAGACAATGACTACAACCTGAACCTGAACCTGAACCTGAACCTGAACCTGAACCTGAACCTGAACCTGAACCTGAACCTGAACCTGAACCTGAACCTGAACCTGAACCTGAATCCCAACCAGGCATCTTGTTCTTTGCTATCGTGCTCGAGTATGTACGGTACATGCTACAGTACCTCTCCAGTGTACGATACAAGGAGCGATAAATGAGTATGAGTATTTGAGTCCTGTTGCATACTTAGTCGGTCAGGTCGACCTGAGGTCTCAAAGACATGACTTCAAGACAATAGACCAAGAGCAGGCACCAGCGGTGGGATATACTAGGGAGACGAACAGGCACCAGCGTGGTATATACTAGCAGGCGAACATGTGAATATTCAAATGCATCATGTACCTCGTTCTATCTCAGATTACCCCTATAGGCGATAGTATCCTAAACCTATATGATATGCTGCATCTCCGGACACAAGACAAGACTCTCGTGGAGAGTGTTCCAAGTACCGCCCCCGAATCCCTGAACGATTCCAGCCAGCGACAGTCCCTGGTCCCTGGTCCCTGGTCCCTGGTCCCTGGTCCATCACCTCATCGCTTGACAGGATGTAGCTTGACATATAGCGGCGGGCTGTCCCAGATGACGATCATATTGTGTGGGAACCAATTCTCGCTCTGTGGCGCCAGCTCCAGGTCAAAGTGCCATAGAAGCTTGGCAAGCACCAGACGCATCTCGGCAAAAGCAAGACTGTAGGGAGAGAGGGTGGTCAGTAAGTGCAGTTCGAAACTGGATCAACAAGACCAACATCCGAGGTGATGGGAGGGGTTCTCAGCCTTGGCTTTGGCTTTGGTTTTGGGCCCTTTGGAATTTGGGGGCTGAACACTCACTTCTTTCCAATGCAGTTCCGTGGACCGAAGGAGAAAGGCTGCGATGCGCTCAGGTCGTCGTCGGCGTAGTCGGGGTCCTTGAGCCAGCGCTCGGGCACGAAGGAGTCGGGATTCTTGTAGTTGCGGAAGCTGCGAGCCATGGGGTACGGCGCCACGCAGACCGAGATCTAGATCAGAGAGGATTGGTTAGTAGTGCATATAGCTTACACGCGTCTATGGTGGACAATTGAGGGAAGTGTGGGTAGGTTTAGGTAAGTCGAGTCTCAACATTGGGGACAATTGAACAAGAGTGGAGGTGAGTTGACAAGAGAAGGGTATTGAGTGCAGAGCAGATGAATGTTTGAAGATCAAGATGCAGATAAGATGCAACAGAAAAAGCAAGAAAAACAAACTCACTCCTCCAGGCAGGAATTTGCCTGCCACGATGGCTCCTTCGTCCGGCACGACACGCGGCATATTAGAGGGCACGGGCGGGTAAAACCTCAGGCCTTCGTTGATGACGGCGTTCAGATAGTCCATGCCGGCGGTGTTACTGATCTTGATATCATCCGAGTCCTTGAAGGTGGAGCGAATCTCGTCGACCAGCAGCTTGTACTTTTCCGGGTTCTGCAGCAGGGTCCAGGTGGTGCCGGTCAGGAAGGTCGAGGTGGTCTCGCTGCCGCCGGGGATCAAGACGTTGACGTTGGAGCGGATCTCGGGCACGGTCAGGGCCTTCTCGGTCTCGTTGTGCTTGAGGATGAAGGACATGAAGTCGGGCCGGTCGGTCTTCATGGCCATGCGTTTGTCGGCCAGGCTCTTGCTGAAGGCCGAGTGCCAGGCGGCCTGCTCGGTCTTCTTCTTGGGGATCATCTTCATCATCAGGCTCTGGAGGCCCGGGATGCGGCGCGCCAGCCCGAGATAGTAGAAGGCCTGGATCGACTCGCCGATGATGTCGATCCACGGGTGGCTCTTGCCGGCCTCCAGGCAGCCAAAGGGCTGGTTGAAGCACAGATCGCCGAACAGGTCGAACAGCGTCCACTGGTACCACTGCTTGATGTTGATGGCCTCGCCCGACGCCGTCACCTCGTGCAGCCGCCGTATCAGCGTGTCGCTGTACTGCTTCATGATCGGCTCCTGCTCTCTCAGCGCCTTGTCCGAGAAGGCGTGGGCGATCATGCGCCGCATCCGCGTGTGGTCGGCATCGCTCGACACGTGCAGACTCGGTGTCTTGTCGTGCTTCTGGTAGTGCAACGGATCCTTCTGGAACTGCGGCTTGCCGGGCCGGGACTGATAGATGTCCTTCCACACCTTGGACGTCGTGTACGATAGTTCGTTGGGGCCGATCCGCACCACCTCGCCGTATTTGTCGTGCAGCTTCGACAGCGTGAACTGAGACCGGCCCGAGATCACTTGGAAACTCCACGTGAGTCGTGTCGCTGCGTTCAGCACGGGGCCGGGATAGTGCCGGAGAGGATGGAACCAGATGTTGTAGAACGCCAGCGAGACATAGTAGGTGATGATCTGGGTTGGTAATTGATTGTTAGAAGACTGGCATCCTGAATGATCGATCACTCTTTCTTCATCACATCGACTCTTCTGCTCGACATCGACACAGCAAGAGAGAAAGAGAGAGAGAGAGATAGATTGAGGGAGGGAGGCTGAATAGAACTTACCAAGCCTGTCAGCGCCACCGGGAAAAGAGCGAGAGCCACTGGAGGCGACAGGTTGAGGTTGTGAAGACCCTCGAGAATCCCCATGGTGCCGACGAGAAGTTCTGATCAGATCAGAGCTGATCACGGCAGGACTTGTGGGAGAGAGTACTGTATTGTACTGTAGAAGTCGACAAGTACAGATGTCGGTCTCTGTCTTGGTTTCAGACTCAGGTTCGTCTTGAGAAGGCCGGATACTATCCGTTGGTATATATTCAGATTGCACATACGATGGGGATGGGGGTTTGACACAATACTAGGGCAGAGTCAAAGCCAGCCACCACCAAGACCAAGACCAGGGCTCCAGGCAGTACGGAGCATCCGTACTCGAATATTGTGATGTGTAATTTATTACCACAACTGGATGCATTGTGTCCTCCTGTCCCGGGTCCAGCTCTCGGGCGGATCGTTGTTTGGGAAGCGAGCCGCGCCACATCGCTGGCCCAAGGCGCCATGGCACCGAACACCCGACACAGACCGTGTAAAGAAGTGGGTCGAGCTCAGGAGGGCGGAGCAGGGGCGGAGGCCTCAGTACTTTCGGATGTTGAAAAACACACAGAAACTTAATCGTGGCTCGGAGTTTGGACTATCATGGAGATACCGTACAGTCTCATCTTTGTGCAGCATGCAGTGTGCACTCGCACTGGCCCCTGAGGTGAGGCCGGCACCCGCACCACCAAATCCCATTCTCATTCCCACTCCTATTGTTCTGCCAATCCCACTGCCACCACTGGCTGACATACGAATGAGCCTCGGTCGGAAGGCCAGCGTCCATGGCGGGTGAGGGGCAGACGACGACACTCTTGCTTGAGCTGTCTTTGAGCCCCATTCATTTCATTGACCGCCGGTTCAGACCACATTGTCACCCCAGAGGGCAGGCATCTTCCTCACCCACTCCCTCTCCGCAGGCTCCTTCTCTGCCTCCCGTATCAACCAGTAGGCCAGTTGAGCCCGGTCCATGGTCGAGATCCACCCATTCTTTGCAACGTAACCGGCCTTGCCGCCCTCGATGGGCAAGCCGGAATCCTTCAGCAGATTGAGCCGGCCCACCGTCCAGTCCACGTCGTCCTGCTGCGACTTGGCCTCCTTGAGGAAGACGTCTTTGATCGCCAGCGTCTCGCGGCGGGCCCCCGGCGCGATGGTCATGATGAAGAAGATGTGGATCTTGGTGAACAGGTCGAAGCCGTCTTCAGGGTCGACGATCGACTGGGTCGACGTCAATAGCAGGTATGGACGCTGGCCCGCCGGCAGCTGGCGCAACTCGCTCAGCAACCATTCGTAGAGTTGGGCAATCTCAGTCCCTGTGTAGCTCAAGCTGTTGGGTCCAAGGACCGAGATGATGGCATCGAACTGCCCAAGGATGGGTGAAAGCTTCTCGCGGAGAGATGTGATTTCGCTCTCGATGAGCTGATCAGGCAAGCGTCAGCGTCAGCGTCAGCGTCAGCTTCAGGGTCGGAGCCATGGTAGGCCTTGTGGTAAAGAAGAGTGCTTGCTTACCGTCAACGAGCCGTCACTGAGGGCCGAGGCGTGGTCTTCTTTCAAGTTGCTCGTGTTTCGCCCATACGCCGTGACCTTGTGGCCTCTTTCGAGTGCCAGCTTCACAATCTGGACGCCGCTCTTTCCAGATCCGCCGAGGATCAGTAGATTCTTTGGCATCTTGTCGTTGGTGGTGGTGGTGTTTCGCTCGATCTAGAGGCTGAAGGAGGAAGACGACGCAATCACGGTTTGGCTGAGAAGACGTAGCCGGCTTCGCATAGCCTGCCTTGAGTGGTTGGAGAGAGACTGCGTGGCGTACTATAACGAGCACAGGATGGAGTTCGGGATGAGTTGAGTTGACTGCTATTTCTAGGCGCACAGATAGCTAGGCTATAGGCAGTGGAAGAGTGAAGTCCAAGATGCTCTGCTACCGGGTCAGCACTACGCTCTCCCGGCCCGGTAGAACAAGGGCGGCTCTCTAACTGCATAGAGCGAGTTCCTGTCCTGAACAGTTGAACTGTATTCCCGTAATTGCTGGCAAGATGGGTAGCCATGAACCGGCCTCGATATCACACTGCTTGCGTTTGCCAACGGGTCGGGATTTGAAGATTCCCGCTCAGCATGTTCGGTCAATAGCAGCCTGCACACCGCGGACAGCCCGAGGGTTGGTGTGTGTCGACTCCCTCATATTGGACGGGATCCTGATCCAAGTTGGATGTTTACTGAGCGTGGATGCCGTGACAGATCCCAGCAGACGCAAACAAGGACAAAGACGTAGCTACAGACGCACACGCAGATACCCATCTTCGACAGTCCGCCTCGAACCATAGCCACCGACCATGGCCACCTCCGCTGCGCCCGTGGTGAAAGTCGACCTGGATTCGTTGACCTCCTTGGCTGGGAAGACCATCATCGTCACCGGGGCGTCCTCTGGCATCGGCCTGGAGGTTGCCGAGTTCTTCTACGACCATGGCGCCAACGTGGTGTTCGTGGGTGGCCGCAAGCGTCCCGACACCTACGTGGACCTGGATTCGCCGCGGGCATTGGTGCGCCAGTGCGACATCAGCTCGTGGGACTCGCAGGTCGAAGTGTTTGAAGCGGCCAAGCAGAAGTTTGGCCGCATCGACATCGTCTGCCTCAATGCTGGGGTGGCTGAGCCGCGCGGCCAGTTCTTCGACGTCAAGGTCGATGAGTCGGGCAGGCCGCTGCCCATTGACACCCGAGTGATCGACGTGGACCTGAAGGGAACCATGTATGGCATCGCTCTCGGCATCCACTACCTCAAGGACAACGGAGGAACGGTCATCATGGTCACCAGTCGGGCAGGCTATGGAGGGAACGAGATCATGCCGGGATACTCGGCGGCAAAAAACGGTCGACCTCCCCTGTCCCTACTCCTACTCCCACTCCTACTCCCACTCCCCTTCCCGTTCCCATTCCCGTTCCTGTTCCTGTTCCTGTTCCTGTTCCCAAACACGAGACGTCCAAGTCGTCACTGACATCCCCCAGGTGCCACGGGCCTCCTGCGCTCTTTAGCTGGCTCGGCCAAAGAGAAGGGCATCGCGCTCGCCATCGTAGCTCCACACATCACCTTCACGCCTGGGCCTTTCCCGCTCGATTACAAACGAGGTCCTGAGGCCTTCGAGAAGATGCGCGCCAAGCTCGAGAAGGTGGGCATCCATCTGAGCTCTTCCCGCACCTGCGCCCTCGCCTGCGCCTACATTGTCCAGGGAGGGCTGGACCAGGCCGGGGCTGGATTGCTGGTTGAGAACGACGAGATCTACAACATCGAGCAGGCACTCAAAGACAGCACGCCCGAATGGTTCAAGGTGAAGGGAGACACAAAAGCCGCACGAGAGGAATATGCCAAGAACATGGAGGCGTCCGGCCGGGCCTGAGAGCCTGAGAGCATGAAACCTGAGCCTGCCTGGTACCTAGGACAAAGACACATTCCCATAGATGACTCTAACATGTTGTGTGACTTTTGACGCGGTACCTGGTCTGGTGCAGCATGGTTCAAGACACAATGCAGGATTCCGCACACAAAGGGACCGTTCTAGTATCTAAATTTATAAACCGTACTAGTATGGCCCCTGCTCCTGTGCCCTCATCCAATATTCTTTCCTTCTCTTTCTCTCCTTCTGTCTTTCTCTTTCAACACTGCACCTCCTAGGCCAATGTGAGTCGGTAGGCTCCAAAGGCTGCCAGAAGACTGAGGATGACGATGAGGTACACGCTAAGGCCTGAGCTGTCAGACTGAGACCTAGTCGCGCTAGTGGTGGCGGCTGGCTTGACAGAGCTGGGTGCTGCCTGTAAGAGATTCATTTTATCAGTACTGTCTGTCTGTACCACCAGCAAGCAACCTTCGGGGAAAGTTGGGATCACACCTTTTTGTCCAAACTGCCAATGACTAGTGTCTCTAGGAGCTGCCGGGCCTCGGGGCTGTGGCCGACATCCTCGAAGGCATCTGAGGCGTCCTTTCCCCCTTGATCCACGAGAACCTCCTCGCCGCCGCTACAGAAGCAGTCAGTCAGTCACTACTGTGCGACCGAGTTTGAATGAGAACGAGAAGGAAGGAGAAATGGGAACGGGAAAGGGCAAGGAGACGGGGTGACGGACGGGTGCTCATCCACAAATTTGCTGAGATCCAACACCTTGCCGTGGATGATGACCCAGAGGTCGTGTCTCCCCGTGTGGGCTTCCACGTCGGCGTATGTCAGCTTGCGAGACATGATGTGATGGCGATGACTCGGGTGGATCTGAACTTGAACGAGGACGCTCGCTTCTGGCACTGGGCACAGTGGGTGAGTCTCGCAACGCAAGTTGACGAGGTCAGAAACACAAGAGTATGTGCAAGAGTACGGACGGAGTATACAAGTATGGAGATTGTATGGGCTGGGCTGGCTGGGCTGTGAGGAAGCCCAACCCCAGGTGAACGGAGAGCTCTACATGTATTGTATGAACAAGTTGACGTCGGCGCTTTTCTTGCAGATGGCTTCCAGATCGCTGCCCAGTAGTACCCGGACCGAAAGCTCTCCAGGGGTGGCATCAACTGTGGCCTCCGTGGCAGGCAGACTACCATTCTACCGTGCCCACCAAGGACCAAGGACGTTGAGCTTGACCTCGGGCCACGCCGGTGCATAGTCCACCGTCCACCGTCCACCGGATGTGTGGTTTATCAATCACGAGCTTGTTACTTGCTCTTTGCTACAGGCTTGGCTGCGACTCGGATACATCCCCAGTGCCGGCCGGTAGACAGACAAGAGAGAGATCCGCAGTCAGGGTTGGGTGACACACGCTTCTTTCTGCCATATCTCCCTCACCACTGTACTGCTGCCCGCTGATTTTCTACGTGTGATTTTGGTCTCTATGGAAACTGGTGCTCGACCTCTTGGAATCGAGGCCATGAACTGGAATCTTTGCCCAGATGGTTGGCAACCAGCTCGATCACGCCCTGGACGGCGATCGCGTCCTGCGCGCCGACGCCAATGCGACGGGTTCCTCCCAGATGAAAGCGAGTGGTGTTGATGGCGCCTTGCCCCATGACGCTGGCCAATATCACCAGCTCGTTCTCGATCGGGCCCAGCACCGACAGATCGGCCAGGTACAAGCCGTACACGGCGAAGTCGACCGTCCATGCTAGAGAGACAGACAAAGTCAGTCAGCCGCCGGCACCGCTACGCAACGCAACGCACCGCGCCGCAACGCCAGTCGAGCTTGAGCTTCAGCTTCCTTCGGGGTGGGCTTGACTCACAGAAATCGGGATTGGACTCGTACGACTTATAGATGCCGGCGATGACCTCTTGTCCAAACACCTGCTTCCACCAGTCCTGAGTGCGCTGGATGGCCTTCTCCGGCTCCCGTGCATATTCTGAGCGGTCCCAGTCCTGAGCCGCATCTTTGGGATCCTCGACTTTGAGCAGCGAGAACAGGCCGTCACTGGCGCGAGGCATGCCGACTAGCGTCCAGGCCTTGATGACGACGGCTCGCAGCCGGCGCGAGACATTCTGCCGACTCTCCAGCGTCGACTCAGCGCCTAGGTCGTTCAAGACGAATTGGTACAGCTCGCCCAGGTGTGCCCCCCCATCGGCGGTGATGAGCGTGGCAGCCTACACGATAGAAGAGTCGGTGTGAGCAGACACGGCAGGAGCTGCCTGGATTGAAGTGGGCTGGATTGGGCTGGACTCACTACCAGGATATACCAGGCCCCGCTGGGCAGAGTTTCAGGGGTTGCATCTCGTGCTCTTTGGAACAGAGCCTGGTAAGACGTGGTCGAAGAGGCCATTACTGTCGCTCGTCTTAGAGTTCCTTTTGCAGCAGCAGAACTCTCTCTTTCTCTCCACCCTCTGGATGCTGAGGCCTGCTGGGACTCGATGGCTCAGCGCCATATACCTGAACCCTATCCCGAGGGTAACCTCGTAATTCCGACACTGCTCGTCACATGCTGGCATTCCGTTCAGCTACAGTCGGGTCGGAACTGCACCAGGGAGGGCCGTTCCAACCAAGACCTTGCTTGGGCGGGGATGGTCTCGGATCGGAGGTCAATTGATTCCAGCTTCCATCTCCAGGGCTGCCCTGGGCGGACTAGCAGGCTAGTTCAGGGACGCAGCACCAATCAGCCGCCATCATTGCCAATCATCCGTGGCCCGCGTTGGAGACTTGGTCACCCCGGCTCCCCCCCCGGGTTTCCTTGCTTCGTCTTCTCCATTCCCCAGCCTTCCCCGCGCGAGTCAAGGCTGGAATTCTGACGGAAAAGCCTCTGGAACGGGCATGACCACCGATCACAATCTCCAAGCTAGCCCCAGACCAACACGGCCGCAGGGGTCAGCACCGCACCATTGCAATCCACGTCCTCTAGCACGATGCACAATTCCAGAAACTGAGAGCACAAAAAGCATAATGGCGCAGCACCTCAGCCAACGCGGGGACGCCCCAGCTTCGTGCACGGGCCTCCTCAACCGCCTCGCATTCACCCAATCGTCCTCTTCGATGATATATGTAATCATCTATACGGCATTGACGAAGACGCGGTTCATGAAACTCGGTACCCCCCATTTGGCGACTGCAGAAATTTGCGCTCCTTGGAAACATCTCATTTCTCTCACCCCCCGACCTTCTTTCACCCTCACCTCCTTCCCCTGGTCTGCGACTCACCCCCTTTCTTGCTGGTCGAAGGCCCTTTTCCACGGCCTGCATGCATTGCGAGACAACGAGCAGAAATGACGGAAAGTGAGGCCCCCGTAGTCAAGCGAAAGCGCATCGCCACGGTAAGACTCTTTGAAACGAGCGACAGCAGGCACGCCTCGTGCCCCGGGAGAACTCGTTGGCTGACTTTGGGACCACGCGCGACACCAGGCCTGCCGCACATGCCAAAAGAAAAAAATCAAATGCGACGGCAACAAGCCGTGCAATTACTGCATGACCCACGACGTCGAGTGCATCTTCCCACAGCTGCGCCAGCGCGGAGGCTCTCGCCGAGGGTACGCTTCTCAACCTCCTCTCCCCGCAGACTCAGACTTCCGCTGACCACAGATGCACAGCGCAAAGTACATGGATACCCTGGAGAATCGTCTCACCACAATGGAGTCGCTGCTCAACAGCTCGGGCTTTTTAGCAGACAAGGACGGTCGCCATTCAGCACCGGGAGGATCGATGGAGACCACGATGCCGCCCATTCCCAGCGTGTCCAGTGGATCCAACACGATGCCCCCGGCCATGACTTCGCCGGACTCCATCGGCCACGACTTGCCCACGCTCGAAGACTCGGCCTCACAGCACAGCTTTCACCCCTCGCCGGGGAGCAGCGAGAGGAGAACGGTGATGGACCGTGATATGACGGGAGACGATATCACCATGTCACGATCGGGGCCCAAGGACATGGGCGATTCGGTTGACCCCAGTCTCTCACATCCACCCAGCAGGTCGGGCCGCATTGGGTCGGCGGCCGGGTTCTCCATCTTTTCGCCCAAGGGCGTGCAATGGGTGATCGAACGGACAGGGAACAAGACATTCAAGGACGCGATCGTGGCCGCGGCCCAGGACGAGCATACCATGAACCACTGGACATCCGACACCTTCAACTGCGTCTTCACCCGGCGCATCTTCCGGCAGCTGCCCCCGAGGGAAGAGACCATCTCGTTGGTGGAACGGTACTTCAAGGACTTCAACAGCGTCTGCCCCTTGTTCTCGCAGCCCGCGTTCATGGCGTTGGTGGAACGACAGTACACGGCCACCCCGTGCGACAGTGTGGGCTGGTGGGCCAGCCTGAACATTGTGCTAGCCATCATCGTCATGCTCCAGGCGCTCAACAATGCACCGCCCGCCATGATGGAGAGATCGCGCGACTACTTCCGCAATGCCCTGGCCGTGCTCACCGAGCTGACCATCCGAAGCACCGATCTCCTCGGCGTGCAGGCCTTGCTAGCCATGGCCCTGCTCATGCAAGGCACGCCCGACCCGCGACCGGTGGCGTTCTTTGTCGCGTCCGCCATGAGGCTCTCGCATACCCTCGGCCTGCACAAGAGGGAATCGCTCTATGGCCTTGACCCCCTCGAAGCCGAACAACGGAAACGCATCTTCTGGATCGCCTACCGCATCGACAAGGACATGTGTATCCGCTCCGGCCTGCCGTTGATCCAAGACGAAGATGACATGAGCATGGACCTCCCGAGCGAGAACCCGCCCGACGACCTGGGCATCGTGACCCTCCCGGACGGCCAGGGGCGGCTCAACGTCTTCCGGGCCATGGCCGAAGTCGCCACCATCCAAGCCCGCATTCACAAGCGGCTGTACTCAGCCAACGTGGCCAATCAATCGGACGAAGAGCTGATGGCCACCATCACCGAGCTCGACCGGCAACTGGAGGAGTGGAAAGAAAGCGTGCCGGTCGATCTGGACCAGCCGGACTTCGAGATCCGCACTGCCTATACTCCCCATGGCCTCCACCTGATCGTCCTGCACTTTTCCTACTACAACTGCCTCCACACCATCCATCGCACCTCCATCCAACACAGCTACTGGACGGGCCGCCACAACAGCTTCGACGCTGCCCCGCTGAGTCCTCAAGTCTTCCAGTCCGCCGCGCAATGTAGCTTTTCCGCCCGAGCCTCCATCCGCATGTTGAAGTATATTCCCGTACAAGACATGGGCTTCGTCTGGTATGGTTCCTTGACTTCTTCTTGACTTGACTCGGTGGATGAGTTAAACCGATACATCCATCGTTGTTTGTCCCAATCAAACCAAATGAGATACTAACATGTTTGTCCTAGGCGAGTGCTGTACTTCCCCGTGAGCGCATTCATCACGCTCTTCGAGAGCATCCTCCGTACCCCGACCGACTCTCGATCCCGCTCCGACCTGCGCCTGATGCGCTCCCTCGTCGACTTCCTCTCCAAGCTGCGGCGGGAGGACAGCATGGAGCTGAACCGCATCTTCCGGGTGTGCTCTGAGTTCGAGCGGACTGCCCGAGAGGTGGTAGAAAGAACCGAGAAGGCCGGCCAGCACATGCACGACCGAGCACGGTCCATGCAAGATGTCACCACAGACAGGCAGCAGTTCTCGAACGGCCACAACACCGTCCCCTTGACACCGCTGTCAGCAACCGTGACGGGGGATCTGGGATATCCGTCGCCGTCATTGTACAGCCGCGCTGCAAACCAGGTGAGAACGAAGTTCCCTTTCCGTCCTGGCCTTTCTCTTTCTCTGCCCTTCCCCTCCTGGCCTTTCCTCTGGTCCGTCTTGAGCTAATAGCTTTGTCTTTGTGAGTTGCAGGCCTTCCCATTAGGACTCGACGATTCTCTCAATCAAACCCAGTTTTCACAACGACTCCCCGGCTTCATGGCCGAAATCCAACCCATGTTTCCCGATGGTCTGACCATGCCCTGGAATGGCAATATGTTCCACGATCCTTTCGGGCCAGGGCCTTTCAGCGCCAACTCCTACGGTCTCGAAGCCACCCTGGAGGAATGATGTGGGCAGGGGAGGCAAAACAAAACCCGAAGCGGAGACTGAGACCACCGTGGTCTTGTCTCGCTATGTGTGCTGGCGGCATCATTGTATTTGTCTATGCGTATAGCCGGGCATCTTGACCTTCAGCATTTATGAACTGGAGCCAGCGGAAGGAAGGGCCAGCGGAAAGATAGGCCAAATCCGGGCGAGGGACTGTCCCGGAGCCATTCGAGTTCGGGCGATGACGAAGATGCTATGAATTGACTTGATTGATGTCGGCGTCGTGTTTGGGAAGCTGAACTGAACTGAACTGCACTGCACTGCACTGCACTGCACTGGGAGGCACTTGTGATTGATTGAGGATTGAGAACCTCTTGATCGAGGATAGTACATCTGTACAAAACTGAAGCGAGAGATTTGAGACGCCGGAGCAGAAGTGCTGACGGCCGACGAGAATATATTAGATTTCAGCCATCGTGTCGGTACTGTACGAAGTACTCTGTATATACTGTAGTATGTGGTAGGTGGTAGGTAGGTATTGTAGAGAGGCAGATCATGTGCGATGGCTATCACATGCACGCACCTAGCACGTAGAGAGATTGACGTAACGGCATCAGTACCGTACCGTAGAGCACTAATATCACGTGATGCCTTGAGCCGGCACATCCTACGGAGGAGTATATGGCACTCAGCACCCAGAGCAGAGCGGAGTAGGGAGCGGTGTTCATCAATCATGCTAAGAGCGCGTCCGGCATCACAAGCCGCCATTCCGCAGAGGAGAGGAGAGAAGAGGAGAGAAGATGAGGGGACAGGAGAGGAGAAGATAAGAGAGGAGAGAACAGCAGCGGCGAGAGGACCTTCGAATCTGAAACCAAGACAAGAGCGGAGTTGAACATGATTTAAATCTTTCTATGCGAAAAACAACATGAATCCTAACCAAGCCATCTAATACTCAGAGTGAGACTGGATCCCATGCAAGCCATCTGATCCTGATACTGAGACTAAGACAGAGACTGAGCTGTGAATCTCTAAGAGTCGGATCTCGGACGTACGTAGCCTTGGTGGACCACATCAATCTTCTTGCGCCGAAGGAAGTACGGATACATAGGTAGGTAGGTAGGTAGGTAGGTACCAGGTACGTATATACCGAGAGACAAGTACCTAATGAGGTAATTACAGTGTAGTAATAGTAGTAGAGGTCAGCGACTAACATCACAGCCATCAGCCTCCTTGTCAGCTAGCTGTCCGGTCAGGAGGCAATGAAGTATTCAGTATTTAGTATTTAATATATATGTCATATATTCATCCCCCTGATTCCAACTCCACCCGGTCCAGGCACATCGCATCACACCGCACCTTATCTCAAGCAACGCAACGCAACAAGAGGAAAGGAATGGAAAGGAAACGGAAGGGAATGAAACTTGTTGGGTCTTTCTGGCTTTTCTCGTTGGAACACGGGGTGGTGGCGTCTTGTCTCATTCTCATTCTTCACTCTTGGGCTTTCTCGCTAGGGAGGCGTCTCGTCTCGTTGGCGTCCTTGTCCGGTCCGGTCCAGTCTGGCCTCTCAATAAAACTTCTTGATCTTGGGCTTGTCGTCGGCGGTGGACTCTGGATTTTGGACGGTGGTTAGCTTGACCATGACTAGGAAGGGAAGCGAAGGAAGGGAAGGAAGGCAAAGGGAACTCCCTAGGAAGGCAAGGGGAACTCTCTAGGAAGGGAAGGCAAACTCACCTGGATCAACCTTCGGACCCAGCGGTGCGACCTCCTCACTCGCCGCGACCTTGGTGCTCTCCGGGGCGTGGGGATCCAAGGCGGCATTGGGCACGGGCTTGCCGTCGGCCTCGACCTCCTCCAGAGCGGCATGCTGCTTCTGGGCGAGCTGGTCGGCGCCGTTGATCTGGCCGAGCCACTTCTCCTCGGAGCCCGGCACCGACAACGCGGGCGGCGTATAGTCCTTGGTTGGCACGGGCAGCACCTTGGTCACGTCCGTGTAGTCCATGTAGTTGGTGGTGTCGCCGACGCCGGTCAGCTCGGCCACGGTGTTTCCGTTACCGATCCACGCCAGGCTGTCGTCCTCGGGAAGCCACGACGTGTACTCGTAGTCTTCGAACCGTGGGTGTTTCCATGCAATGTGGCCGTGCATCGCGGACCCGGGCCACATGGTGATGGTGCGGCCGTCGGGCTTGTTGCGTTTGAACCAAGTCACGCACTGGGGTTCGTCAGTCTGGTATTCTGGGTTTGGGAGTCTGGATTCGACAGGACAGGGTAGGTGGGACGGGAGAGGATGGGCAGGACGGAAGAGCATGGGCAGAATGGTAGAGGATAGGCTGGACGGGAAGGATAGGCGGGATGGAAGAACCACTCGATAGAACAGAACGTAAACTTACATGATCCGTCATGACCGTCTTGCTCATGTGGCGATCGACGTGCTTGACCCAGTTGTAGACGGCTTGTGGCCTGGTGGAGTTGGAAAGAGTCAGTCAGATCTCAATGCTTGAGGCGTCCACAAGACCGCCCAAGACCGCCCAAGGCTGCGATTGCACTTACTTGACCACCATGGACTTGATATACTCTCTCTGCAGTTTCAACACGCACTTGATGATATAGTGGGCGGCGGACTCGAAGGTGTGCACGATGGAGCCGGCGAAGGGGGCGGTGTTGGGCCCAAACATCAGGAACAGGTTGGGCATCTGCTCGGGCTGCACGCCAAAGTAGGCCACTGGATCGGGATCCCACACTTGGGAGAGAGGTTTCTCGTTGCGGCCGATGAAGGGGGTTCCGCTGCTGTCGAGGCGACTGTGGTGATGAGATTGTCAGTATCAAGTGGTGATAGGGGAGACCCAGTGTCAAGTGGTGATGGTGACGGTGATAGGAAAGACGACCAAAACGACGAGGGTGTATCAACTCACGTATCAAATCCAGTAGCACAAATAATGGCATCGTAGTGTCGTTCGACGCCGTCTTCGTCGATGATGCCGTTTTCCGTAAACTGCTTGACATCCTTGGGGATGATGTTGGCATTTTCCTCCTGCATGCACTCCAGCCACATCTGGCCCATGATCAGTCGTCGACACCCCGGCGCGTAGTTGGGTCGCAGCACGTCGTACAGCCAGGGCTTGGGCTTGGTGGTTTCGCGCAGGTTGTGGTCGAGGAACTGGGTGAATTGCTTCTGGGCCTCCGAGTCCTTGAAGAAGATGCGCTGCACATTGTTGCAGTACGCCTCCTGCTTCTTGCGGAACTCGAGATACTGCTCCGGGTTCTCGGTGAAGCGCTTGCGCTCTTCCAGGGCATGGTCGACTAGTCAAGTCACACGGGTCAGCATCAGCATATCTCTTGGGGAACACCGTGGCCGTAGCTTCTCTCTCTCTCTCTCTCTCTCGATGTCGGTGTCGGGGTCAGTGTCAGGGTGGGAGTCCTCTTACAGTTATTCTGGGCTCCTCGTTCAATCAATTCCTCCGTGTTGGTGCCGCCACCCGGGGGCACCCAGACCTTGCCGCGCACGTAGTGGTCGAGCTGCTTCACGATCGGCTGGATGGCCGGCGTGATCTGGACGCCGGTCGAGCCGTAGCCGAGCACGGCGATCGTCTTGCCTGTCGGGTCGAAGTTGTCGTCCCAGTTGGCCGTGTGTAGCATGGTGCCCTTGAACTTCTCGCGCCCGGGCACGTCGGGCCAGCGCCAGTCGTTGACGAACCCGGTGGCCTTGATCAGCACTTCGGCCCGGTCGGTGATGGTCTGAGGATAAAAGAAATGAGCATGAGCACAAGCACAAGCACGAGCTTCCACTTCAGCTTCACAAGAGGCGTGGTGGGTTGAATTGGGTCGGGTGGCACTCACCTTTCCATCCTCTAGTCGCTGCAGAGTGACTTCCCATTGCCCGTCGTCCTCGATCCAGCGGGCACTGATGAACCGGTGGCGGAACTTGACGTTCTTGTACACCTCGTATTTCTTGGCCACCGTCTTCAGATACTCCTCGAATTCGGCTCCGGGCGGGTAGAAGCGCGTCCAGTTGGGGTTGCTGGCAAAGCTGTACTGATACACATGAGGGGTGAGATCTGAGAAACAGGGGGTGGTCAGCTGGTCACTCTTCTTCATCAAGCATCAAGCAGCCGTGCTCTCCTGCTTTTTTGTTCTTTCTTTCTTTCGGCTTGGCTTTGAGCAAACACTAAACACGGAACTTCCACTTACCAGGACGGAGGCCAGGGTAGTGATTCTCGAACCAAGTCCCGCCGACCTCGGCGTTCTTCTCGTAAATGGTCAATTCGAGATTAGGAATATATTGAGGGAAGAGAGAGCCGACGGCGATGCCAGACATGCCGGCGCCGATGCAGATGACCTTGATCGGGCGCCAGTCGTCGATGCATCGCTGGTCCGGATGCGGGGGGACACGGGGCTCTGAGACCGATCCCATGGTTCTGATGTCGACGTCGACGTCGACGTTGACCTTGGAGTTGACGGGGACGAGGACAGGGGATGTTGACACTGGCCTAAAGTCAAGGCTTGGTCAAGACAAGACAGGACAGGAGCAACTCGTATGGTGTCGATGTCAGAAAAGGAATCCAGGAGCGTGCGTCTGGTCCGTCGTGAATTCAGGGTCTACTTGTATGGTCCCTCGCGGGCCTAAGTATACTAAGTATACGCCAGCCTTGTTGCCTCTTTGGGGCGATTCCCACAGCATGACCTGTGCATATTTGCTTTGTGCACAATGCCCGCCCTGCGTGTAGGGTTGCGGGTTGCAACCCAGCCAGAGCCAAACCCCGAAGCCATGTCGGGACCTGGTGGATGAAGCATCCAGACTGTTGCGTGCCACCGTTCGGACAAGTTGAGACGCGTCTCGGAAACAGAACAGCCTCAAGTTCGGATGTCGGGTCTGGACATCCCGCTCGCGTCCTCAGCCCCTTACGGAGTAGAACCTTACGGAGTAGACCTGACTGCAGCCTAAGGAGCATAAGCCCCTCCACCCCTCCACCCCCCACCCGTCGCCGGTGCCTCGGCCAACGTTGAACCTGAACGTCCATGTCTATGACCCATGATGATCGCAAGACCGTCAGGAGATGGGTTTCGAGTGCCAGGCGGCCGGCCATGTGGGATTCAGGTGACTTGGATCGCGCCATCCTGGCTGCCGCCACGCGAATCTCCTGACAGACACTCGGCCGACAGTCACCATTCCAATTCAGGGATATCAACAAGTCTGTTCCCAGGTGCCAGCTCCCCCAGAGAAACCCTGACCCCTCATTATTTTCCCCGTGGGCACCCTGTACACAGGACAGTACCAGTACTCTGTAAGCTAAGCAGTACTCCTTGTCATCGATATTCCTTCCCCCGGCCAGTCTCGCGAGTGATCCCATATTCCATCGGAAACGGAAAAAGAAAAAGAAAAAATGTCGGGCTCACAAGTCCTGAAGAAGGTCTTGTTCATTGGGGTAGGCTGATCCCATCCACTCCAATCCACTCCAGCAACGATACAAACACACGCACGCACACACACACACACACACACAGACAGACACAGACACAGGTCTCGTGATCGTGTCCGTGTTCGTTACTTCACAAAATAATCGGAGTCGCATGTAATTAACCAGCATGCACTGATGTAGGCCGGTGGGAATATCGGCGGGCCCATTTTCCGATCGCTCGAGAAGGCCGGATTCGACCTGACGGTGTTGAGTCGGCCAGACTCGAAGAACACGTTCGGCCCCAATGTCAAGGTGGTGAAGAAATTGTACGACGACCCGTCTCTCTCCGAGGCCTTCGAGGGGCAAGACGCCGTGGTGTCGTTTGTGTCGGTGGCGGCGTTGCTGGACCAGATCAAGCTCATCGACGTGGCCGCCAAAGCCGGCGTGAAGAGGTTCATCCCTAGTGAACTGGGCTCCAATACCTTGAACCCCAAGGCTCAGGAGCTGGTCTTCTTTTATAAGCAGAAGCAGACGGTGCTGGAGCATCTGGAAGCCACGGCCAAGAAGAATCCAGGCTTTAGCTGGACTGGACTGGCCACCGGTCCTGTCTTTGACTGGGTACGTCGGCCCCCCTTGATCCCTTTTCAGTTCTCATAGGTGTGGGTGGTGGTGGTGGTGGTGGTGATGGTGCCAGCTTCTTGAAAGAATCGGCTCTGTACTTGTGGGTGGTGTTGACACATGTTCTCTCTCATCCAGGGCCTCCAAGTTGGCTTTCTGGGCTTCAACCTGAAAACCCACACCGCGCTGATCTACGACGACGGCAACGTCCGGATTTCCTACACCAATCTCGACACCATCGGAGAAGCCGTGGGTGCGATTCTGCGCAAGCCCGCCGAAACCGCGAACAAGTATCTCTCCGTGTCGTCCTTCACGCTGTCACTGAACGACATCCTCGCGTCGCTGGAAGCCGCCACCGAGACCAAGTGGACCGTCAACCACGCGAGCACGGCCGACGCCGAGCGAGAGGGCAAAGAGAAGCTGGCCAAAGGCGACTTCACCGGCGTCCGCACCTTGCTGGCCCGCCTCATGTATGGAGGCGACACGGGGGCAAACTTTGAGAAGGAGCCGACCTTTGCTAACCAGCTACTCGAGCTGCCGCAGGAAAGCCTCGATGCCACGGTCAAGGCGATTGTGGCCGGGCAAAAGTGAAGGAAGGATACGAGGGCAATAGAGTCGTCCCTACACCCTATATAGCAATAGCTTGGTGTTGGGAAAATCCAACCTATCTACCCAATAAAACTCACTCAATATGCCATATGATATCTCTCTCTCACCCTCTCTCACTCTCTCTCACACACAAGCAAGGTATATGAATATACTGGCCACCTGCTAATAATGCCTCTGTTCTTCTCTCGACTTCTTCTTTCTCTGCCCGCTGTCCCCTGCAGGAGATGTGATTGCTACCAAGTATTGCGCCATGGCAGCATACCGAGTACTAGGACGATGACGGGATTCAGGGGCACAATATGTAGGGAAAATCCAAAGCTACCACAGGACCTATGACCTATATATGTTCGCATGAAGCCATCAGGAGACAGGATACACGATACATGATAAGTAGTACTGCATATATCTGACGGGCATAGCTTACTTCCTAAACTAGCTGACTGCATCTCTCATGTCTCATGGCACCAAAAGCACGACCTTTCCGCAGGCGGCGTTGTCCTCCATGCGTTGGTGAGCGGCGCCGACGTCCTTGAGGTCGAAGGTACTGTCGAGGAAGATCTCCTTCTTGTACTTGCCGTCGCGGACCTTCTCGACGGTTTCGGCCAGGACGCGGGCGGCGTGGTCGTAGTCCTCGTCGAGGGTGGTGAAGGTGGTGAGCTTGCGCATGGCGGTGACGATGCCGGCGCCCACGGGCATCTGCCACACCTTGCCCAGGATGCCGCACTTGACGACGGTGCCGCCGCGCTTGGTGACGGGCATGGAGATGGGGCCGAGGGCCTCGAGCCCGACGAGCTCGAGCACCGTGTTGACGCCCTTGGCCGCGATGGCCTGGACGACCTTGGGGTCGCGCAGCTCCTCCTCCAGCACCACCCAGTCGGCCCCGGCGTCCTTCAGCTTCTGCACCTTGGACGCCTGCCGCGTGCTGGCGATCACGTAGCAGCCCTGGTCCTTGGCCACCAACACGCCCCAGAGCCCGACGCTGCTGGTCGCCCCGTGCACAAACACCACGTCGTGCGGCTTCGTCTCCGCCGCCAGGAAGATGGCCCCGTACGCCGTCCACAGGCCCATGGGGATCGCCCCCAGCGCATCCCACCCGACCTCTGCTGCCGCCGGCCCCAGCTTCCACAGCCGTCGGTGGTGCGCGATCGTGTACTCGGCGTACGACCCGTCGTACGCCTTGCCGCCGCCGTACGCCCACCCGGCCACGCGATCGCCCTCCGCGAACCCCGTCTCCGCCCCGGCCTCCACCACCTCGCCCACGAATTCTTCGCCGATGATGGGCGGGCAGTCGTTGTGGAATTCGCTCTTGAATATCCCAAACTCCACCGGCGACACCGGCTCCGCGTTGCGCGCTCGCAGTTCCGCTCGGTTCAGCCCGACCGCTCGAATCCGGACCAGGCAGAACTTGGAGTTGGGGAGCGACGGTCGAGGGTAGTCCGTCCGGTACGTGAAGCATGCCGCTGGCGGCGTCGACTTGGGCGATGTGAGCGTCACCGCCCGCATCGTGCCCTTGGGCACATTGTCCCAGCTCGGCATGGTGGCAGTGGAAGTGGCAGTGGCAAGCCTTTGACTTTCTGGACCGGCTTAGGCACCAAGTATATATGAGTAGGTAAACAAGGGTTGGGGTTGGGTTGGGTTTGACCAGACTGGCACAGAGGGCCTTTCAATTAGTTATCTTTATCTAGAACATCTGTATATGTACAGTCAGAGTATGTCATATTATCCCCAGACACATAGACATACCTGGGGCACTTTGTCTCGGATCCCGCAACTCGGAAACGATGCCTGCCGGACCGGGTACTTGAACATATGGAACTATTCCCCAATGATAATTACAGTAGATATCCGGTACTCCTGCTGTTCTCTCGGAGTGTTAGCCGTTGTGTTTGCTGGCACTCTACGATGCATAGGACATTGTGGAGGGCTTAACGCCGGTTCTCCCCCCTCCTCCTCAGTTGAGGGTATGGGATCATTGGCATTGGTCTTCAGGAAGCCTCGATATACAGCCTAGACATTATGGGGCATATTGGCTTGGGACCAGATCGCAATACGTGCCCGTGGCCGTAGTGCTCAAAGCACTGCAGGCGGACGTTGGACAGAAAGAGCATCTACATATAATATATGTATATGTGTGCATATATATATAAGGCAATGATGGATACCTGGACACTCTTGTCCTCAGCACTCTATAGAGCATCTCGTACAGGAGTCCATGGCCTCATTCCGGTCCCCCATTCCTCAACCGTCCCACGAGTACTCGGCGTTGGGGTCCAAGCCGTTCTGGGCAAACTCGACCAGGACCTTTTCAAAGTTTGGGAACGAGGTGACGAAGAACTTGTCCTCCCGGACGCCCTGCAAGAGCGCCTTGGCCGCGACCTCAGGCTTGACCGCCTGGGCCAGGAAGAACTTGCGCAGGGCGGCCTCGAACTCCTTGCTGGCGCTCCCGTGCGGCTTCTCCGAGGCGCCGGTCCACACGGCGCCGGGGTAGAGCACGCTGACGCCGATGTTGTGCTTCCGCAGCGTGGCGGCCAGGCTCTGGCTGAAGGAGATGTCGGCGGCCTTGGTCATGTTGTAGGGGATACCGTTGACGGCAAAGGCCGCGGGCGGGGCAATGCCGTTGGGCGAGGCGGTGTTGACGATCCAGCCGCTGCCGCGGGCGATGAACTCAGTGACAAAGGCCTTGACAATGCGCATGTAGCCTAGCACGTTGATCTCGAACGCCTTGCGCGTGCCGTCGATGTCGATATTCTCCACCGTGCCGTGCGGCGCGTACATGGCGTTGTTGTGCAGGATGTCCGGCACCCCAATCTCCTTCTTGATCTGCTCGCCCAGCGCCGCCACTGCGCTGTCGCTGCCCAGGTCGGTCTGGAACGACCACACCGTGTGTCCGGCCGTCTTGAGGTCCTGCGCCGTCTCCGTCAACTGCTCGCCCAGGATGTCGGTGATGATCACCCGTGCCCCTTGCTGCGCGTATTCGAACGCCATCCCGCGGCCCAGGCCCCGTGCCGCCCCCGTCACCAAGACCAGCTTATCCTTGAATTCAGGCATGATGTTGAGGTTGAGGTCGTCGTCGAGGTGAAGGTCGAGGTTAAGATTGAGAACTGGAGTCTCTGTCTGTCTCTCTTTCTCACTCTTCTTGTCGCTAGCGGAGGGAGGAGGGGATAGGGGATGGGTGAAGGAACCAAAAATGAGATGCGGAGGGAGATTCTCTTCTCAATGCACTCAGCAGTTGTCTGGCTAGTCCTTACACCTTAAAGAATCCGTACCCGTTACCCGTATCCGTAACCGCACAGAATAGACAACCTTGCCACGGCTGTACTGTTAGGGTATCGTACTCTGGAGGAGCAATCGGTTCTTTTTCGACTAGACGCTTACCTTGCCTTGCCGGGGCCCGTATTGCGACCCCAAAACAATTCTAGAAGCCGAACCACCGTGAATCATTACTTACAGTCCAGGGTGCAGGCTACAGAGTACACTCCGTCGTGGATTGCATAACTTAGGCGATTGGTGAAGCGAAGGGGTCATCCGGTAAAGGGTGAACAATATCCGGAGTCAGGCTGTCGCTGTCACTGTAATTAGTCGAAGTAATTAGTCAAAGTACTGTAATAGTAATAGTTCCCCTTCTCGTTCCCCGTACTCCACCCATGCGGGATGAGGGATTCCATGCTCGTCATCGTCCTAAGAGCTAAGAAAGATCGACATGCTCGTATCCGTCCCGATGTATCATGTATCATGTATCGTATCCTGTATGTCTCGCTAACCGGAGGTTTCCAGAAGAATGCCTACCGAAACCTTCTTCTTTTCCGTGACGGGAATCAAATACCAAATACAGGACACCGACGATACATTACGGCTAGCTGGAATCGAATCGAATCGAATCCATGCCTGCCAAGGTAGTATACGTACCTACATACCACGTACTACCTAGCTTGCTTTTGTTGTCGCTCAGAGGCACAACCGGACACCAAACGGCAAATGAAATGTAGATGCAAAGCCCAATCCAAAAGTTATGCATGCCTGTCTCGTCGGATGCTGAATAGTAGTACTCGGTCTCAGAGGGTTTCTCGAGTCTTGATCCGTGACTATTTACTAGAATTTGGCTAGCTACTCTACTTCCCTCCACTTCAGGGCTAAGGAGGCCCTCCTTCTAGATACCAAACCGAGCGAACGACCACACAAATGTGCTTCAGCATGCAGGCCTAGCTCGATATTCCGAACTCTGCCACCGTAAACGTGTACTTTCCTATCCTATCCTACCCAATCACATCACAGCCGAATCCAATCGCTCAAGCCTCAAGCCTCAAGCCTCAACCCCCTCACTTCTGGCGGCGTCGGTATTGAATCAGGCCTTTCGGATCGGGCACCATGCTCACTCCGTTCTCCAACGGTACTGGCCTGCCCTTGCCCGGGGGGAATCTGAAGTCGTAGGTGGACAGCATCTGCACCAGGGCGATCTTGATCTCGTTGGAGGCAAAGAACCGGCCGGGACAGGCATGCTTGCCGTGGCCAAAGGCGATGTGCTCGTTGCTGGTGGTGACGAATTGGTACTTGGTCTCGTTGCCGGGTTCCTGGCGGAGGTTGTAGAAGCGGTGGCCGTCAAACGTCAGGGGATCCTTGTGGAACTTCTCGTCCGTCATGGCGGTGATGGGAATGCCCAGCCCGGCGCCCTTGGGGATCACGGTTCCGTCGGAGAGAGTGACGGTCTCCTGGGCCACGCGGTTCATCGGCACTGGAACATGTCAGTAACACATTGACAATACTGTCAGCTGACTGGGGGGCAGCCCAGCCCCGGCATCAGACTTGAGGGTGGAATGGGAGGGGCGGGGTCTAGGGTGTACGCACTGAGGGTGACGGGACTGAGTCTCTGGCTCTCCTTCATGAAGCTGTCCATCAATTTGAGATTGTACAGCACGTTCTTGGTCAAGACGTCGCCTGGCTTCCACACCGCGGCGATCTCCTCGCGCAACAGGGGAATGTACTCGGAATGCTCGATCAGGTCGTAGACGACGTAGACAAAGGTCATGGAGGTGGTGTGGATGGCGCCCAGGGAGTAGTTGAGCTGGCCCCAGACGTAGTTGTACGTGGTGTAGCCGTCCTCGGCGGCGGCCTCCATCCACGCCAGCGCGTCCACATACTTGGGCGGCTGCTTGCCCGCCGCAATCGCCGCGGCTTTCTCCTTGCGGCGGCGCTCGAGCTCCGGCTCCACGATGCGCGTGGCGGCAGCGACCTCCTTGCGGATCTTCCGGGTTTGCGGCAAGAACCAGTGCACAAACGGTCGCAGGAACGTCGGGTACATTCTCAAGACGAAGGCGGCGGTGAAGAAATCCACTGTGTAGTTCACCGCGATGTCCAGCCATTCCGGGTTGTGGCACAGCGGCTCGGGCAAGAAGATGCGCGAGGACAGCCGGGTGATGATGGACAAGGCATCTTGGTTGAACGCCGTGCTGGTCCATTCTAACACACAACCCAAGGTCAGTCAGTTGCTCGTCAAATTGGGACTAGGACTGGGACTGAAACAGGGACACTCCTTACCGTCTTTCTCAGGCCACATTCCGCGAAGCATGCCTGCCATCTCCTGGGACAAAATCTCGGTGACCTGGCCAATCGCCTGGGTCAGGCCGATGCGCACGGATTTGGTGAAGACGTGGTTGTCGACCGCCGGGCGGAAGCCCTCGAAGCCGGGGTAGGTGGTGAAAAAGTCCTTCTTCAACGCGGCCGAGAAGGTCATGCGGTCGTCGTTGCGCACCTCGTCCATGAAGTGGGCGGGCAGAATGATCAGCGGGCCGGTGCTGGCCATGAGTTGGAATGGTTTGTCGGCCTGGCAGAGGTCAGGTCAGTATAGGATCTTGGTCGGGGGCCCGTCTCGTCTCGTCTCATCTCACCTTGCCGAGGGTCTCGTAGATGAGCTTCTTTGCCTGCTTGACCCAGAGCATCTTCAGCTGCCACGTGCTCTTTGTTTTCTCATCTTTGCCCACAAACGGGAAGCCTGGGTAGGCCGAGCTCGAGTTGTAGGCCAAGATGGCGTACAGAAACACCAAGGAGACGGTGGTGGCAAGCACAAAGGCCGGCAACGGGGGGAACACATCGTCGCGCTTCCCCAGCAGCCCGCCGAGCTCGGGGACGAGGGTCTTGACTGCCATCGTGGTCGTGGTCGTGGTCGTGGCGTGGTTGATGTCGATGTCAATGTCGATGCTGTAGAGTTTCCAGACACACAAAGTCCAACCCTCTCATCCAGTCTGGCTGTAGATATACCATACAGAGTACAGGAATCCAGACATCATATGAAGCGGCGCTAGCTGGCTCTGATCTAGCCGGAGACAGAGGGCCAGTTCAGTCCCGACCGCTTCGGATGTTGTAATGCTTGCTGCCCGATGTTGCTGGGGGGAGACCCATGGAACATCAACTTCCCGAACCTGGCACCTGGGTCTGACATCGGAAAGCCATGCCCATGCTCGGGGGCAGTAATAGAGGAACGAAGAACTGTCCTCCTGAGGGGCTGTAGGCTCCAGGGGGCTAAGGGCCTAATCTTAGTCTTGGTGAGATATTGTGTGTACTGTACTCTGTTCTGTGTATTGGAGGGTGGGCACTCACCAGACGCCACGCAAACAGTTTGATCCGAGGCAGTCACCCCCTCTCCTCCATATCCACCCCAGCCTTTGCATAATTAAGATATATCCTGGTGTGCATTCAGCATGGGCGTTCGATGTGGTTCTGGCTCAGGCTCAGATTTCTTGGTCCTGATCCTGATTCTGATCCAGATCCAGATCAACGACAGCCACCATGATTGCCAGCACCTGGGACGAGGAGTATGACACCATCAGTGTTGGATCTGGCATCGGCGGCCTTTCCACTGCTATCACTGCCGCCGAACGCGGGGCTAAAGCACTGGTGATTGAGAAGTTCGAACTGCTGGGGGGCGTGTCCGCGCTGTCGTCCGGCCAGCTCTGGCCAGGCCCCAATCACCTGGCCAAGGCGGCAGGCATCGAGGACAGTGTCGACAAGGCCAAAGACTACATCGACCACTTGGGCCAGGGTCATGCCAGTCCTGAGATCCGCGACCAGTACTTCGCGCGGGCGCAAGAATGCATCAAGTACTACGACGAGACCATCGGGATCCCGTTGACGGTGATCAAAGGCCTGCCCGACTACTACTACCCCGAGGTGCCGGGGTCGGCCCCCGAGGGCCGCTATCTCGAAGTGCAGCCCTTCCCGGCGGCCAAGCTGGGCGAGTATCAAAAGAAGGTGCTCGTGTCTCCCTACGGCGCGTACTACAGTTACACCACGTCGACCGAGTGGGTGGAGATGCAGGCGGGCGGTCCCAGCCTGGGGGCGTGTATCCAAGGCCACCTGGCCAAGGACGAACGCTGCGCGGGCGCCGGCATGGCGGCGGCACAGGTGTATGAGGCGCTGAAGCGCGGCGTGGACTTTCGTACCTCGACGGAGGTGGTCGAGCTCGTCACAGAGGATTCGCGCGTCGTCGGCGTGGTGGCGCGGGATTCCCAGGGGACGCGGCGCATTCGAGCCCGTCTGGGCGTGATCCTGGCCACGGGTGGCTACGACTGGAATCGCCGGTTCGTCGGCAGCTTCGACGCGCTGCCCGTGGCCGGGTCGATGGCGCTGCCCACGGTGACGGGCGACCACATTGTGCTGTCGTCCAAGCTGGGCGTCATCCCCTTGCCGTCGCGCGCGCCCGGCCAGTCCCCGATCTTCGTGGGCTACAAGGTGCCGACCGAGAAGATCTATGGCATCGGGCCGGCCTATCGCCTGCTGGTGCCTGGCCAGCCGCATTCCATCATCGTCAACGCCACTGGCAGCCGCTTCTCCAACGACTCGTTCTACCCGGACGTCGTGGCCAAGGTGTCGCGCTTCGACGGCCAAGAGGACGGCATGGTGAACTGGCCGGCCTGGATCGTGTTCGATCAACGCATGCTTAACCGCAAAGGCATGCTCCCTGCCCCGCCGGGCCAGCCTCTACCGGAAGGCATGGCGATCAAGGCCGACTCGCTCGCCGCGCTGGCGGAGCAGGCCGGCATCGACCCCAAGGGCCTCGCCGCCACCATCGAGCGCTACAACGCTATGTGCGACGAAGGCGTTGACCACGACTTCAAACGCGGCACTAACCCATGGGGTGCCCTTATGGCCGGGGACCCCAAGTTGAAGAACCCCAATATGGCCCCGGTCTCCGAGGGCCCCTTCTACGCCGTCAAACTCGAGCGCGTCACCATGGGAGTGCCGACCGCCGGCCTGCCCATCGACGGTGACGGACGCGTCGAAACCGCCGGCGGCTCTGTCGTGCCTGGACTCTACGCTGCCGGCAATTCGGCTGCATGGGCAGACTGGGGAGGTGGTTTCAACAGTGGTATTGCGGGTATGCGAGGCTTGCTGTATGGCTACCGTGCCGCACTACATATGACTGCCAAATAGGATGTGTGTCCTCTGTCCGTACTCCGTACTGTAGACAAGGAATACAATTATTCAGTTATTCAATCATTCGATCCTTCCATCCATCAATAGATCCCAAGTCCCCTCTTCCGCGGCTTCATCCTGTGCCTGGCTCTCATGTTGGATATTCACTTGGACGCAGGAAATGACCCAGAAGAAGTGCATTGGCGTCGGCGTCGTGTCGGTCATGAACGCTCAGTCGGCCTCAGATGGGATAGATAGATGATAATTAGGTCATCAGAATAGAGCACGCCCACACGACATATATCGGAGTCTGATTGGTCCAGAATCAGAACCACCGGCCCGCAGAGGTCTCCTTGGCCACTGGGAGGGGTGTCGATGTCGATGACCAGCCTAGGGAGGGGAGAGGGCAGAAGGGAGGGGAAAGTCCAGTCGAGGGAGTCTTAGGTGTCGTCCTTTCTGTCGCTCTCGGATCGCCCAGAGAATCGTAACTGTACAGTAACTGTCACTGCCAGATGCCGTCGATAAGCGCCATATGGTAACGGGACCATAATCCCCGGGATCCCTCCCACTTTTGCACCCCGCGTTCCACCTCTGGACCCCTCTGGCCCAAGAACACCGCGGGGCTCAGGCCATGCTTTAGATAAGGCCTGAGTACGGTCCTGAATAATAACGGTAGAGGTAGACGTAGTCGTAGACCAACATCCCCCGGGACCGTGTCAAGCTAGGCTTCCCCCAGCGATCAGCATGTCTTGAAAGCCTGCGCCCCCCGTGGCCACCAGTAAAATCCATTTGAAACTCGAGCTGAACGACCAGCTGCTGCTGGCGTTGGAATATCGCCGACTCCTTAGACACGACTTGGCGGGTTTCCGGCGTGGGCTGCTGGGGCGATCCATGGGGAGGAGACGAGCCGTGTCCTCGACATCCATCACTTGTGTATCCGTACTGTAGATTTGTCGTGGCTTCGCTCGTAAAAAAAGAGGGGTTCGATAAGGAGCTTCACTTTGACAGAACAGACGTCTTGAGCATAATTTGTCTGCGATTCAATTCATTTCACTTTCACAAAATAATATGAAAAGAATCGAGGTCTCGACGCTGACTCTCGGGACCTTGGGTGCGCGGTCTGGGGCAATTTTACCTTCCAGCTGTCCCGGCCCGGATGCCATGCTGTTCCGTCAAGCCACGCTATCCCCAATCCATATCCAATCCATCCCCCGGACTTTGGGGTATTGTTATTTTTCTATACCCGTTGGCCCTGTGACTGTCGAGATACCACACCCATACCACACACGATACCGGTCGGTTCCATCGAGGGGCTGTAGTACACCACACACGATATCCGTTGGCCCCATCGAGGGGCTACACTACCACCACCGTGTACTCCGTATGCTTGTGTGAAGACTCTAGGGATATGTACGGTTCCTAATTGCGAACGACAGCCTAAATGGTCCGCCCACCCCGCAGGATAGATTCCGCCGAGTCATCTTTTCGGTTTTGCAGATTCCATTCCGTCCACGAGGATGGCGGATTGCGGATGGCTGATGGCTGATGGCGATATAGGACTCGGGAGATGGCGAAATGTCTATCTCAGGTCTAGTGGTCTGGGACCAGGACCATCCGTACACATATATACTATTGGGACCACTTCCCTTCCATATAAGCAGCCGTGGTAGGATTAGTTTTGCACTTTACACCTTGTCCCTTGTACCTTGCCTCAAATTTCCCACTGCCAGACCTCCAGACCCCGAGATCCAATCCAATCCAATCCCAGGCATCTTCTTCATCTTCACTCACTATGGCCGGCTCATCGACATGGACGCATTTGGTGCGGTTCAAGCACAAGGGCGTGCCCACATTTGCCCAGCTGGTCAACCCCTCCGAGGACGGCGATCTGGAGGAACAGTTTGAGGTCGAGGTGGCCACGGGCGACCCGGTCTACAACAACATCAAGTTGACGGGCGAGAAAGTCACCGTGGCGCGGAACACCTTGTTGGCTCCCTTTGCCACCGTGCCCATCGTCATCAACACCGGCCTCAACTACAAGGACCATGTGACGGAATCGCTGTTCTACAGCGCTCCTGTAGGTGAACCCTAAGGACCTTCTGTTGGTTTTTGGTCTTTGGCCGAATTCGGTTTCTTCCTCCATCTGATTCTTCTGTATTGTTTCTCCTTCCCCTGGCTCAAGTTCTACTTCCGCTTCGCAAAGAGTGGAGGAGAGTGCAGTGCAATGCAGTGCGGAGAACACTGGCCAGTACATAATCGCTTACAAACAATCCACCCTCTCTAGGATCTGTTCCCCAACATCCCCTACATCTTCTTCCGACCGGCCACCTCCCTGGCGGCGCCGTACCCGGCTCTGCTGCGCACGTACAAGGTGCAGCAGGAGTGTCTCGACTATGAGGGCGAGCTGGTGTTCCAGACCGGGTCGCGGCCTCTGAAGGACATCACGGTCGAAGAGGCCCAGAAGGAGATCATCGGCTTCGCCGCCGGCATCGACTTTTCCCCGCGTCCCGGCAAGATCCTCGGCCGCATGAACTACATCTTCTCCAAGGCCTTCGACGACTGGACCCCCGTCGGCCCCGTCCTCGTCAACCCCAGCGTGGTCGGCTCCCTGCCCGAGCTGGACCTGACCACCAAGTGGAACGGAAAGGTCGTCCAGCACGACAACACCGGCAACATGATCTTCAACGTGGCCAAGATTCTTTCTTCCATGTCGACGGGTAAGTGTGGTTTTGCCGTCATCTCCTCCCACCCACTCCTATAAACCCCGAAGGAAACTAACCCCGACTCTTCACTTTCTCAGGAACAACCGTCCAGCCTGGCACGGTCGTCTTCTCCGGTACTTGCGGTGGTGGGGCCTGGTTTGCCAGCGAGGGCAAGGCCGGCACCGGCATCAACGACGGCGACGAGGTCGAGGTCGAGATCAAGAAAATTGGCAAGGTCCGCGCGTACCCGCGGTTCGACAAATGATTTGATTGTTCCATCCATAGCTACATACAGTAGGCCTTGTTGTCGACCTTGGATATTAGAAATCCTACATCACAGTTGAATCAACCAAATAAGCTCTTTGTCTTTGGCATCTCCCTGCGAGTAGAGCCCTTTGTTGCATAGACCGACTATACAGTACTCATGTACCTGCTTTGCTTCTTCTCCATCTTTAGGTGTCGAGGAGCATCTACTGTATCTCCCAGTCAGGGTCTACATTTTCCAAGAAGTCGATCTCTTCGAGTCCATGCTTGACAGCCCGTCTATGCTCGGTATACAAAATCGCCCGTCCTCCGGTCCCTTGGAGATGACAGACGGACACAGTCTAGACTTGAGACCACTCAGACAGTTGCAGGACCCGGCCCTGGCCCCTGGATGGGAGATTCAGTCAGTCACTACGAAGGGTGGTTGCCACCTCCTGAAGCTTCTGAGCAAAGAACCCCTTCCCTTCGAATACCATGTCTGGTTACACTCCACCAAGCTACCGTACCGGACATGAACGTGTCCGACTGTTGAGATGTGAAGTGAACTGAACAAGAGCATTAGCATTAGCATACACAAGTGGTGAGACAGGGGCATGCTGCATACTGTATTCACGGCCATCCATTCTATGCTCTGTATACCCCGGCCAGCCCAGCATGTGGACCTGTCGGCCGATACCATCAGCTCACATGACCTGAGTCTTCCCCAGTTCCCCAGCTGTTAGCCGAGACGGATCGCGGAGGCTCGCGACCAGGATTCGGTACGACCATGCGCTCCCATATGCGGAAATCCATTCCGGGTTCGTTGGAATTATTGAAAGTGAGCCAAACACTCAATTCCGTGGCAGTGGCGAGACTGTCCTTGCATCTCGTGGTCCAGAGCTTGTGCAGACCTGATCAAACAGTCGCCACCTGTTCTGCTAGCCGACTCTGGCCCACGATCGCGGATGCTGGCGACCTCACATGGTCGGGAGGGGGGGTTTCCGAGATGGGGTTGTGCTTGGGCAGCTGGGGGCTAAAGCGTCGATTCCCATGACCTCACCTCGTGGTCTAGAGTCCGGGTCGGTTCTCAATCTCATCCGATCGCCCTTCGAGCCTTGACGAGCGGCAAAGGCGCTTGCTCGAGTCCGGGAATTGTGATTGTGGCGTGCACTAATTACAATGTGTACAGTGCGCAGTACGTATGCAGGGGAGGCGATGCTGCCTTGCCCCGTGGGTGAGGGACACGGAGGGGGAGGCGGAGAGGGAAGGGGAAGGAACGGGAACGGGGGACGGAGACGGGGACAGGGAACACCTATCCTACCTATCTACCTACCATATTAATTGCAGACGAGAAGAGATATACCTAGGCCTATGCTGTCACTGTACGAATCCAACAACAACTCAACTCAATTCTGTCTTCTCAGATTGAACTCCATCAACCAACAACCCAGCCTTTCTGCATTTTGATTCTTGATTGCCTTGCCTTCTGTGAAGCAGCATAGCATCACTGTTGTGCTTCGCACCGCACCGCACTCCAGTTCCTACTTGCAACTTCTGGCCAGACCCTGACCCTAACGTCTCTTAAGACGCAACAAAGCAACCAACACAAAACCATGGGCTCAGTCACACCCACCACCACCAAGCGGGCGCCGGCCTTCTTCGTGTCACACGGGGCTGGCCCGTTCGCGATCCTCGGGACACCTCACCAGCAACCGCTGGTCGACCTCTGCAAGGAGACGCGCTGGGTGCTGGACGGAGCCAAGGGCATCATCATCGTGACGGCGCACTGGGAGACGGACCAGCCGCACATCTCGTCGGGCGCGGCGCCGGAGCTGTACTACGACTACTTCGACAACCTAGCCAACGAGCTGCCCAAGGAGGCGTGGGAGATCAAGTACCCCGGGGCCAAAGGTGACCCGGAGCTGGCGCGACGCATCAAGGAGAAGCTGGACAAGGACGGCTTCCAGGCGGTGCTGGACGACCAGCGCGGCTGGGACCACGGCGTCTGGGTGCCCATGATCCTGCTGCGTCCGCAGGCCGACCTGCCCATCGTGCAGGTGTCGATCCCCGCCGGCGCCGACGCCGCCACCGAAAACTCGCTCAAGCTGGGCCGCTCGCTCGAGGCCTTCCGCGACGACGGCTATGTCATCCTCGGCAGTGGCTCCAGCTACCACAACTTCGGCGCCGTCATCGACTCCATTATGGGCAAGCCCGGCGCGCCCCCGGTGCCCAGCAACCGCCCGTTCGAGGACGCCATGGAAGAGGTCGCCACCATCCCGGACGCCGACGAGAAGGTCCGGAGAGCCCTCAAGTGGCGCGAGGAGTTCCCCAACAGCGAGGCCGTCCAGCCCGTCGGCAGCTCCGAACATTTCATGCCCTTCCTCGTCAACATTGGCAGTGCTGGCAACGACGTCGGGAAGAAGTTGGGCGAGTGGGAGCTGTTTGGCACTATCATGACTTCTTATATCTGGTAAGGGGTAGGGGGTAGGGGTAAGGGGTAGGGCAGACAAACACGCACTGCACACACTCACACACGCACCTACACATCCACACACCCATCTGATGCAGATCACACACGGGCCTGAGCCAACTATATAATGTCGACACGTCAGCACACCCAGCCTTACCTGGCTTGACTTGAACTGAACTGACCTGAGTTGTGTTGTGTTGAGTAAGACAAGCTGCTGCTGGTACTGGCGATATAACGAACGAACATCCTTTCCCCATGCCCATGGAAGTGAATGTGACGGTGAATGTGAATGTGAATGGGATTGTGACGGTGACGGTGATGGTGATGGTGAATATGTCAATCAAATAGCCCCCTTTCCCCCTCTCGCTCAGTCATTCAGCCATAGGAGGAGTGGCCCAGAAGCCGGTTGTGTATCTAATTTATGGACTCTTGGGTAAACAAGCAAACATTGATGAACATGAACAATTCTCTCATTTCCATATAAACCAAGTATCGGAGATTTCTCTCATTTCCATATAAATCAAGGATCGGAGATCGTATTGCATTGCATTGCATGCTATGCTATGTATGGTACAGTACAGTATGTGCTTTGGTTCCCGCCTATCGCTTAACACTTGCGCAACAAACAATCGACAGAATGGAATTGGACGACTGGATAGACCTGGCGAGAAAGGTATATCGTTTGCCTACTTCACTTCCTGTACAGCGAGTCATTACTGTAAGACAGCAGAGATAGTAAGTGCCGATACGGATACCGATGCTGATGCTGATATGATTCCAACTCCGTGTTCTTGTTGGCCCCAGGCAAACGAGCACGGAAGAACCCTATCCTATACCATATACTAGTGAACCACGGAAATCTACTGTATATGATTTATCTAGGCGACTTCCAACAGTGCCACGTTCTCAAGATAAGAGGACAGGAATCCTGAATCGTTCCAGCGTTGAATGCCGCACTGTACTGTGGTGTACTCGTCTGCTTCCAACGGTGCCACATCCCCAAGATAGGAGGCCAGGCCGGGGCAGGGAATCATGAATCGTTCCAACGTTGAGAATCCCGCACTGTACTCGTCTGCTCTCGGCCTCAGGCTCAGGCTCAGTTTCAGTCTCTTTCTCTTTCTCTTTCTCCCCACCATCCTTTCTCTCAGCCTCTGTCTCCCTCTACCTCTGTCCACTAATCTTGCAGCGCTTTGAGCAGCGGGCCGGTGTCCTGGATAGAATTGTTGTCTGTCAGCCCTCACATCACATCTATCGGTAGCCCTCACATCGCATCTATCGGTTTCCCTCACATCACATCCGGTGGCGATGCGACGGCAATAAGAAATAAGAACCAAACTCACCCCCCAAGCCTGGAAAAAGGACAACCTTGGAGTCGCGGTGCTGATGCCGTCGAAGACCGCCCGTGCGAGGAAGTCCCCTTCGATCCGCTTGCCGTTTTTCAGCCCCAGCACCGCATTCCCGATCAATAGCAGATCCGAGGCGTCGTCGGTGGCGGAGAAAACTTTGACGACCTCATGGTACCGGGTCTCGACTACGGCCCATGCTTTCTTGCGGGAGTCTCTGATTTCTGTGAGGGGACCCGCCGCCAAGTCAGTACTGTATTAAGCTGGTGGTGGTTTATAGGGCCGGGGAGCAGGGAGGCAGACAAGGAGGCAGGCAATGAGGCAGACAGGCAGGCAGACAGGGAGGCAGGGTTCAGGTTCGAGTGAGGCGGCCAGCATAGTTGCTTTCTGAGTCGGACGGCTTTCGCAGTGCATGTCATGTGCTTTCTCCTCTCATTCCCCAGAGGTAAGGTAACGGGACAGGACAGGACAAGACAGGAGAACAACCCACCCGCTGAACCCTTGAAAACTCCACTCGAAGAAATAAACGTCGCGTCCGGGGTGAAGATGTCCTCGGTGAGCTTGACCCCCGCCTCATCGGTCGGCGTGTCCATCAACGAGAAGAAGTAGTCGAGCAGCTCCTTCGCTGGCTTGGGGACCGGAGCTGACGGCCATGAGGTGGAAGCGACTCTGGACGACATGGTGGAACCGGTGCACGTCGCAGGTCACACGTTGGACTGGGTGGTGGTACGTCTGAACAGCAATAATACCCTTGGAACCCCTAAAATCCTGGGTCGGGTTTTACGGCCGATATTGTACTAGTTGGTATAGAGCACTGTAAGCCGTTTGTTAGGAACAATCCCCATATATAGATAGATGTGTGTGCGTGTGTGTGTGTGTGTGTGTGAGTGAGTGTGTGTTTATGTACCCTATCCGTACGGATACTGACATGTCCATGATACGGATACCGATATATCCATGGTTAAAAGGTGCACATCGACACTGAGCCGTTAGACAGAACCCACGGGATCAGGTCTGACAATGCTTCCGAAACCCTGCCAGTTCTGCCCAATGCCCGAGAAATGCTGCCGGGTCGCATCCGCTTGGCGGGATGGATCATCTCCGGGCGGGCATGTGTGTAGTATGTATGTACTGTATGGACAGGACAGCGTAATTGATGGATGTTGTACAGCGTACAGTACATAATAGTACAAACACGAGCCCGAGCACGTAAATATATTAATATATATATTAAACCATAATTCGATTTTTATTCTCTCCATAAAGGAGAGGGGAAGGCTGTACGAATACCAGATGGGACCCTTCAGTAATTATTACGGGACTGGAAGTGGAAGCTGGCTAATTCCACCAGAAATTATGTAAACGTAACCCTGTAGTAATTTTGTCTAAACGTGATGGATTTTGTTTTTGCCATGCTCGTCCGCATTACACTCCTTCAGCGCATATGAATTGAGACTGACGAATCAATCATTTGAGGCCGAGATTGTCCCTATGCAGATGCAAATGCAATGCCTATACCAGGCGCATCCTACAGTTGTTCTTCGGGCTTGTGACAGTACCGTACCGGAAGAAAGATGCAAGGCTGGTCTACTCTGTAGAGTTGGATTGGGACTGGTACGTGACAATGAAGAACGTCCCAAGAGACATATTGGAGAGTTCTGGTCGAGCCCTGTCGAGGTATCTTCAAGCCATATTCCAAAGTTACCAAGAACGACCGTGCGGTGCATACAGAACCAGATAACCATCTAAAACTCGACTCGTCCGTCTGGCTCGGGACTTTTGGGCGTGCACCCTGCAGCAAGGACCTTGCCCATATATTCTGGAGCCGCAGCCTTGTCCTCGGGGATATCCATGTCAAAGGCTGCCTCGATAGACGCCCAGCTCGAGGTGAGTGTGGTCGCCCGATACTTTGTAGGTCTTCGCACCCGGCGGGCCTGGGCCCCAACGTTGCCACGAGATGCACCTGTGGTCAGACTCCGGCATGGAATTATCTTCTCCCAAATCCGTGGCAGATAACCTGATCTTTCCTTGGTAGATGGAACCGACCTGCAATGCCAGATAATGCCGGAAATCGATCGGAGTCGGCGAGAGTGAATGAGGTGTCTATCGATTCACAATCAGCGACCACTCCAGATACATACCTTTGAGGGAGGGATGTGGTCCTTGCGTGATGAAGGGAATTAAAATTGAACTTGAAGTTGCCATCGTTGTGGCCTTGCCTATACATTCACACCAGACGCATTCTTCACATTCCCAGCTGACTTCATGCTACGTACATATACTGGACGACTCTTTTGGCTAGCAACCGCTCTTCACAAACCCACACAGGTCGAGTAAAGGTCCGCGCCGAGTAGGATATGATGATTTTGTCAAACTTAGGCATTCCCAGCCTTGTGCTTTAACCAGAAGGCTAGTTTATGCGCACTATACACTATATAGCCTGCGATCTCTTTGCGACCCTTTGATGGAGAACGTGGAACATTTCAACCTTTGACAGATTTGCCGTTGTCCATTACGGTCGGATCGTCATTTTGTGCAATGTGTTGTCGGTCTGGTCTGGTCTGGTCTTGAAAGCGCCGGTCTGTCAAACTTAGGCACTAACTTAGACATTCCCAGCCGTGCCCTTTAACCAGAAAGCTAGTATAGGCACGCCTATATAGTCTAGGCTCCCCTCATATCCCTTTGATAGAGAACATGGAACATTTCAACCTTTGGCATGGTCACCTTTTACTCTCGTGGCTTCGCTGTGACTGCCTAGCCGTGCAGGCGGACCCGTCGTAGCCTTCGATGATAGGAAAATCTCGAGATGGATGGTGTGAGCGTCCGGGCGCATAGGACTGAACATACATCGAAAGTATTGGTAAATATAACTATAAGAATTGACTCGGCTGTGGACGAACTCACCAGGTACAGTACGGGTGTTAGTGCTGGCTGAGCATGTTGCCAAAGCTGCTCTCCGCTACGCTCATTCTTCCTCGGTATCACGCTTTGTCTTGCTCGACACTATACGCCATTGCTGTATATATCTTCCCTGTTCTTTGTTTCTGGTAGGTCGGCGTAGAGTAGAACAGGTGGGAGTAAACAGTAGGCTAGGATAGGTAGTAGCATAGAGAAGGGCTATAGTAGGAAGGAGAAGGACTACGTAAACTAGTAGGGGAGGGAATAGCAGGCCAGCGTAGAGAAGAGCGGACCAGAGTGAGATAGACAAGGGTACAGTAAGATAGAATAGATCAAGGTGCAGTAGAGCAGGATATAGTAGGATATAATGTCCATTTTACTATAGTCAGGCAGAGTAGGCCAGAGCAGAGTATGGTCACATCTATAGCTAACCGCGGTCACGAGACATGCTATATCGCCCACGACATAGAACCATGTCATTGCTATTGATCCTTCTTCAGAAGCCTCGAAAGGTTGTCGGCAATAACAAGCGAAATGACCCTAGATCCCGCTAGTCAGCAAATCAGAAACTCCGAGAGTTCGAGAGCGTGTCCCTGGGGAGATATCATACGTGTGCGGGGCCATGCGGAGGAAATAAGTGCCAAAGCCACGGTAGAAGCGCAGCAGGCCTTCGGTTTTCAGGGTGCTGGTGAAGCAATGCCACATGCCCCTGTAGTGGAGCGACTGTCCGGGCGACTGTCCCCGTGACTGCGACTGGGCCGGGCCGGATTGGCGCTGCAGCCTCGTCTTCACAAAGTCCAGCGGCATACTGAAGAAGGCGGCGAAGAAGCCGCCGACGGCGGCGGCGGCCAGGGTGCGCGTCTGGTCCGATATGGCCGGCACCTTCTGGAGCTGGCCCTTGGCCTCGGAGAAGAAGGCCAGCTGGCCAAAGTTGGTGCACATGGCCCGGACCACGGTGGCATTGGCACCGCTCCAGAGGGCCAGCAGGCCTTCGTTGCGCACGATGCGGTTGATGGCGTCAAAGGCCGACCGGTAGTTCGCCCGCTGGTCTGGCGGTCGCATGCCGTCAGACTGCATGCGGATCAAGGCCACTTCGGTCGGCGTGCCGATCAGCGCTCCCAGCCCGCCAGCCGCGAGCCCGGCCGCCGCGCGCTCTCTGAACGTGACGTTGGTGCCGGCCCGTGTGGCGCGGCGCTTCAGCGCGTCTTCGAAGCTGAAGAACAGTCCGAGTCGACTGGTGCCGTAGACGAGTTGGCGGAGCAGAGCTGCAGACAGGCCTGAATACAGCTCCGACGCCTTGCCTTGGGCCACAATGTCGCGTGCCACGCGGAACGGGTTGGGGCTCGGCCCTGTCTTGCTGCCTTCGCCGATGAGCTGCAGCCGCACCTTCACCATGTCGATGGGTTGCAGACATATCGTCGCCACGGACCCGGACAGGCAGCCGATCACGAACGGGAGTGTGGCCTTGTAGATGGGATTCTGGCGAAACTCGGTGCTGGCGTTGGCATTGGCGTTGGCGTTGGGTAGACCTTGCATTGCTGATGTCGATGTTGCATTTGCATTGTTTCTCAGCAGGCCTGGTCGGGGGTTCTGGGAATCTGGGGTCCAGAGCTGACACAGTCTACTCGGAGACAGAGCGGGCGTGGACAGATTATTCTCTGACTGTCCGAGCCGGCATAGAGGTGAACAGTCACTCTGGACCGTTCAAGGTATTCGGTCTGTCTAGCTCAGCGCAGCTCAATAAGGTATAATGTCTGGAGACTCAGTCCAGTACACTGCAAGTTGCTTACGACACCCTGGCTCTGGTGTGGTGTGGCGTGGTGTGGTGTTCTCCCAGCTCCCTCGTCCTGGAGGATGATGGGAGCTGGCATTTCCCCACTGGACCAGTGTGGTCATGTCGATGGTCCATCTGGTGAAGGCTGACTCAAAATCGCGGTGTCAGCATGATTTGGGGTTTGCAAGGCGAATCGGTTCGGTCAATTCGTCGTACAGGACAGGACAAGACAGGACGTATATCCTCGGGCCGGTGGCCACCAAGGCGCCAGACGTGTTCCCGAGGCCCACCCCCTCAACAACGGCCGTGTGTGAATTACGGTAGCATGCTAACTTTCATGGCCTGATGGCGGCCTCGGCTTTGGTCAAACATGCAATAATGCAGGTTTGATGCTAACAATCGGTATGGGATCTTCCAAGTCCAAGGTGTCGTTTTCAGGCCTGATACAGAGCCACTGTTGTTGCACCATCGGCCATCTTTCTCGATCCACGTGACGCAACACACAGGCGTGACGAGGCTGAGAAGACCACAGCTACTCCTCAAAACAAAACTGCATCACGGCAGCTTGATATCAGTACTCGACTCTCGACTGACCACTCGGTGGCATTGCTGATATTGGTATCTTGCGTGCATCCGAAAAAACTTCAAAGGTGACAATGAGTTTTCTGTTTCGACAGATGAGGACGGTGGTCCGGGTCCAGAGCTGTGGGAGGCAGCATGGGACTGGGACTGGGATTGGATGTCTCCGACTACGAGCAATGGACAAGAACCGCGGCCGCAGCTTCCAGACGATTGCGGCCAGAAAGGCGGAATTCAGCCAGCCCGACTTTACAGACTCGGAACGGACGGTGCGGGAGGCCATCTCGAAGATCTGCTCCAAGTATCCCGACGAGTACTGGCTGGAGCACGACAACAACCACAAGTTCCCGCATGACCTGTACAACGACCTGGCGCGAGACGGCTGGCTGGGGATCTGCATGCCGCAGGAGTATGGCGGGTCGGAGCTGGGGATCGCAGAGGCCACAGTCATGATGCAGACGATTTCCGAGTCGGGGGCCGGCATGGCGGGCGCCTCGTCGATTCACATGAACATCTTCGGGCTGGAGCCGGTGGTCAAGTTCGGCAGCGCCGAGCAGAAGAAGCGATGGCTGCCGCCGTTGATCGCAGGCAAGGAACGGGCATGCTTTGGCGTCACGGAGCCCAACACAGGCCTGGACACGTTGAAGCTACAGTCCTTTGCGCGCCGCCAGGGCGACCACTACCTGCTGAACGGGTCGAAGATCTGGATCTCAACCGCGCAAATCGCCCACAAGATCCTCATCCTGGTGCGCACCACGCCCCTGGACCAGGTCAAGAAGCCGACCCAGGGCCTGTCACTCTTCTACACCGACATGGATCGCGCCCAGATGCAGGTGACGGAAATCCCCAAGCTGGGCCGCGCCGCCGTCGACTCGAACGTGCTCTTCTTCGAGAACTGGAAAGTGCCCGCCGAGGACTTGATCGGCGAGGAAGGCAACGGCTTCAAGATGATCATGCACGGCATGAACGCCGAGCGCGTCCTCGTCGGCGCAGAGGCCCTGGGCCTGGGATACGCCGCCCTCCGCCGCGCCGCCACCTACGCCCAGGAACGCGTGGTGTTTGGCCGCCCCATTGGCAAGAACCAGAGCATCCAGCATCCCCTGGCCGAGTCCTGGATGTCGCTCGAGGCCGCCCGGCTGACCATCTACCTGGCAGCACGACTCTACGACCAGGGCTACACGTCGGGCGAGTACGCCAACGCCGGCAAGTACCTGGCGGCCGAGGCGGCCTTTGAGGCCTGCCAGCGCGCCGTGCTGACCCATGGCGGCATGGGATATGCCAAAGAATACCATGTCGAGCGGTATCTGCGGGAAGCCATGTTGCCTCGCATTGCCCCCGTGAGCAGGGAGATGATCAAGAACTACATTGGCGAGAAGGTGCTGGGGCTGCCCAAGTCCTACTAGCCAAGGCGTATAGTGGTAGTGGTAGTGGTAGCTCTCATATTTGATTCATATATGGGTACAGTATGCATCATATCGGCTCAGCCAGTCCGGCACTGTGAGTGCGGCGTGCTCATTATTCTGTACAGCGAAGACCCCTCGCCCATAAAGGTGGTGACGCCGGTTCTTGGGGCAAGTGACTCAGGCTTGGGCTTAGGGGCTAAGGGGCTAAGGGGCTCTTCAGGCTTAGGCTAGGGGCTTAGGGGCTCCCTAAGCTCCTAGGGCTAAAGGGCTCCTAGACTTACAGTAGGAGGCTTATGGCTTAGGAGGGCCCCAGGCAGCTGTGCTTGGGCCGAACCCGACACTCCCTCGGCCCAGGCCCCTTAGCCCCCCTGGCCCCTAAGCCAACCCCTCCACCCTTCTAAACCCACCTATCTAGAGCCATCTAAGCCTATGACAGTAGCCAGGAGTGACAGGCATCCAGGCCAAGGCCCATCTTAGCAGGGGCGGTTGACGACCTCTCTCAAACATGGCTTTACACAAAACGGCGCCAGGGTCAGGCCCAGGCTCAGTGATCGCGACCAGAGAGACTGACGGTACTTGACTTCCTCCAAAGAATTCAGGCCTATCCTATGTGCACAGAACGCCCAAGACAAATATTCGTTGCACTGTGTCCACAGTATTACTCATTACTGTACATAACTTTACCCCTCGCTGTATCTGTACAGGTACCAATTACAGTGTATCCTCTTTGACATGTTCGGAGTCTCGACTCGGTCGGCATGTCTCCAACTCCGACCCAATCCAGCAAGCACCTCAACCACAACCACAGCCATCGTGCACGCTCTGCGGACAGGCAGCTTCAACAACCATTCTTTCGCGACTCCTAGGCTCCGTCGATACGCAACCGCAACCGCAACCATGAAGGCCGTGGTGGTGAACGGAAGCAAAGCACAGCTGGTCGACGACAGGCCACTGCCCCGGCTGCGCGATGGGTATCTGCTGGTCAAGCCACAGGCGGTGGCGCTGAATCCGACCGACTGGAAGCATATCGCGTTCAATCGAGCCAAGGACGGCTGCCTGGTCGGCTGCGACTATGCAGGCGTGGTGGAGGAAGTCGGCCAGGGCGTCAGCAAGGCGTGGCGCAAGGGCGAGCGGATTTGCGGCGTGGCTCACGGCACGAATCTGGTGAATGTCGAGGACGGCGTGTTTGCCGAGTACGCCGTGGTCAAGGGAGATGTGCAGATGCGCATTCCTGAGTCGCTGTCGGACGAAAAGGCTGCCACTGTCTCGCTGGGCGCCATCACGGTCGGTCAAGGCCTGTACCAGAAGTCGCTCAGGCTGAACCTGCCGACGGACCCGATCCAAACCCAGGAATATGTCCTGATTTATGGCGGAGGCACTGCCACGGGCGGCCTTGCTGTCCAGTATGCGAAGCTGTGAGTAGTGGAAATCCAACCCAAACCTGACATCCTTCCAGATCACTGGCACTGGTGGTCTTGTTGGCCAGAGGCGTAGAGATGCGCTTTATCTATCTATATCAAGGCCACTTTGGGCCATCCACGTGATAGTTCTCCAGTCCTAACTCATCATAGCTCCGGGTACACAGTCATCACCATCTGCGGTGCCGATCAATTCGAACACCTGAAAAGCCTGGGCGCCGACTACACCTTTGACTATACCGACCCCCAAACCGGCGAGAAGATCCGCACGCTCACGGAAAACAGTCTCAAGTACGCGTGGGATACGATCGCGATCGAGTCGTCGGCGCAGATGTGTGCCGATGCTCTCTCCACGTACCCGGGCACGCGATACGGCACCACCAACGCGGTCAAGATGCCCCGTGACGACGTCAAGTCGACCTTCACCGTCATGCACACCATGTACGGCGAGGCCTTCACCTTCGGGCCCGTCGAGTTTGAGGCGTCGCCAGAGGACTTTGAATTCGCGAAACTGTTCATGGGCCTCACGGAGAAGTTGCTTGCCGAGGTATGTCACATGTCATATGTCAGCTCTCGTCCTCGTCCTCTTGGAGGGAGGAGGGAAGAGGGCATTGCGAATTGCTCCCGTCGAAGCTCTAGCTCTAGCTACTGACACCACACCCCAGGGCAAATTGAAGACGCACCCTGAAATCGTCGGGGAAGGAGGTCTGGCCGGCGTCATCCAGGGCCTGGACGACCTGCAATCTGGCAAGATCCATGGGGTCAAGCTGGTGTATCGTGTTGCGGATACACCTGATGGAAAATAGAAAGCAGACTCGAGGAAGGCCAAAGACAGGCCCGGGCGGACGACGACTATAGAGTTGAACGTCCCTTTCCTTTTTTAGGGTTCTGGGTCTGAGTCTGTTGTAGTTACAGCTAGACACGTATATAGATAAGCGATATGTAAGCATATGCATCTGGTCAAAACATATACGGAGGATGACTTTTGCTTCGCCAGGCTATAAGATATGGATCTGGATACGAAACGGATATTGTTTGCTGTATCATGCCATATACCATACAATACCACGTCATCTCGTCTCGTCTCGTCTCGTCTCGTCTTATCTCGTCTCATCATCTCATCTCACCAGGACGATTCGGCCCGTGACCTTCCCATCGCGCAGCCGCATCAAGGCCTCGTTCGCCTGGTCCCACGGCACAGTAGTAACAGGAATAGGAGCCAGTTTCTGCTGCCTCGCCAGATCCGTGACCTCTCGCAGGGCGGCCAAGTTGCCGGTATTGTTTCCCATGATAGTGGCGCCCTTGAAGATCAAATTGACCAGCGACAGTGTCAGCTCGCCGCCCATGACGCCGACCTGGACCATCTTGCCGCCCTTGCCCAGCACGGCATAAGCCAGCGCGGCGGTGCTGGAATTGTTCACAAAGTCGACCACGCCCAGCACCGGCCCGCCCGCAGCCTTGAGCACGTCGGCAGCGAGATCGGGGCCCGGCTGTCCTCCATCCAGGGCGGTAGCGGCCCCTGCCTTCACGGCGGCGGCGCGGTTCTCGGGCTTCAGGTCGATGCTAATGATGGCCGACGACGCATGGCCCTTGGCCCGCAGCACGCTGATGGCCGCCAGGCCCAGCCCGCCCGCGCCCACCAGCACAATCGGGTCCGTCGGCGCCAGCGGCAGGATCTTGGTCAGCGCGCTCAGCACCGTCAGCCCCGAACATGCAAACGTGCATGCCACCGCTGGGTCCACCGAGCCCGGGTCGACTAGGTACTTGGGGTGCGGCACCACCACGTGCGACGCGAATCCGCCGTGCTGCATCACCCCCAGCGACCGCTGGCTGCCGCATAGGTGGTCGTCGCCCTGGAGGCAGCGGCGGCACTGTCCGCAGCCGAGCCATGGGTACACGATCTTGCGGTCGCCCACGGCCAAGGACACGGCGTCGGCATCAGCAGCACCACCACCACTACCACCATCAGCACCAGCATCACCACCACCACCGGCGGCGGCGGCGGCAGCGTCAGGCCCCAGCTGCGCCACCACGCCGGCGATTTCGTGCCCGATGGCTCGCGGCAGCTTCACTCCTCGATCACTGATGTTGAATCGCTTCCCTCCGCCCAGGTCGTAGAAGCCCTCCCAGAAATGGAGGTCCGAGTGGCATATCGCGCAGTGGCTGACTTGGATCAAGACCTCGCTGCCCTGGAGTTGTGGGAGGGGTTCGTGGATCTTTTGGAGCGGTTGGTTGTGTTCGACCACCGCCCAGGCTTCCATCATGTACTGCTGTACTGTTGTACTGTAGTACTGTTGTGTTCTGTAGTTGTACTGTATGCTGCCTGCCGTGGGCGTACGGTCTTCTATATATGGTGTGGTCAAGTAAAGTACCCTATGGATGGTGGGGTCACGTAACGTACTCTATTGGTGTGGTCAAGTTAGAGTACTGTATACCGTATTCAACGACAAGTTCAAGTGGTCCCAGACTAGGAGGCAAATCTTGAGGCGAACCCAGCAGTGGCTGTTCAGCTGATTGTATGTATAATAGAGACGGAACGCGGCGCCTAAGCCGTCAATTTGAACTAATATCTCTTCAGTATGCCGACAACAACAAAGTCCCCTTCTCCTCTTTGCTGGCCACAGTTCAGTTATCCGTACTGTATATGTACTCCGTACATGTACAAGCCGAGGTGCGAACGTGGGAAGACTAGCGCAGCCTCGGGTTCACAGTACTGTACTTGGAACTACTATACACACAGATGGATGGATGGTCTGTGTACTAATTACTTACTACATGACTTTGGATTATACGGTCTTCCTGGATTACCAAGTCAGGCGAGTACAGACAGCGATGGGTGGCCATTATTTACGACGGTCGAGGGTTCCAGAGACGACGGTAATACCAGGAGGACTATCTCGACGGCCAACATCAGGAGGACAATCGGGATCTATGAATCTCACCATCAGTCTCCTCGGTAATGGAATCATGGCCTATGTGTAACAACGAGTGCCCACACAATGCCAGCCTTATTCTATCACCTGCCTGGGGTGCCTGGAGATATAGCCAATATGTTATACTGATATGTACAGTACACTCAAAGACCAAGCCACCAAGCCATTCGTTCACCTAGACCACCTCACTCACCCGGCAATTCATTCACCTAGACCACCTTGCTCTCGTGAAGAGCCTTGATTTCGCTGTCAGGGATCCCAAGTTCCCGGAGGACTTGGTCGGTATGTTCTCCCAGACGAGGCGGGACGGACCGGATGGAAGCTGGGGTGTCGCTGAACTTGACGGCGGGACCTAGGGAAACACGTCAGTTTCACTATATCGGCATCTCGTTGAGTCTAGGTGTGTGCGTGGGTGTGTCTCTTTCTGGGTCTGGGGCTGTGTGTGTCTTTTTCTGGTTCTGGGTCTGGGTATTCATTTCACCAGACAACATCCAACTCACCTAGCAGCTTCAGCTGGCCAGACTTGGCCGCGTCAAACTCGACATTATACACCATGTCGGTGGCCTCGGTCTGCGGGTGGTCGAAGACGCGCTCCATGGTGTTGATGGGCGCGTAAGGGAGGCCGCTCCCCTCAAACAGGTCGATCCACTCGTCCGTCGACTTGGTCTGAAACACCTCGTTGAGGTAGGGGTACAGGGCGTCGCGGTTCTGGACGCGGTCGGCGTTGGTCAAGAAGCGGGCGTCACTCGGCAGCTCGTCCAGGCCCAGCTGCTTGCACAGGATGGCGAATTGGCGGTCGTTGGTGGCGCCGCACACAAAGTACAGATCCTTGGTCTTGAAGGCATCGTACGGCACCACGCTGGGATGCTGCGTGCCCCAGCGCTCCGTCTCCTTGCCCAGGTTCAACCAGGCCAGCGCGACGTTGGTGAGCAGCGCCACCTGGGTCTCGTACAGCGACGCGTTGATGCGCTGGCCCCGGCCCGTCTGCTCGCGCGCATACAGCGCCGCCATGATCGCCCCGTGCGAGAACAGCCCCGTACACATGTCGGTCAGTCCCAGGCCCGGCCGCACCGGCGGCCCGCCACGCTCGCCCGTCAGGTGTAGTAGCCCGGCCTCTGCGCCCGCGATCATGTCGTAGCCGGCCCGTTTCGCGTACGGACCGACCTCACCGTAGCCTGTAGGGGAGTGTCATGTCAGCTGTAGGTCTGGGTATGACTCCAATGCTGTTATGTAGATCAAACATATCAAACATCGCAGGCACAAAACACCTTGGAGGGACTGTCTGTTGCTTACCTGAAACACTGGCATGGATGATGCGAGGGTTGACTTTCGACAAGACATCATATCCGAGCCCTAATCGCTCCAAGGCGCCAGGCCGGAAATTGTCCACCCTAGAAGGAATCCCAGACATGAGCAAACCGGACCGAATCGTAGAGGCTGGGAGGTGGGAGGTGTGAGGTCGGAGATAAAGATAGGGGTAGGGGTAGGGATAGAGATAGGGAAAGCATAGGATGAGTCAGAATAGGACATGAGAGCAGACATGCTGTCTCTCTCCATCTCACTTACACCACATCAGCCTTTTCGGCAAGCGACAGGAATATGGCGCGGCCCTTCTCGCTTTTCAAGTTCAGGCAGATGGAGCGCTTGTTGCGGTTGACGGCGGCGAAGTAGTTCGAGATCGGTCCTGCCTCGTCCTTCCACGCGCTCTGCTCGCCCGACACTTTCCAATATCGCGTGTCGTCCTGTCAAAGACACATCAGTCAGCCCCTCTCCTCAACCACCATGGCAATCTAGGCCAGAGACCGGGACTCAGTCGTACTCCCTTGCCCACATCTTCCACCTTGATCACTTCGGCCCCGTAGTCGGCCAGAATCTGGGTGCACAGCGGTGCCTTGGGTACATTAACGTTAGAGGATGACAGATGACAGGCTCATAGACTGGCATGGCAATCCGCCTTGCCTAGACATGCGTCTGGGATGGATGGGGGCATCATATCATACAGCTAGCACTCGCGACAGATCGAGAATCTTGATTCCCTTTAGGGGGCCTTCGTTCTTGGTGTTTGACAGTGTCTTCAGCGTCCGTGGATAGTGGTTGGCGTTGATGTTGGTGTCGCGGTGGTTGAGCAAACCAGTCCGTGGTGACCATGGCCACTGCAACAGCGGACGCCCCAACTGCCGCTTCATGGTGAACTAAACTTCAACTCCCCTTTTGGATTGAGATGGACGCCCTAGATCGCATTGTGTGGTCGATCTTGGCCTACATAAATATTAAGTATCACTTGTGGTTGATAGTCAATCAAACAGAGGGATGGCCACACCACGCTACGCCACAATACGCACACACACACTCACTTGCTTTCTCGTTGGCTGGCTCTTGCTCGGCCTAGGAGCCTGCCCAGTATTCTCGACCATGGCAGCTGCACCACAGACACGGGGAGCGGTGGGACAGGGTGTCGGTTGTGGCTACAGAGGAGGGTATGGCCGTGGCCGTGCCGTCTACGAGGACCGAGCTGCCGGAGGGTGAGCCACGGCTAAGGTCTGTGAGTGCCCAAGTAATAATATTACTAACTGTACGGGGCACAGTAGCTGGATGTGTACAGTATCTACAGTATGTACAGAGTACGGAGCACATACCAAATACAGTGTACGGATACAGTATGAGGTATGACGCGGAGGGGGGGTTGGTTCTATTGGTATTGGTAGGACAGTCACAGTCGGCCCGTTGGCTGATGATGCCCTCGCCCCCTTTACTTTATCCTCGGCCAATTGACCCAGGACCTTAGCCTGACCCAGGCAATCCCCCAACCACACTGACTTGGCCCTCCGTACACATGGCGAACGACGTACGCGGCAAATCTGGTCAGCGGCTTTAAGACCTTTGGGTCTTGTGGTTGTTTGTGTCATGTCTTGCTAGACAGGCTTCCCCCAACTAAGCTTGAAATGGCTGCCTATCATCTGGTCCAACATCACCACCAGATGCATCCCGCCGGTCTACATCGTGCGTTGGCCTTCAACAGCAACAACACCCTCGCCCTGAAGAGAACTGTGTTGCGGCCAGCAGGGAGTGGGAGCAGGAACAGCCATCCCAGAGCTCTACGATGGCAGCATCAATGTCAACGCCGCCAGTATTCCCGGTCCACCTCGTTCAGCGGCGGGCGAGATGTGCGGATCCTCGAAGTCGGCCCCCGTGATGGGCTGCAAAACATCAAGACGCTGGTGCCGACGCCGACCAAAGTTGAACTCATCGAGAGGCTGGCCGCCGCGGGCCTGCGTGACATCGAGGCCACCTCCTTCGTCTCGCCCAAGTGGGTGCCGCAGCTGGCCGACGGGGCGGAGGTGATGCGGCAGATCCGGCCACTCACCCACGCCCAGCCAGGCGACGGCGACCGACGATTCCCCGTGCTGGCGCCCAACCCCAAAGGGCTGGAGAACGCGATGAAAAGCGACGCAAAGGAAGTGGTCATCTTCGCCTCAGCGTCGCAAGCATTCAGCAAGGCAAACCAAAACTGCACGGTGGACGAGGCACTGGCGCAGGCCGAGAGTGTGGCGCGCAAAGCCCTTCCCCAGGGGATTGCAGTTCGAGGGTGAGCTACCTTTCTCTTAGTGCTATCTGCATCCCTGCTACTATTCTTGCTATTCATATCAATACTCAGAATCATGCCAGTTGGCACGACCCGAACCAGCACTGACTGACACCAATCTAGGGTGGTCTCGTGTATCTTCGCCGACCCGTACTCCGGGCCGACCAAGCCGCAAGAGGTCGAGTACGTGGTCAAGCGGCTGCTCGACATGGGCTGCTACGAGGTGTCGCTGGGCGACACGCTGGGGGTGGGCACGCCGTACGACACGCAGCTGCTGCTGGAGTATCTCCTGCGCGACACGCCGGCGCGGCTGCTCGCCGGGCATTTCCACGACACGTACGGCCAGGCGGTGGCCAACGTGGCACGCGCCTACGACCTGGGCCTACGGACGTTCGACAGCAGCGTGGCCGGGCTCGGCGGCTGTCCGTACGCGGTGGGCGCCAAGGGCAACCTGGCCACCGAGGACATTGTGTACATGTTCGACCGGATGGGCGTCAACACGGGCGTCGACCTGGACAAGCTCGTCGAGACGGGCGACTGGATCTCGCAGCAGCTGGGACGACCGAACGGCAGCAGGGCGGGATCGGCGTTGGTGGCTAAAGCAAAGGCAGGGACGAAGGCGCCACCGACGCCAGCATCAACCAGTACAAAGACAAGTACAGATACAAGGCCAAGTACAAAGACACCAACAGCCACTGGCTCCGCCACAGCCACAACTCCAACCACTACAAAGCCGACGCAAGAGCGGACCTGGACTCTCGTACAAGATTACGGCGACTACAAAGTCGAGCGAGCCGGGCCGGTGGTCCAAGTGACGCTGACGCGGCCGGCGAACGGCAACGCGCTGACGGGGCCGATGGTCGACGGCCTGACGGCACTGTACCGGTCGCTGGCGCAGGACCGCACGGTCTTCCACATTGTGCTGGCCGCGGAGGGCCGGTTCTTCTGCACGGGGATGGACCTCAGCGGCGGCACCGAGACCAGCGACACATCGGCGGCGGACGGCTACTTTGCGCGGGTGTCGGAGCTGTTCCGCGCCATCGACGAGAGCCCGCAGACGACGATTGCCGTGGTCGACGGGCCGTGCTACGCGGGCGGCGTGGGCCTCAGCACCGTGTGCGACGTGCGGCTGGCGTCGTCGCGGGCGCGCTGGACGCTGTCCGAAGTCAAGCTGGGCCTGGCGCCCGCCATCATCTCCAAGTTCATGGTGCGCGAATGGGGCGTCTCGTTCGCCCGCGAGGCCATCCTCAGCGGCCGCGAGGTCCACGTCGCCGAACTGCACCGTCTGGGCGCCGTGCATGGGTTGGCCGACGGGTCTGACGACCTGCAGCGCCTGCTGCACGGCTATCTGGACCAGCTGCGCAAGGCTGCCCCCGTCGCCGCCTCCTGGTGTAAGGACCTGGTCAAGGTCGCCTGGGCCCTGCCGACCTCGGCCAAGCAGGAGCAGTTGATCAGCGACAAGTTCGCCGACATGATGCTGCCGGGCTCCGAGGGCAGGCATGGCATTGCCCAGTTTCAGAAGAAGGTCAAGGTCGTCGATTGGGTCAGCTTCTGGAACGAGAATAAGAAATGATGGACCGGCCTCGGGCAGTTTTGCATCCATCAATCGATGGAGAGGAAAGCTTCTCTGCTTCTTCCTCTCCTTCTCCTTTGGTCTATCAAACCCCCGTAGGCAAGACACCGCCGAATGTATAGGTTTCAACTCGTACTAATATCAAAGTAAAGATATCAGGTTAGGAATAAATCTATTAGGTCGATTCTTTTGTGTTTGCCAGCCTTGGACGGCGTCTGTTGTCCTTCAACCCATGGTGCCGCATCGTCTCGCCTCGCCCACAGCACGTCCTCCCATGCCACCAGTCAGCAGCAAGAATTCCTAACCTGGGCAACAATATTTACCGGTCAGAACAGGAAGAAACTCTGACCTAGGCAACAATATTCAGATGATTGTAGTCTTTGTACCCAGTATTCATCCCACCGCAGTCTTCTCTTCGATCCATCCCAACAAAACCAGTTGGACGTGGTACCTAGGAGTACTGCAGCACTCTGTGGTACGTAGTAGTACCTGGCACCTAGCTGGGACGTGTGTATCTTACTATAGTATGTACGGAGTACGGATACAGTACTGTGAAACTGTGATATCTTGATACTATACTTTGTATCCGTACTCGTACCGTAATTAGAACCAAGATACGTAGGGTAATTAGGTAGGTTTGTTGGGTACCTATGTAGGGAGGTACATTACCCTCGGGCCGAGGGATGACCACGCCCGTCCCTCCCGGCCAGAATGACAGACAGAGCCCACCCGCAATTCCTCGACTAATCTCACCTAGGTCTTAGTACTCTTTGGAGAAAGAACAAAGCAAAAACATGGCCCACAAGCTTACTCTTGGGGTGTCCTTAGCGGTACTTTACGTCGGTATGGTATTCTCGTTTTTAAATGACGCTCGTTCGCGCCGCTTGCTCTCTTTGGCCGGGGCTATGTACTTACTGTATATACTTGAACTGTATATACTTGAACTGTATATAGTCGAACTGTAGGTACTCTGTGGCACAACGAGGACAAGATATATATATAAGCGTATATATATTTATGTGTGTGTGTGTGTGTGTGTGTGTGTGTGTGTGTGATTGGTGGATTACATTCACCAGCAATATATAGTGTCGTGTATATACTCTTCTCTTGCAAGTTGTCATGTGATGTCCATCCTGCGCTCTTCTGTCTCCTCTTGTCCCACGGCGGCGCGGTATGTCGATGAGAGAGTGAATTGTATGCTCGACGGCCTGATGCTCATGCTAGGTTGAGGTTGAGGTTCAGGTTGAGGTTGAGGTTCAGGTTGAGGTTGAGGTTCAGGTTGAGGTTGAGGTTGGGATTCTTAGAGAAAATTGATCCTATCAGACAGACCATAGCCAAACACAACCACAACCAAGGGAACAATATGACAGGACCAGGAACAAGAACCGGAAAGTCATGGCTTCACATTCACATTCATATGAACAAGATACAATCCATCAGGTATTCATACTGTAGTTTGAAATAGATATCAATCCCCTAGTGACTGTTTGCCAACTGAACGCCAATGAGAACTGCTCAATCACAACATTTCTTGGAACTCATATATACATGAAAGAACACCGTAAACCGCTTTCCCTAAATCATAGTCTGGCTGACTCACTGCTGTATTCACTGCCTGCCGGCTCAAAACTCCGCAAATAGAATCGCGGTGACTGGGCCAAATTGGGGAGCTGAGCCTGATGTATTCTTCCCACACTGACGCGAGCCCCCGAGCTTAGAGTCAGGGTCAAGCAATCTGAGGATCAAAAGCATCCAGCCACTGCGTATCAAACCCAACGCCCAACTCGTCGGACAGCTTGAAGAAATCGGCGCAACCTTCCATGTCGAGGAACGAATCTAGGTCCAGCTGCATTTCGTCGCCCGCTGAAGCTCCCACTCCCGGTCGGCCGGTCACACGCGGCGGTTCTCGGTTGAACTCGACAGCTTTATTGCCGTTGCCGTGAAAGCCTGGCTCGGCAACGCCCTGGTATCGTCGCCAGGTGGAGACTACATCGCCATCGCCATCAGTATCGCCACTGACCACGAGCGGGGCGTCACTGGCACGCACGGCTGGGTCTGGGCGGCACGACTTCCTGCTGTCTTCTGACGACGAGATGATCGCGGCAGACCCCAAGGCTCGAGTTCGCGCGGGGCCTGGCCCTACACCCCCAGCCTGAACGGCCCCAGACGTCGACGGTGGGACATTGAACTGGTACTCGAACTGCAAAGGCGCTCCCCTGCCGTCACTGACTTGCACGTCGGGCAGGCGTTCGTTCAGGCCCACCATGGCCTCCGTCGAGCCGGCCCGCGACGACACCTTGTTGGCCGCAGCGGTCAAGAACGAGCAGGCAAACGCGCCGGACGCGTACATGTCACCGAGCTGCTCCAGGGCCTGCATGCACAGCGCGAACTTGCGGGTGCTGGTCTGCTTGAGGTCCGGATCGCCCACGGTCTGGTCCAGGATATGCACAATGGCGGCGTGCAGAACACAGGTGACGCCGGTGTTGGGCAAGAAGCGCACCAGGCCGTGTGCGTACAGGTTCGTGAACAGGATGGTCAGGTCATTGGCAGCCTCGCGCGTCTTTCGGCGCGACAGGTCTCGGATCTCGGGATCCGTCGAGTGCGTGGCCATGGACAGAATCTGCGGTCGGTGCAAGGTGCTGATCGAGGTCAGATACACCGCCTTCAGCACCGCGCGGTGGAGATCCAGCACGTCGCAGCTGTCGTCCGGCGACGTCCCAGAAGACATGCCGCCGAAGCAGCACAGCTCTTGGGCGTGCGCTCGATACCACTTGCGCAGGTCTTTGTCGCATTGTAGCATGTCGCAGGGATCCGGCACCGCCTGGGCAGGGGCTGGGGTGGTGTTCGTCTTGTGATTGCGCGCTTGGATCGAACTGATCCCGGGTGTGCTGCACTGCATCTCGAGGATCGGGGTCAAACAGACGCACAGACTGGCCATCCCGAGACACAGTTGGGCCAAGGATATGCGCACCGCTTCGTTGCTGATGGTGGGACAGGGAGGGCCGAGCATCCTGCTCACTTCGCCGGACAGAGGCTTGGTCTCGAAATCCGACAGCTCCAGCATGGGCTGGTCGAACGTGTTCTGGCTGATCCGTGAGGGCCGCCGGAAGGCCAGCGAGACCAGTCGGTCTCGCATATAGCACGACCACCAGATCCGCTTCCACAGCCGCCGTTTCTGGATGTTGTGCGGCGGGAACGGGGATGGGTCGTAGTTCAAACCGATGGCCTTGGACAACGACACCGCCACACCCAGCCAGTACCACACATCCTTGGGGTCGTCGGGGGTTTCGTTCCAGTACGTCATCAACAGACTGCTTTGGATGATGGTGACGCGGTCCACTTCGTAATCCATGTCGCAGAGTGACTTGATGCGCAGGTAGAAGCTTCTCCGGGCCATGCGGCGATTGCTGTAGCCGTGGGCGGCCAACGTCCTCGCGGCCACGTAGGGGGTGGCGGCGAACATGACGGCCTGGAAGAGCATCAGGCTGACCGCATTGGCAGGTTCATTCTGCTCAATGGCGGATAGAAAGTCTTGCAGGTCGAGCACCGGCATGTACGGGTGGACGAACTGCACATAGCACCGTAGCAGTTCGTTGCGTAGAGCCGTGTCCGGGATGACGAAGGCGCCTTTTCGCTGCAGATACTCAACGTCCTCGGCGGCCAGCCGGGTAGGGATCTTGCGGATAAACCGGGGCAGGGAAAGGGCAACGTCCTGGCTCAGGCTCACCCGCCGCTGGCCAAAAGTCGTGGTGGGCGAGCTTTGGGACGGCGGAGACAGGGGCAGCTGAGCATGAGTACTCCTGGCCCCGACGGATATAGTGTCGGCATTGGTGTCGTCTTTGTCGCTTCCCTTCAATTGGGACACGCCGTCTAACGAAGCATCTAGGGTTGGTCGGGCAGTCAGCCAAGGCCTGCAACAGTGGAAGGTACTGGGCAGAGAGAGGTTCAAGTCCAACGCGAACCACCATCTGAAGATGCCAGGACTACTGTACCTTGATCTCTCGAGCGGGCACTGTCACGCCGGCAACCGGCAGCATCGCAGCGGGAGCCGGTATTGGGCACGCTGGGCAACGGCGTGATGCACTGAAGACCAGGAATGTCGTCGAAGATGGCGAACTGGGGCGGCGACTGGTCTTCCTCGACCGAAGGCTCTGGAGTGGCCCGCCGCGCCCGTTGCGGCTCAACACGACGTTTGCGTTGACGCAGGCTCTCGGCCACTTTGCACTCGACGCCGTCCAGTCGACAGTTGGTACACGGCATGCGGTCGTTGACATCGCACCGTACCTTACGCGCGCGGCAGCTAAGACAGGCCTTGGACGCGCGGCGTTTGAACCCGCGTGGAAGGGCGCTTTCTTCCATGACCGCTGGATGTGTGTTTAGGCACACGCCGTGCTAGAGAGCCTTGGGTATCAGTATCAAAGAAAAGGAGCCTCGGGCAACCACGAGAGACTGTCCCGTCGCTTGGACCGCGTGAGAGGGGAATGGAATGAGGGAAAGGCTCGAGTGCCGGCATCACGAGCAACAGACCGATGTAGGAATTAAACCATACCTTGGGCCCCGGGCTAAGGAGGCCCATGTGACGGCGGGGTAGTGATAGCACCATCCCACCTAATCCCATGCTCCCCTAGTCCGGGGCACAGGAGTCCCTCCTCCTCTGAAGTTGTGGGGAGGTGGGTGGATTGCCGCGTACGGGAATGAAATGACCGCGTGCTGGTGTCAGGGCGGCGTTTACTGGTTACCCTCTATACCAGGAGGAGAGGGGAGCGGTTCCAGGAGGGTCAGTGTGCTACACTCGTGCTATCAGACATGTTGCCTGGAAAGATCACAACCGTAGGCAAGGTATCCTGTATAAATGAATTCTAACACGACGTGCGATTCCGGTTTCTACCACAAGGCACCAGATATTTCATCTGCACGTGATCAGCTACAGCACGTGACCCACGCTGTGCTTGGCATCTGCACACCGAGACCAGGCTGAGATGGGAGATGGGATATCCTCATTGCAGCCTGAGTCCAAGTTGCAGCCTGGCCGTCACCGTCACCATCACGGCCTCTTGAATGCCTGTGTTCCTACAGCCACCTCGGATGGCACCACTGACGCGCTCTCCGTGGCCTCGTCCTTCAATCGTCCCTCGTCCCTCGTTCCACCGTGAATCCTTTCCAGGAATCCAAAGCCGCATTGATGGTCTTACCATAGACATTCACGCCGCCCAGGTACAGTAACAGCTCTCTCGGCTTGCCGGGCACGTTAGCTCCCATGTACCACGAATCGGCCAAGGGATACAACGTCTTGTCCCCGATCTTCTTGACTTCATCGTACCACTCCTCCGCGGACGCCTCCGGGGCGTCGATCGCCACGATGCCCTCGCTGCGGAACTTCTCCAGGGCACTGGCGATCCAGTCGACTTGGATCTCGATAATAGGCGGGCCATTGGAAAAGGACGTCGGGGCTTGTGGGCTGTACACCATGAACAGGTTGGGCATGTCAGGGATCATCAGACCCAGATACGTCCTCACCCCGTTCTTCCACTTCTCGCGGAGAGACACGCCATTTTTGTCTTCCAGCCCCATGTCGAGCAGGCTGCCGGTGACGGCGTCGTAGCCCGTGGCGAGTAGGACGATGTCGAGTTCGTGGAGCCCGTCGGTAGTGGCGATCCCTCCTTCCTGGAACTCGGTGATGGGCGTCGCGTTCAGGTCGACCAGTTTGACGTTGTCCCGATTGATCACATCGTAGTAGTCCTGTTCCAAGCTGGGTCTCTTGGTGGCAAACCACTTCTTCTGGGGGATTGGAGCGGCAATCTGGGCTTTGACGGGATCCTTGATCCGTTGCCGGACCTTGTCAGCCCAGAACTGGTAGAACTCCTTGTTGGCCTCCTTGTCGAAGATGAAATCCCGGTAGGTGCCTTGGTTGAAGGCGAAGCCTCCACGCGACCAGCCTTCCTCCATCAGTTTTCTCCGCTCCTCCGGCGTCGATTCCCAGAAGCCTTTGGTGTGCGGCTTGAACGGGAAGCCCGCCCTGCTGTTCCGGGCGCCGTCGTACAGGAATCCGTACGTCATCTTGCTCGTTTCCTGCTCTTCCACGCTGAGCTTCCGCTGGCGCATCGGCAGCGCCACGATGGGAGTGCGGATGAAGACCGACACGTCGGCGTCTTGCTTTCCCATTTCTTGGATCAGCTGCACGCCCGTGGCCCCGTTCCCGATGATGCCCACCCGCTTTCCTTTCACGTCGAGCCCCTCGTTCGGCCAGTCCGCCGCATGCACCAGCTGGCCTTTGAATTTGTCCAGGCCTTTGAAGGCGGGGATGTGCTTCCGGTACGACGAGCCGGTCGCGAGCACCAAGTACTTGCATCGGGCGGTCCGGCCGTCTCTGGTCTTGACCACCCACTGCTTCTTCGACCTGTCATATTTGGCCTCGGTCACAATGGTGTGGAAGTAGGCGTCCTTGCTGAGATCCAAGACCTTGTCCACATGCCTAAAGTACAGCTTGAGCTCGTCGTGCGACGGAAAGCGTTCGGTCCAGTTCCAGGTCTTCCACACTTCGGGAATGGACAAGGCATAAAACGGCATTTCCGAGTCCACGCGGGCCCCTGGGTAGCTATTCCAATGCCATGTGCCACCAAACTCGGCGCCAGCCTCGAACAGTTTCGTCTTGAGGCCCAGCTGGCGAAGCTTCCACAGCGCGTAGACGCCGCCGAATCCGCCACCTACAATCAACACGTCCGTCTCCAAATCATGCTCTCCGTTCGTATGGGTCCGCTCTTGGCCCTGCACCTCGCTGTTCTCAAGGACCGGCATCGTAGAAGAGGTCTGATCTATAAAGGCCGACCGGGCAGTATAGTGTAATGTAATGTGGAAGCCGGCTCAGAGTTTCTTTCTTCGACTTGGCCGGGGTCTTGTACAGAGTACTGTAACTGCGGGCTGTCCACTACTAGTATGGACATGTAGTATCTATGTAGTACGAGTATTAATTACGTGCCAGGGGGGTGCAGTACTCCGGACTGGGCTCAGGTGCCAGGTTTCGGCAATCCCTATGGAGGGGGACAGTTACCTCGGAGAAAGGGGCCGCACAGCCTGACCTGATCTTCGCCTGGGGCCGAACTAGTATCCAGTCATCTGGTGGAGTGATGGCGCCCCGAGAAGGGGAGCTGTAAGCTGTTTGTTCCCTATACTGTACGTACTGTACATTCTTGTACAGTGCGTTGAACTGGGACCACTCAGGTGACGGCTGTACGGATATTGTATGACATGGACGTCTTTGTAGAGCTTCTCACCCCCGGCTGCCAATGCGTTACTACCTCGTATCTGATCTATGTGACGAGATATAGAACGGTGGTATATTTTGTCATTGTGGTATTTTGTCATTTTGTCATGTACGGTATGTTAGGACTACATGGAGCACGTTGTATTGGGCCTTTATAAGTCTAAATAGTATGGTCCTGGCCTTGGTGACCTGACCTCAGCTCACATCACCTCATCTCAGTCCCCTTATAGATACCGATACTCGGTGCTTGACCAAGGCAGGCTCTCCCTACAGCTCCAGACCCCCTGGGAATTCCCTTCTCCCGGATTGTGCCGTAGGACCGGACTCTTCTTCCATCTATATCTATATATATCATCTCAAGAGCATAAAGCAGCGTCTGGATGGACATGTAGCCATGCACACTATGGAACATCGACACCATCTCTCCGTCGACGGGATATGATGGGATTCACGGTTCCACCACAGCGCATACCCGTTTCATGACAGCAACATGGCGTACAGTGACTCCATTATAGCACGTATCTGTACAGCGGAGAGTAATCGCCCAGGTCCAGTAGTTCCTCTACAACAAATGAAGGAATCAGTCAGCCAATCCAAAGCCAAAGCCAAAGCCAAAGCCAAGCGTGCATTCAAAGACAGGACTGTGTAGGGTGTGGGAAGGGAAGCCGCTTAAGCATGCCAGGTTCGCGGACAGATAGATATCTCGTAGAGATTTCAAAACGTCTGAGAACTCCAAACTTCCACTTACGCTCTGTATATTTTGCCCTGACCTCCTCCTCACTCAGTTTATCCCGCTTCTCATTGGCCGTCTTATAGGCATAGCGCAAGACCAGCGTAGACAGGATCGCCACACAGACGCAGCCGAAACAGAAACCATAGCCCAACCAGTAGTGGGGGGCCTGTTTGGCGATGAAGATGTTGGAGCCGACGATGCCGCCGGCGTTGGCTAGACTGATGCCCAGGGCGATGCCGATGGACCGTTTCCACGTCGGGGCCAGGTTGTTGCCCAGCCACGAGGCCATGGTGATGACGGGCGGGTACAGGCCGGCCGGGATGAAGAACAGCCAGCCGTACGTCAGGCCGGGCAGGCGGGGATGGGGAATCGCCAACAGGCCGAGGAAGCCAATCACCCCGACCGAGTAGGGGATCACGATGAAGGGCCAGCGCGTGCGGCGTCGGTCCGCCAGCCACGAACACCCGAGCGTCGAGATCATCCCGACGAGATAGATCGGAATGGTAAGGAGCTGCGCTTGCGCCGACGTGTAGCCTAGTTCCAAGATGATGCTGGGTGCTGTGTAGGTGAAGGCATAGAGAGGGACACTGCGGGAGAAGAGGTTGGTCAGTGTGGGAGATATTGAATCAGGGTAGGGTCAGGTTCAGGGCTGGGTCAGGGTCAGGGTCAGAGTCAGGTTCAGAGTCAGGTTCAGGGCCTGCTGCTTGGACATCACATCTGCTGCCTGGGCATCTGACTGACGGCTTTGAGGATCAAAGCGGCCGGACGGTAGGGGATGATGTGATGTAAAAGACATAGATTTGATGTAAAAAAACATACGTGTTTCCCCAGAAGATAAAGACGGCAAACCAGATCTTCCAGTCGAACAAGGCCGCCCACAGAAACTTCCACTGGAAGCTTTCTGTGGTCGAGACCTTGCCGGCGGCCGTGCCGGAGTCTTGCTCCAGGCGGAACTTGATCGTCGCCTTTTCCGCCGCGGTGAGAAAGCCAGCCGTGTCAGGGGAATCCGGGAGCACAAAGGGGGTGGCCAGGCCGGCGAGCACGCTGAGGATGCCCTCCAGAATATAGATCCAGCGCCAGCCGGCCAGGTTGCCGACGCCGTCCATGTGCTGGATGCCGAAGGCGAGGAGGCCGGAAAACGCGCCAGCCAGAGACGCGGCGCTGTAGAAGAGCGCCATGCGCCTCTGCACCTCGAATCGGCAGTACCACGTCGTGACTAGGTAGGCTGCCGCCGGGAAGAAGCCGGCCTCGGTGACGCCTAGAATAATCCTGGTGGCGATCAGGCCGTGGTAGTTCTGCACAAATCCCTGACATAACATGACCTGGACAATGCATTCTTCATTAGTACTCGTCCGTATCGGTATCAGTGGCAGAGTCAGTGTCAGAATTGGTGTCGGCGTCAGAGTCAGAGTCAGACTCAGACTCGTCTGACTGAAGGGTTTCTGGTCCGGAAAGGAAGCTCCTAGGGCAGAGAGAAGGAGGACTCACCGTCCCCCATGCTGTCACAATGATGCTAATCCACCACGATGGCCGCATGAGCTTTAGAACAATGTTGCTGGGGACCTCGAAGATGGCGTAGGGGATAAAGAAGACCTAGATGCGAGATCTGCATTAGGAAAGTGCTCAACAACTTGAACCGAGCCAGCAAAGGATTTCCCTTGGACTGGAACCACTCCGGCCGGGCTCCAACAAAAACATGGCTGGGCTGCTTCTCTTACCGTCACCGCCATGTTGAACTGCGCGCCTGTCAGGCCCAAGTCGTCGTTCATTCCGGCCACTTTGGCGTTGCCGATGTTCCCTCGATCGAGGAACGAGATCAGATACAGGAAGGTCAGCATGGGCAACACGCGCCAGTCGACTCGGCGCATCAGCTTGATCGTCTCTTTGTCGTCGTAGCGCGGCTGGTTGGTCTCGTCCAGTGCATGGCCGACCAATGCCGCAGCAGTATCTGCATCTTTGGCCGCTTCTTCCATGTGCTCGAGGGGCTCTTTCTCGCCTGCCATATTGCAAACCCAGAGAGATACGTATACACACACAAGATATCTCTCACTATCTCTCTTTTATCTCACTCTGTTCTCCCGTGGACTGGGAGGCTTCCGCTTCCAGAATACCAGACCTGGCCAGACTGGATATATATGTATAGTAGTATAGTATATATGGGGATCGTTTTCTGGGGCACTTACCTACCTCATGGGGCCCCATGACACATGGAGAACGGTATACTGGAGGTGGATACCTACGTCCAGGTCCATCCATTCTGGGGTCTGGGGAGACCCGATGCCCGAGGCCCGAAATCGTAGCCGACAGTCATATCTACTATACAGTAGGCTAGACCTGACGGTAAGATGGAGTATATCTCTGGTTGTATATGTACAATACTCCGTCTCGGCGCGAGGGTGGTGCAAATTAGTCGGTCAAAATTCTGTCAAGGGAAGTCGCAGAGACGACGGGGTGTGGCTTTCGAATCAATTGGTGTACTGCAGTAGCTGTCCTACCTTAGTACGGTTCAGGGTCTTGCCCTGTTTTTGATTTTTGATCCTGGTCATGTCTGCATACAGAGTACAGGTACAGTACTTAAGTGGGCGGCGGCCTTAATACCAGTACCAGTACCCTTTGCTGTGGTGTATTTCGGTCGCCTTGGATCCTCTGGGGCTTGTCCTATGGCTTGCAAAGAAGTGCTCCTCGAGGGTGTCGGCATGTTGCTTGTTCCAAGGGAGGATGCTCACGTACTGAGAGCATATGTACGACGCCGTAGCGAGCGACCGTGCTCCGTATAGTAGTTCAGTCCAAGCAATATTATCGTGGAGGGAAGTTGAAAGAAAGATCTGTCTTGACTCGAATCTTAATAAATGGGCTGGATTTTCTAGACGACGCCGAGTCATAGGCAAGCTCGGCGTCTTTTGCACTCCTCCTTGCACATGGGACTATTAGGCCTAACATATGTTGATCGAGACTATCTATCTTACAGCATCGCACTGTCGAAGAAGGATAACATGTATTATCTCGCTGTCCCCCACTGGACGTTTCCCCTTCCCCACGAACAAACTATGCCGAGAAGGATGCGAGGCCAAGGACTTTCGCGGCCATCACGCCGTGTGGGCAGTCAGTCTTGCCCCCCCAAGCCCCCGCAATCAGGACGAGGAACCCCAGGGCGGACCAACATGGCTCTATACCGCACAGAGTAAGGACTCGGAATGGCGTGCTACTGTCCCCGAACTCGATGAATTCGGGCTTCGGGAGGCAGCCCCCCGAATCCGGGCCGACGCCGAGATCGAATCATATCGAAGGAAATGAGGGGGGAGACATCAAGACTTCCGTCATTTTCAGAGCATGCTTATCAATCGAATTCATCGCTATCTACTATTACAGAGAGGACATAGAAGTGGCTGTGAGACTAGGTACTGAGTGACAGCAGATTGCATTGGCCGTGCTTCAACACAAAACTACAAACTTCAAACTACGTGCAACGCTGATATCACTCCAGAGACAGGGTTGAATCTAGTCTTGATCGTCGATCGTGAGCGAGCTGAAGTCAGATCTTCTCCTTTACTCAGAGTTTCTTGTGACTGTACGCCGGTCGAGGCCACGTCCAGCAGAATCCCGCATCCAGCCTTCTCTGGACTGCTTTGTTCCGACATGGCGAGCACAAGCACATTCAAGCAGCTGGTTCGGTTCCAGGATGGCGAAGGCCGCATACACTACGGGGAAGTCGAGTCGGTCGACAACCTGGTCGGACAGACGGCGACGATCTACGACGGCGAGCAGCCGTGGTCGCTAGTGGCGACGACGAAGAAGGCGACGATTGCGTCGGTGCTGGCGCCGCTGGCGTCGGTGCCTCTCATCTACGGCGTGGGGCTGAACTACAAGAAACACATCGCCGAGGCGTCGTTCCCGACGCCCGAGTTCCCCGTCATCTTCACCAAACCCAACGACGCGCTGGCCGGGCCGTACGAGGACGTGCCGGTAGACCCGGAAGTGGTGGAGCTGGACTACGAGGGCGAGCTCAGCGTGGTGATCGGCAAGGACGTCAAGAACTTCAAGAAGGGCGACGACCCGCTGCCCTACATCCTGGGCTACACGGTCGGCAACGACGTGTCGTCGCGCTACTGGCAGGCGAATCCCCGGAGCGGCGGCCAGCACGGCATGGGCAAGTCGTTCGATAAGTTCGCGCCGCTGGGCCCTGCCATCGTCAGCCCGAGCGCCCCGGCCATCGCCGGCAAACTCAAGGACGGCATCCCCGTGCTGGAGCTGCAGACCCGCGTCAACGGCGAGGTGCGCCAGCAGACCAGCACCGGCGACCTGCTGTTCCTGGTCTCCGACATCCTCCAGTTTCTGAGCCGCGGGAGGACCGTCCGGCGGGGCACCGTCATCATGACGGGCACGCCGAGTGGCGTGGCCGCCTTCCTGGACCCGCCGAATTGGCTGAAGAACGGCGATGTCGTCGAGGTCGAAATCGAGGCCCTGGGTACCATCAAAAACAAAATGGTCATTGGCTAGACTAGACTAGACTAGACACATCAGCAGTATATGATATAGTATACTATCGAATCATCCTATATTAAAAACAGTATACTATACTAGTATTGTTGTCTTGGTATCTATAGATACTCTGTCATGAAGGGACCAGTATACTAGTCTTGGTATCTACTCTGTGGTTGAGCGCCAGAGCCGGAGCCGGAGCCGTCAATAATGAACAGAGACAGGGCAGATGTAGTCTTCCAAGGACGATACTCTCCTCACAGGCCTACTATATACCCACTTCCCATAACACCGACTCGAACCATACTCTATCATATGTTGTTCGTATCGGGTTTCATATCATCCTATATCCCCGGCCTCTAGCCCTACTATGTTCTATAAGCCTGATTAGGCAGGAGGACTGTGCACTGTTCACTGTTCACTGTTCAATGCTATCCCCAATAGCCTTTCACATTACTTTGCAATAAGAGAAAGACATGATACGGCGCTGCCTCCCAGCCATCTGGATACTTTTTCTGGTCTTCCTTGCGGTTGGCATTCCGGTATCTACTAAGGAACCGTTGATGCTTTCTTCGTATACTGAGCTGATCTGGGCTGGGCTGAATCGGCCTTGCATCCTTTCCAGTTAGCTGGCGCAAGCAGTCGCTGCCGCTGCTACTCGAGGCTCTCCAGCAATGCTTGGTTCAATTGCCATGACTAAAGCCATCTTTGCCAGAGAAGTGGACCGGACCGTCGGACGGAGTGGTCGATGTTTGATTGATGGGCCGGCATGGTCTGGACACTATGATGGTCTTGATCTCATTTTGATGCATGTGTCTCGTGCTCGTCTCGATGTCATTATGATGTGTCTCGTGGTGGTTGGCCGGGGTACACTCCACTCCCAGGAGACATTGTGGTGTTCAGTATATAGGGCCGGTCTCGTCCCCAGCCTCCTCCATGAAGGCGTCCCATGTCGCCTGCGGTTGTGAGTTAGAGTTGGGGAGAGGACAGTGTGAGTATAACATATAACAGCAGAGTGAGAGACAAAAAGATCGGAGAGGAGAGACGAGTAGGGAGCGATGTGAGGAAGAAATGAGAAGGCGAAAGAAAGGAGAGATGAGAAGGCACAAACGAACCCAATCAAAATCCAGATCCATAGACGACAACTCCGTCTCGAACGAGAATCCCCCGGAACCGTAAGGTGCATCAAACCAAAACTTGGGACTGGATGCTGAAATCTCCATCTCCGCCGGTGTTGCAGTTGCGGCCGATACTGTCTGGGACGATGGAGTGTCTGTGTTGGGGTGCAAGCCATTGCTACTGCCAGTGTTGGTGTTGGTGTCACTACTGCCAGATCTAGGTGGTTTACCTCTAGTCTGAAAGCCCGAGAGCATGCCGACCAGGAAGTGATGGACCCTAGCTGCCTCATCTCCGGCACCGGCACTCACAATTTCGGCCCAGCAGGCACACGAGTGCTCCAGAGTCTGCAAGAGAAGACGGCTCTCCGGAGATGAGGCGTCGGCGTCGGCGTCGGCATCCAATTCGGGGGCCTTGCGTCTCAATTCCAGCTCCAGCAGCAGTATCATGGCGGCGAGAGTGAGGATTTGCCGGGTGTGGCAGATTGCGTAAAAGGCGGGCTCCAGGGCGGTTTGGAGGGCCAGCATTCCCAAGGCAGATGAGAGACATCGCTGCCTGGAAACCCTGAAGCGAGCGTCGACTCTTGCCCGGGCCAGGAACTGCCGGTGCAGCGTACACATGCCCTTGTGGTACATGCCGAGCAGACTGAGGTTGGAGAAAGTGGCTTTGACTTTGGCTTTGGGCTGGCCAGCAGCACTGTTGTCGTGGTCTCCGCCCTCGTGCCCATGCTCGTCCTCACCGGGGGCCTGTGCCACCCGCATGTGTGGAGGAATGCTCTGATACGCGTCATGCAAGGCCCGGTCGATCTCGAGCACGGTCTCGTACGAAGCCAAAGTCGGGCTGCTGCTGAAGTCGGCCACGCGACCCAGCGCCTGGAACAGCCGGGCCTTGACAATCAGATACGTGGTCGGGGTCGGCTGGGTGAGCGGTCGCGACGGGGGCAGCACGGTAGATTCCTCCGACAGCTCCCAGTCATACAGGTTGCGCGGCTCCTTGGTATCTGAGGCAACGGCCGACATGGTGCGCGGGCAGCCGGCGAGAAACGAGGCCATGTCGTCCATGCTGACCACGGACAGCCAGATGCGGCGTCGGTATTCTGCCTGCAGCACCGAGAACGAGACACCGGGGGACGGTGACGGTGACGTGTCCGGGTCGCGGTGGTAGCCCATGTTGATGGCGGCGCGCACCACGACGCCGGTCATGATCCACAGGCCGCGGCGGTTGTCGTCCTTTCGATTCAGCTCCGCGGTCGCGTTGAAGCGCAACGTCTCGACCGTGTAGGGGAGACACTTGGCCATGTCGCCGCTCAGCAGACACTGTGCCGTCCGCGTGCGGTACAGCTGGAACAGCCACTCGGAGAGGCCTTCGTACCCACGGGCCTCGCCGTGCTGGTGGTACGCGAGCATGGTAATGCCGAGAATGGAGAACAGGAGGCCCAGCCAGATCAGGTTGGTGCGCGACGGATCTTTCCAATGTTCGTTGTACTGCGGACAGGCACAGACACAGCACGAGATCAGCCGGGCGGACATGGACATTGGATGGGAATAGAGGGAGGTAGGAGTGGAACGGAAACAGGAACAGGGATAGGAACACAGCCCACACCCACTCATACCTCGTGCATGAACGTCGGCTGATGGAGGATTGCTGGTCATTGACACAGGTCAGCACTAGGTTTATGCTCGCTGGCATCGTGGATCGGCTGTGGACATGGACTTACGAGGGATGCTAAGGGGGAAGGTATCCCTGTCAAAGAACTGGGCCACCAGCCGATCAACCTCGGGCTTGGGCGGCAGTGTCGAGAGCATCTCTACCCGTTCGATCGGCTTGACCTGGCTGAAGAGCAGGCTCGTGCCATCAACTGTATGGGAGATGTTGGGACGGAACTGGAAGTGGGAGTGGGAAGCACCCTGGTCATCCTGGCCCTGCCCTTGACTCCAGGTTCGTTTGAGCTCGTTGATCTGAATCCTCTCGTGTTAACCGGGGATGATCTTCTCTGCATGGAACGGGATGAACAAGAACAAGAGCAAGAGCAAGAGCAAGAGCAAAAGCAAAAGCACGGCACAGCACAGCACACACCTCTTGCAGCAGAGCATCGAAATCGTCCTCACTGCGATAGACCGAGTGGCCCCCATCCACATCCATTGCCGTCTTCGGCGCATCCTGAGCATCGGATGCCACCGCCACAGCGTACGGATACTGGGCCCGTCCCAGTCCCACCGCGGGGTTGGGGTTGGGAGTCGGCGTACAGGCGCCATTGACATTGGTGCTAGGCGACGACGCCGACATCGACACATGCCCCTGCTGGCGCTCGGCCATGAGCTTCTTGACCAGATGCTCCAAGTGGTCGATCCGTTGGCGCATCGCATCCCCATTGCCACTCCCATTCCCATTATTCGCGTCGCGGTGGTCATGGTCGACGGGAAGGACCACGCCCTCAGTCTCATTCTTGAATCCCGCTCCGCGGAACTTGCAGGCGGGCTGTTCACCGCGGGCCATGCAGTTCTGACAAGGTTGGTCCCGGTTACATTTCAGCCTGGGATCCTGTCAGCATTCACGTTCACGCCTTGGCCTGAAAGAGAAGCGGATGGACAGATCGTGTTGAGAGGCTGAGGCTGGTTGGGTCTACCCACTTTCTAGCGCGGCATGGGTCACATGAGAGAGGAATGCGGGTGCGCCGAACAGGCTGACGAGGCTGCTTTAGGGCCCGACCAGACGACAGAGTACCTTGGGACGGCATTGCATGTCCTGTCCTGCGAGAAGGAGTCGAGGCTAGTTAGCCCGGTCTCTCGTCCTGGTTCGGGTTCCAGTTTTAGTTTTAGTTCTAATTGCAGGAGGACAGCCGAGATAGACGCCTGAAGGTAAAGGTTTGCGATGAGGACAAGGACGAAAACGACGACAACTGAGTGAGGCACGAGCCTCGTCGGTTTTGCCTGGGACACGTGACCGTTAAGTCCACGGAGATACCAGCCTCACACATCAAGCACCAAGGGAGACGGCGGACAGCGGACAGCGGACGGGCGAAGGAGCCTCGATAGGTCCGCGGACATGGTTATCTCCGAGAAAGAGATCCGGGCACGGGGATAGATAAAGGCGTGGATGCTTTGGAAGAGAAGAAATGCACATATGTATATATATATAACTATATTCTCTTACGCTTTACAGGCTAGAAGTCAGTCGCAGCGAGACATTTATCCATCCTCACCTCTACCAAAATATTAGAGAGGTTTCCCCAGCCTCATCTACAAGTCTCACCACTTATTCTACATTCTATATAGTCAGGCTGTCCCCCCTCTCGTTGTGAGAGAAGGAAGGAGCTCTTCAACCCTACTTTGAGAATCTCAGCCACCATGCCTTCACTCAGCGACTTCCTCTACACCCAGCTCGTGCTCAGAATCCCCAAGCCCTCGGCCTCCTTTACGTCCAAGACCGTCATCATCACCGGGGCCAATGCAGGTCTGGGCAAGGAAACGGCCCAGCACATGATCCGCCTGGGCGCCAGCAAGGTCATCTTCGGCTGCCGCAGCCCGGTCCGGGGCGAGCAGGCCAAGCGGGAAATCGAGAGGCTCCTGAAATGCCGTGCGGACATCATCACGGTGTGGGAACTCGACCTCGAGTCGCCCGCATCGATTCGACGCTTCGTCGACCAGGCCAACGCCCTGCCCCGGCTGGATGTGGTGATCAACAACGCGGGGGTGCACGTCGCCAGCTACACCGTCGTCTACGACACCGAACGCACGCTGGCTGTGAACGACATCGGCACCTTTCTGCTCGCGCTGCAGCTGCTCCCGAAGCTGAAGGAGACGGCGCGGAAGCACGGAGTCACGCCGCACATGACCACCGTCTCCTCCGCCCTGTACGACATAGCCAAATACCCGGAGAGCCGTGGAGATGACATGGACATCTTTGCCTGGTTCAAGGACGAGGCGCATGTCAACTTGATGAATCAGTAAGACTGTCTATCTACCCAACCTCAATCCCGATCCTGTGCCCGAGCTATATTCCCAACCTTGTACTGGATTGCTTATGGGCTATGGCCTGTATTGCCCATGGGCTCAGCAAGGCTATTCTATCCTACCACACTGGATTTGCTCTCAACGTGTTCTCGGAAAGCTAACCAATCTGTCTGTCGGTTCCAAGATACAACCTCTCCAAGTTGTTCCAGCTCTACATCATCATCAAGCTCTCGGCGATAGTCGATCCCATCGACGCCGACAACCCCAACCCCAACCCCATCGTGATCAACTCCCTCGATCCCTGCTTCTGCAAAACAGGTCTGTCGGGCGATCTGACTGGTGCCCCCAAGGTCTTCTTCAGCATCTTCAGGGCGATCTTCGCCCGGACCGCCGAGGAAGGCGCGCGGCTGGTGGTGCAGGCGGCATCGGCAGGCCGCGAGACTCACGGACTCTACCTGCGGGCTGGCGCCGTGCAGAAATATGCCCCCATTGCCCAGGATGAAAAGAGGGTCAGCTATGTCTGGGACCAGCTCTGCCAGAGGCTGGAGAAGCTGCAGCCAGGTGTTCTTACGAATATACAGGCGGTAAAGAGTTGAGAATAGTAGTCGTGGCCGTGGTTCTCTCCCTTGTTCTATTCTTTCTCTTTCTCTTGCAGGCATCATCTACATGTACAATACCTCTCAATACTATTACTTGTTGTGATTGTCTATACTAAATCTAAATTCTTACCTCTCTTCTTCAATGGCTCTGACACCGCTGTCCTATCTACATCATACGAGTTACTTGAGATAGAAGTATATCCCAGTCAAGCTCAGAACCCTCCATTTCTTGCTGGCCGTCAAGCTTGGGAGTGCATTATTGCATCCTGTACTTGGGTCCTTCAGCAGGATCCATAGCTGCAGTCCATCGATCAAAAATCTTCTTTTGCTGTTTAAGACCTGCAGGATCCTTTTGTCAGGGGGACAATATCTTCTCTCCCCCTTATCGACCACCTGATCTCGGGGGCCGACTGTCATGCGAGTTGGGAGTGGAGTGGCGGTTACTGTAAACAAAACAATATTCCCTTCCCGCTCAATTCACTGTACACTGTACAATAATGATGCCATGCCAACAATCTACTGTGACTGTACACTAGTGTGTCATCCATCCATGGATTGGCCAGATCAGACCAAAGTGGTGGAGTAGTATTATATGGTAGGGTGTGGTAAGGTGTGGTAGTAGATACTGTACTGTACTATACTCACTGGCCATAATTGGGCCGGCCTAGATCTCTATTAGATCTTCACGTTGCTGGAAGGAAAAGGAATGCTACCAACCTTGGTGTCCGTACTCCGTACCTTCTTAGGATATAGACACCAGATTTCTAACACGTAGAGTCAACTGCCTGTGAGATGGCATCGCTGCAAGTGGGAGGGTTAGGGTTAGAAGTCCAAACAGGGGCTGGGGCTGGGGCTGTCGATCAAGTAGTCGTAGCCAGCCTCAGCCTTGTCCTCTTACCTATGGCGCCTATGTATATACAGTATATGTCTATTACCTAAGGCCTCCCCAAAAGCTATTCCTTAGGCTAAACCTTAGGCCTCCTATGTACTGTACTGTGCTGTACTGTACCTCCCAAGGCCTTGATTGAAGTCCAAGTTCGTCAACACTAATGTATGATATATATCGAGCAATCATGTGTTTGTAGATGGTACTAACTGTATATACAAAACGCAACACACCACACCCTCGACGCCTGTGTCTGATGACTGCTGCAAAGGGCAGCTCCGACTGCAGTACCCATGTAGAGTTTATACCCATGTATGTAGACTCTGGCTACAGCACCACTATATAATGTATGTCAGTGCTATGCTAGTACGTTGCCGAGACCAGCATAGGTACCAAATACTGTCAATTCCTGAGAGCCCGAGCTCCATCTCAAGCCGGCTTCCAAGCGCCAAAGACCATGCCTTCGGGGACTTTCTTCCACTGGCCTGAATCAGGGAAAACCAGCTCTTCACAGTCCTTGACGGCTTGACGGATGATCTTGGTGCGCTCTGGGCTTCGGGGCTGGATGTCGATCTCGAACGGCTTGGGATGGACGGTGATGCCGCCGATCAGGTTGTTGATGTCGGGCGTGATGGGGTTCCCGGCACTGTCGAGCGCCTTGTTGAGGTTGAATCCCCACAGAATGCGCGACAGACCCAGGAAGAGGGATCGCTCGGCGATGTGGATGCCCTGACATAGACGGCGACCGGCGCCGAAGTTGAAATTGTCGCGCTTCAGCGGCTCGCCGTGCGCCGATTCATAGAGCGTCGTCGAGTCGCCGGCAAATCGGTCCGGGTTGAACCGACGTGGCTCGGGGCACCGGTCGGGATCCATATGGATGCCCCTGGAGTGGAAGATGGACCAAGTCAGTAATCATTCCTCCCGGGGGTCTAATTGGCCAACAAGTATAACTAGAAAGGGTGTGACAAGTGACGACCAGAAGGAGAGGGAGAGAGAGGGAGAGGGAAAGGGAAAGGGAGAGGCTTGACAGAGAAGACGGGAACAACTCACCAGACATTGTTGATGATGGTCGAATCTTTGGGGATCTTCCAGCCATTGTAGGTATCGTCCTTCATGACGCGGTGAGGCACGCCCAGAATGACGGTGGGCATCCAACGTAGACTCTCCTTGACACAGCATCGGATGTAGGGGAGGTTGGGATAGTCGTCCACGGTGGGTAGACGGTCGGGACCTGGAAGCAAATGTTAGGTTAGGGTTAGGGTTCACTTATGTAGGTTAGGGGCTGTGTGGCTATCGTGGGACTGGGACTGGGAAGGAGTGGTGTGTAATGGCCGGGGCTGACTTGCCTACGACACGGTCAATCTCCTCTTGTGCCTTCTTCTGCACGTCTTGGAAGACTAGCATGGCTTGCACGAAGCCGTACATGGTGGCAGATGTGGTGTCGGATCCGCCCTCGAGCAGCGAGCCGACGATGTAGGCCACAGCTTCGTCGGACAGGCCCTCGCTCTGTTGAGCCAGCAGGAGATCGTTGCAGATGCAGGGCTAGAGCGAGTCAGCTCAACTCAACTCGGTGAGAGTGGTGAGAGTGGTCTCGTTATCGTTGTCGTTGTCGTGACAGAAACAGAAAAGAAGCAGAAGCAGAACTCACCAATCCAGTCCCTTTCTTAAGATCCTCCTTCGCTTGAAGCCATAATCCCTTGTAGAGCGCCGTTCCCACTTTATTGACGTGCTTGGCCTTGTTGACAGCCGGGAGCAGGAAGGCAGGAAGCTTTTGCAGAATCGGATACAGGTCGGCCAGTTGGGCGGTGCCACTTTCAGACACTTGGCCCCATCCATCGACGGTCTGTGCAGATAGACATGGGCCATCGGTCAGACAAGCGAGAAATCAATAAATGGTATAGACCAACTCACGTAGAACAGTTCCTCCAGCCGGCGATCGTCATATCGAGGACAGCGGTAGCCGAAGATCATCTGGGTGGACAGCGAGAAGCTGAAGCGCCGTAAATGGTTGAAGAGGTTCTCCGGCGTGTCCAGCAGGCCTTCCAACATGAACTTGTTCTCCAGGTCCTGGTAGGGAATGTATTTGGCCGCCACCTTGATGTTCAAGATGTTGTGGATGAGCCTGTGGATGATTCGCCAGGTGTCGCCGTATCTCTGCGAAAGCAATGCAATTAGAATTGCGCTCAGCGTGGTGCACCTTGTAGATAGGATGGGGAGTCTCGAGGTGGGAAAGGGCTTGGGCCCAAATCATGTCTCATGTGCCGTACAAGGAAGGCGTTAGGTAGATGTGTAGGTACTCACCATGACCACCAGTCTATGGCCGCCACTGGCCACCGTCTGGCTGAGATACATGTCCGGCCGGTCCGAGTATATGGTGCCTCTCTTGTCCAGCAGCTCTTTGATGGCAACATCGGACGAGAGAACGATCATGGTCTTGGTCCCCAATATGAGCGAGTAGACTGGCCTTTGGGGGTGTTAGCCAGGAATAGGGAGGCTCACTCCGCGACTCTCTAGAAGAAGCCCCTGACCCTTGACCCCTCGGGACTCCGAGTCTGGGGAGGAGATGTAAGATAGGGAGAAGTCACATACCCATATTCGTCGGCCCATTTGCGGAATTGTATATGGGCACTGGAAGTTGGCATCTAGCAGCGACTTAGTTGGCGGGGATAAAGCTGGAACCTGGGACTTCGCTCACCTGATGCAGGTTTCCCAGTAGGGGAAGAGTAGGAGGCCCTGGTGGCAGGCCCGCGGGTCTTCGGCCCAGGTTGCGCAGCTTCCATGCTACCAGAACCAGGCCGAGGACAAACGAGGCAATGACATAGCTGGGGACGAAGGCGGGATGGGCCATGTTATGCTGGGTTTGCGCAGCGTCTAAGGATTGAGACGACAAGTTCAAAGGGGACGGGAAATTCAAATTCAACTCCAATTCACGAGGATACAAACGTCCACTTTCCCTGGTTCGGACTCCTGCAGTGGTCTATGATGGAGCAGGGCTGGTCTTATATGTGCTGCGGCCCGAAAGGGACTCTCCCTCCCGGGTGGCAGTCTGGTTACCCCAGATTGGGCCAAAGCCTCCGGGGCCCCAGGTTGCAGTACTAGTAACTGCCCTGTCCCAGCAGCTCCGAGTCAGACATCTCCAGACCAGACCTTCCTTCCCCAGGTCGGATTTCGGCCCTAAGTCAGAGAAGATTGGCTGGAAGAGTGCAGGGTGGAGGGTGCAGGGATCACCATCTCACCCATCTCAGCGTGCATTCCAATTCTATCATTGTGGTTGGCTCTTCCTCTCCGAGCCCGAGGCCGAAAGGGTCAGAGTGTGTGCCCTGTGGGGGATCTGCGTGAGGGATTGGCATTGGGAGAAGTCTCTACCGATGTGTCGAGTCGGTTGGACCGACCGCAAAAGTTGGGGACCATAATCAGGGCTTTATGGTAAACCCTAGGTAAGGTGCGGTGTGTGGACGGCAGACGGCAGACGGCAGGGTGGGTGAACGGCCGGGTGAAGCAGACCAGATAATGTCAGCATATCCGTACTGTGTCCTGGGTACTGGGGCTCTACGTGCTATGAATACAACACGGATATTGATCGTGACCGGTAACCGAAAGAAGTGCCCTTTACCGCGGGAAGGCTTAGGCTCGACAGCCACAAGAACAAGACATGGTAAGGCAGCCTCGTTGGACGGAGGGCAGGTGCCTTTAATATTCCAAATATCAAGGGCGCATCTTCAGCGTCAACCGTGGTACCTTCTTGTCCAGACTACCAAAGTATCTGCAGGTCTGTATCTCTTTCTTTGACTGTACCGTGCAAAGTACTGAGTAGTGCAACTGTACCCTTTACCCGCGGTTATTGCTCGAGAGTGGCTTGTGGTGGAGTCCTAGGGTCTGGGGTCCTGGGGTCAGCCAATAGTCGCCTTGCCCTTGTCTAGTCGTGGCAGGACCAGGATGAATCAGCAGATCAGTGGTTCTGGTGGTGCTGTCTCTGGGGTTTGGGGTTTGGGGATCCCCGGTCTCTGGCCTCTGGTTGAGGAGGCTAAGGGCTCGGTCACTTGGCCGAGCTTGGCCAGGAGGATTCTGGATGACAAAGGAGGCCAACATATTGTATGTAGTCACCTAACAGTAGTCGTACGGGTGCAGACATTATGATTGCTCCCCAGCAGCACTGGGGGCTTGCTAATCACAACGCCGTGTCCAGTAGCTGCCATGAACCACGGGTGTGCACTTGCAATATTAATGCCTGCTATGCCCTGGTACTGTCTGTATAAAATGGCTTGAGGCAAAGCTGAGCTGGGCGTCAGAGACGATGAGACAGATGTTGAATGCTGACTTTGTCAGCACCTGTACAGAGGACAGCAAGTACTACTGACTGCTGTGAATCCGAATCCCTGGTTAATTTCTGATTACCAGCTACTATCATAGGGGAGCTACGTATTACCCATCAATCGCTAAAACCAGCCCGAGCCGGAGCCGGGGCTGGGACTGGTGCCCAAGATGCCATGCCGGATTGAGGCCCACTAGATGACATGATTGACAAGACTACTCCGTACATATTTTATTGTTTGTCAGTTGGACAATTGAATCTTAATTGTTCGTCATCGAAACGAGAGAAATGTGGTGTCGCCTCGGCCTACGCCGAACATCTGTTTTCCCCGCCTGGTCTCGCCCGGCGTCATCATTCACACGTCCAGCGCCATATCCATGCTGTGTCCAAGAACAGTCACAGTCACTCACTCGTCCACCACTCTAGACTCGTCTCTCGTGCCTTGTACTTGTACACGATGGGTCGAAAGGCATGGACCATTCATGGGTGAAGACAGCAACACCTACGGCAACGGCAACAGCAGCCGGAGATAGGAGATGGAGCTGACTTTGGCCGCGGTCCGAACTACGGTCCGGGGAAAATCAACATTGACCATTAACATTGACCGCTCACCCTCGCCCTCGGCCTGACCACCGAGTCGAAGCCTAATGCGGAATAGGAGTATTCGCACTGTGCTCCGTATGTACCAAGTGAGAAGGCCGGTGCAATCACGAAGGGGCCTCAAGGGCCCTAAGCCCTGAGGCTAAGCCAACAGTTACACTAGCCTTCCCGCCCAATCAGTCTTTTGATTCCTCCTCGGTGACCGGTCGCCGGGGCCCCAGACAAGGAGGAGTTAACACCCGTTGGCCAGAGACCCTCCACAGTGCTTGTACGCATATGAATGTCCGTACAGGGACATCTGATAGGAGAAGATTGACTGGTGTTGGCGGGCTGGTATTGGTCTTGGTCTTCCATAACTCTTGTGTACTCTGTATATTTCCAAGCCTTGTCAACTCCAACTCCAGGCGCCTTACATAGTACTTACTACTTAGCACTACACAGTAAGTACTCTGGAATTTGGGGACGAGCCAGGGCCAGGCAGGCTAGGCTAGATCAGGCGCGTGTATGGTCTAGACCAATAGACATCACTGCAGTCAACTCAACTACCCCCTCAAGCATCCTTCTTTCTCCCTTCCAAGCTCCAAGCCATGTCGCCTGGGCAGGGAGCAGAGATACAATCTGGCCATGGCCGTGACCAGGATCATGAACATGGCCAGAGCGGTGCATACGAGACGATGCACCCACACCACCACTCGCACCACCACGAACAAGCCCAAGTCCAAGTCCACAAGAAGCAATGCAAGGACAGCAGGATCCGGGCCCGAGGCAAGATCGCTTGTATCGAGTGTCGACGTCGCAAGGTGCGGTGCGACATTGAGCGGCAACGCGACCAGTGCACCAACTGCAAACTGGACCAGATTGCATGTGTTATTGACGGGAGCACGAAAAGGTCCGTCAAACCCCCTTCCCCCTCAGGAGTCCAGGTACCGTATCGCTGAGGAGAGACTCTGTGGTACTGTACTGGACAGCAGTGCGGTGTATGGTGATGGTGGAAGATGCTGACAGAGGTTGGCTGTTAGAGCGCGACTGGTAAAGCCCACCAGCACCACCGGCACAGTCGGCGTTGCCGTCCCTGTCTCCAGCTCACCAGCAGCAGCCGGGGAATCCATGGACGTGGACGTGGACGTGGACATGGACACCAACACGAACACGAACACGAACCTGAACATAAACATGGACGTTGACGACAGCACGTCTCAGTCTCAGCCTGGATTGTATTCCCAACTGTCTCCGTCACATCTCAAGGCCGAGGAGATCCGCTACCTCCAAGCAATCCGGGTGTTCGACGTGCCCAAGGATCCCATCATCAAAGCTCTGTTGACCGCGTACATCAAGCATGTGCACTATTTCTTCCCCGTGCTTGATCTCCGCGCCTTTCTGGAGTCGGTTCTGCTCCACCGCGGCAAGGATCAAGACTCCGACCCCGACCCCGACCCCCGCCGCCGGGTCAGCCTTGTGCTGTTGCATGCCGTCCTCGCCGCTGGCCTGGTCTACGTCGAGCAGGACGTGGTGAAGCAGGCCGGATGGAGCACCAGGGAAGGGTTCCGCACCGACCTGCTTCGGAGGGTGAAGGTCGGTCCAACACCAGCACCAACACCAACAGCCCCCCCCCTTACCTGCCCCCTCCCCTATGAGCCTTAGCTACTAAGCCCATGGCACGGCATCGATATTCATACTACCCGTACCGTACGCATTCTTTTGCTTAGACTAATTCGTCCTCGTCAACAGGCTTTATACCACATGGACTACGAGCACGACCAATTGGTCCTCTGTCAGATATCGCTCCTGGTCAGTCTCGCCGAGGAAGACCCTGACCGGCCGGACGAGAGCCGGAGATGGCTTGACCTGGCCTGGCTGCATCTACAGTCGTCATCGTCCTCCTCCACCACCAGCACCACCACCACCGTCTCAGACTCCCTCTCCCTGGGATGGTCAGGGCAGCCCAAACCGAAACTGGTCCCCCAGGCGGCCATTTGGCGTCGACTCTGGTGGGCCTGCTATGTTCAAGACCGTCGTCTGGCCGTGGCGGCCCGGCGGCCAGCTCTGCACCCGTCCGGCAGTGACCCGGCCGAGATTCCCCAGCTGTCGCGCCGAGACTTCGAGGTGCGATGCCACTCGACCATGATCACCGAGGCGTTTCCCTCGCTCCCCATGCTCCGCAGCGCCGAGGTGCAGGAAGAGCTGATCCGGCTGTGCATCGCGCACAACGAGCTCTATACGCATCTCGACTGCATCACGAGGTGCGAGGGCGTCACCTTTGCCCATGGGCCGTGGGCCTGGGGGCCTCGACAGCGTCAGGACTCGAAAGGAGCCTTGCGCCAGAACCAACACCAAAAACCCCTCCTCACCTACGACTATTGCTACCACCGGCTGTTTGGCTGGGTCAAGACACATGCCCACTATGTCCTGCGCAAACACAGCTTCGGCCAGACCGACAAAACCGTCCTGGCGCGATATATCGAGCTTCAGATCATGTCGACCTCGGCCCTCAATCTGCTGATTTCTTCGCGGCTTTCGCCTTCGCTTTCGCCTTCACCTTCTTCACCTTCAGCCTCAGCCTCACCTTCGAATTCAACCACAGAGCCCCAGTCTGCCGTTGGCGGGATCCGAACCGGGATCGGAACCTCCGACATTGCAGCTCCAAACATAAACAGGCCGGCGGCCGTCTTCAAGCTCTTGCAGTCCGCCACGGACGTCAGCAACGCCTTCATCACGCTGGAAACCCACGGCCTGCTGCATTGCATGTCGCCCGGCGTGCTGCAGCTGTTGATGCCGGCGGCGGCGATTTATTTCCAGCAGTGCTCGTCGCCCACGGGCACTGGCCGGCCCGCCAGTCTCTGGAGGCTCAGCCAATGTCTGGGAGTATTTGGTCGGATGAGGACCACTTATCCCTCGGCCGAGACGGCCTCTGCCTTTCTGGAGAAATCTATCGCTCAGTGGATGGCCTCGGGGGGCTCGCTCTCCCACCTGGTCGGCTTGGATAGCCAAGGTCTGCCCGAGTCGAACGGTGATGGTGCGATATCTCAGTCAACTAGATTCGGATTCGAATTCGGACGAGGAGCCAGTCCAAGCACCAGCAGCGAGAGTCGACTTCAATCAAGCACCAATGAGAATCAAATCCAGTCAAGCACCATCAACGAGAATCAGATCAAGTCAACCACAACCACAACCACAACCTCAGCTACACTCAGCCAAGGGCCAGGGCCAGGCTCAATCGCCGGGACCGGGAGTGAGATCAGTTTCTTTGACCCAGACATGATCCGCCCTCCTTCTCTCGTGTCATCCGACGGTCTGGAGGAATCGACCCCGAACGAAACCATCTCGACGTCATACGCCACCCCGAGCGATCTTGAAGCTGAAGGCCAAGACCAAGAGCAAGACCGAGAGCAAAACCAAGACCAAGACCAAGACCAACATCCCCCTAGGTGGCCCCGAGACAAAACCACCAGCTTGCCACAACACGGTCTCAGCCTATCTCCAGCTGCCTCTGCCGCTGCCGCCGATTCTGGCTTTGATGACGACTACAACTACGAGCCCCTTGTGGCCTGGCACGCCAGCGAGTTCTCTCGCGGCTACATTGTCATGAGCGACACCGGGCTCGGGTCCAAAGATGACATTGATCTCAATCTTGATCTTGATCTGGACGCCGCCCTCGAGAGTGACGTCAAGTGCATTGCACCGAGTCAATTGACTCTTTAGGGGGATTCAGTGAACAAGTTATCATGACACCCAGAAATAGCCAAGGGAAGGTGTGTTACTGTTACTGACCACTGACGGTGCCGTTATGTATACAGTACAGTATATGTGCGTACTGTACTGCGCGTTGCGCGCAGGTTTCCATGTCACATGCTCACTGTGGACTCCTGTCGGAGCTCGTCATGAACCTGTTCCAAAGACTGGATTTGCAGGCTTGGATATATACATAGTGCATATCTGTATTGTTTGGCTGGACCTGGACGTGGCTGTGCTATGCCGACGACGATGATGAGTATGACTAGGTATGACTATGACTCGGGAGACTTGGTTTGGAACATGTCGGGGCGCGCTGTCCAGGCGCCTCTGTACGGTATTTATCAATGTGGGTGTAGATGTGGGTGTAATCATACATATTCTGTCTGTACTGTATGTACGTACTCTAGGGCGGATGGGTATACAATCCAATCCATCGTATCGTATCGGCCCTTGACTGCATTACCTTACAAAGTACATGTATATGCATGTTACTTTCTGGGCCTCTTACGGGTTGAAGGTTGGGTTGAAGGGTTGGAGTGTCTAGGAGCATATAATGTCATGTCATGTCATCTGTTCTGTTCTGTTCTGCTCTACTTGGTCTGGTCTTTGGTCTGGTATGGTCTGGTCTGCTCTTTAGTCGTCGAGATCCAAGTGTCTGAGTACCACCGACCATCTATTTGTTCTTGCTATTCTGTCTAGCCCGTCTATCCGTATCATGCTGTTTTCCCGCCCCCCACCACACGATCGATCCAATCCACCATGGTCTGGTAGTATTCGGTCGTCTCTGGGAGATTTGCATGGATGTAGAACGCATGCGGCACGCCTGGATAGAGTTTCACCGTCACCGAGACCCTGGAGAGTACATAACACAGGTCTGCGTTAGCGGTGTTGCTGTGTGTGTGTGTGTGTGTGTGTGTGTGTGTGTGTGTGTGTGTGTGTGTGTGTGTGTGTGTGGGATTTATTTGATCGCTGGGCGGGAGAGAGAGGAGTTTAGTGCAGTGTGTGACTTGACCCTTGACAGGCTGGATACAGGAAGAATGTATGTATGCTCTGCAGGGAGTGACATGACTTACCCACTAGCCCCCAGTGCTTCGGCATAAGCCAGGCCTTCGTCACGCAGGGGATCCATCCCTGCGACTTGCACCACTGAGTGGGAAATGTCGTCAGCTCATACGTGACATAGACAAGGTAAGCTCAAGGTAAAGGAACAGGGGATATCATGTCGATATCAACAATCTCAATCTCAACCTCAACTCACATGCAGGCGGAAGTCCTTCCAAAGCCTCCTTGCTCGCCAGTAGCGGACTCAGGCTCGGATCGGCCGCGGCCTCCACCCCCGAAGCGGACAGGTAGTGGTTCCAGAACCAGATCATCCTGGCGGCGTCGACCACGGGCGCTTCGGCGTTCTGGCTCCAGCTCAGATGCGAATACCGCTCGCTCGGGAAGTACTGTGGATGACATGTCACGGGGATGTTGAGGATCTGGCCCACGATCCCGGAGAGGTTGTCGTGGGCGCGGGCTCTGAGCGTGATTGCTGCGGTCTGGCGGGCCGGGAGTAACGAGTATGCAAGTCAGTGTATGCTCGAATGGAAAAGCAGAATATCCAATGGTATATGCTGACCAGGTTTGCTCCAGCGCTACCACCACCGATGACAATCTTATTGGCGTCGACGCCCAACGAGACTGCATTCTCCTTCTGGCGGCACTAGATGAAACAGGGCAAAATATTAGTCAGTCAATTCTTCTAATCTTGCGGTAGATACATTCCTGTGATGAGGGAAGCCTCAGATGTTTCCCTCAAACCTGGCAGCAAGAGGCCCTCCATAGACCACCTGCGACAAGACATGATTCAAACTCACTTACCCATTGTAAGACGTCGTAGCTATCGTCGAGAGGCACGGGGAATGGGAATTCGGGAGCTCTTCACGGCCGCGGATTAGTTAGCATAACATGACAACAGCGAGAAAACCAGCACAGCACCAGCACCATGGCATCACACAGCGTCGCTACAGCCTCGGACGACTGGACCAGACCAGACAATGTAAACAGTTTGGTGATACGTACTTGCGATAGTCGACGCTCACCACGACAGCCTTGTTCCGCACGGCGATGATTCGGTTCTGGGCCTCTTCGGTCTCAGGCACGCCCAAGACCCAACCTGGAAGGAAAGGGTGCGTCAACAACAACAGGTCAACCACAATCACACCATAACACTTGTGATCTAGGGGATTCTTGGATACAAAGACCGCCAAATTAAAGACTCGCTGTGGCCTCAATCCTCGAGATTAAGCTTGAGCCTGAGGCCCTCCACGGTAGCAGTGACGGTGCTCGGGCTGGTTGTCACGTACCTCCTCCATGAATGTTGAAAAACAACACAGCGCCATCCGAGTCGGGCAGCTGGTTTGCACTCGCCGCCTTCGCCCGGTACACACGCAGTGGGATCTTGGCACCATCGCGGACCGGCACTTCGATGGTCGAGATGTCGATGTCTATACCCGGCTGAGGAATGTCTTCGGGCAGAGCAGCTGGCCGGTATTTAATGGCTCGCAGGTCGGCGATGGGAAGGGCGAGCACCTGTTTCGAGAGTTCGTCCACCTTCTTCTGTGCCTCGGCGACCTGGCTCCAGGACGGCGACGGCGACGATGAGGCGGCGACGTCAGCCTTGGATATCGACGCCATTGAGTCCGTGAGGTGAGTGTGAAAGAGTGTATATCCAGTATGTGAACTGCGTGGGGAGTAGATGTATCGGTATCTGAGTTGTGTGGGGAGTCGATGTATCTGAATTGCGTGACGGAGGGGGATTCTATATCTAGTATCTATCTGTATCTGATGGGTCCTAATCTGTACTGACTGTACTGAACCTGTCCCGCGGGCAGGCCCGGTCTGAACCTTGGTGTGTTTCTTACTGCTAGCTATGACAGTATTTATTATTAGGCCTTGTCCGGTCTCATCTCCTCCCACTTTCGGTCCTGCAGGGAAAGAATAAAGGAAGGTCGTGGACAATGAGTGTACACTACATACGGTGTAGGAAAAGCCTGTTTCGAGAATTATAACTCCAGACTGTAAACTGTAATGGTAACTGCAAGTGGGACTGTAATGGTAACTGTAACTGGAACCGTAGCCTTAACCGAAACTATAGGAAGTCACCTACTCTGTACTGTAGGTCAGTATCTACATCTACATACCTAGTACCCAAGTGATGGAGGCAAAATAGGGCAGTTCAGCTTGGGTTAGATTGTTGTGTACTGCATATACAGGATGTACGGATACTGTACCACCTTCAGTTCCTCCTACTCCTCATCCCTCCTGCTCCTCATCGGCTGAGCGGCCGAGGTCCGATCCGCTTCACATCAGACTCCGAACCCCATTAGGACCGGAGCACCCTCGTCGCTCATGCTAAGGCCCGCGGCTCTAAGCTGTTCGGGTGCATTTCCGGGGCTTAGTCTTTGCATGGAATGTGGGATGAATGCTCCAGTATCCGTCCATACACACATACACACGTACCCTCATACAGAACCATGCGACTATGCGACGCATCCTGAGCCTAAGCCTAAGCCTACCCTTTCCCCGCGAAAAAGCTGCCCACTGTATCCGTACATAAACAGGCTAATACTGACATTTACATTCATCTTCCTTTGTAGAAGAACAGAACGTGCCAAATACTCCTCGAGTCAACCTATTCGCTTGTTTGGTACTGTATCAACATCAACAGCAACAGCAACATACCCTTTGGCCGATCACACCATCCCATCATGTCTGTCCCGGAGTACCATGACCAAGGTCCCGTCAAGATCCCGGCCTCGGTCGACCTGAACGGCCTGGCTGGAAAGTCGGTGCTGGTGACTGGAGGTAAGGACAGACTGGACCAGACCAGCGACTAACAAGTTGGAACGAACCAGCCCTGGAGTTAAACAAGATTGCCCACTCGAGAATCGTGCTGACCCAGTACAGGTGCAAGCGGGCTGGGAAAAGCGTATTCGGAAGCATTTGCCAAAGCTGGGTAAGCAAGCCAAAGGCAGTTGAGGCGGAACTCGAGTCTGAGTCGAGGGGAATCTGCCGCTCCTCATCCTCACCATGATCGGGGTCACTGTCACTGTCACCACAAAGGAGAAGAGAATCTTTCCTGACTGATCGCCCGTTCTCGTTGTTAGCGCCTATGTCACCGTCGTCGATCTGAACGAGTCGTTGGGCAATGAGACCGTCGCCCAACTCAAGGGGTATGTACTTCTCGGTTACCTGTCCTGGTCGCATCTTAGCATGCCTATGCCTATGCTTGTGCCTATGCTTATGCCTGGTACTTGCCACTGTGCTTGTCCCTGGTCCTTTCACATCTCCTTTTGCTAGTCTGGATTTCTCCCCTCACTGTTTCACCGTGGTTGTGGTTGTGGTTCCGGTTCCAGTCTCTCCAATACTAACACTGCCTCCCCCTCCATCCAGGTCTGGGCAATTCGTCAAATGCGACGTCACCAATTGGGACCAGCAGGTCAGCGCGTTCGAGGCCGCGGTGCAGAACTCGCCGCATAAGAGTCTGGACATTGTGATTGCGAATGCCGGGATCGTGGGACAGGACGACATGTTCACGCTGGAAGGTATGTATATACGTACCTGTCTTGTGCGTCCAGTACAGTACAGTGTATCAACCGCAACCAAACAACTTCTTGTTACAGTGTATCAACCGCAATCAAAAACAACTCCTTGTTACTTAGTATCAACCGTAACCCAGACACTCCTTGTTACTGCATAGGCTAACGCACAACCTGGTCCCCAGATCCCACCGGGCCGCCCCAGAAGCCGAATCTGAAGACCATGGAGATCAATCTCACCGGCGTGCTGTACACGACCAAGCTGGCCATCCACTACTTCCGCCGACAGCCCGTCGAAGCCGGGCGCGACCGCTGTCTCATCCTCAAGTCCAGTCTGGCCGGCTACGTCGATCTGCCCGGGTCGATCCAGTACAATTCGTCCAAGTTCGGCGTGCGAGGGCTGATGAGGAGTCTGCGACGCACGTCGTGGAAGGAGAATATTCGCGTCAATTTGGTCGCTCCTTGGTAAGTGACGCAGTAGAGTACAAGACACAAGACACACCAGTCAGTCTCGTTCTAACACACTCCGTCTTTCGGCCAGGTATATCCGGACACCCATCCTGCCCGCCGTCGTGCAGGAGTATCTGGACAACAAGGGGGTAGGCTTTGCCTTGGTGGAAGACTGCGTGCGAGCCATGCTGCTGATTGGAAGCGACCAGGCCATTAATGGTGCGTGAACCCCGATTTCTCCTCTCCTCTCCTCTCTTCTCTTCTCCTTTCCTCTCGTCTCCTTTACTCTCCTCTTTTGATTCTTGCCTTGCCTTGCCTTGCCTTGACTTGACTTGCCTTGCCTTGCCTTGCCTTGCCTTGCCTTGATTTGACTCGCTGCTGGTTCCGAGTCTTGTCTCTCGTCCAGCTGGCACTGACCTGCTGAACTGCGTGTGACTGAATCTGACTCTGACGCATTCTATTCTACATACAGGTCGCGGTTTCGGCGTCGTGTCCCGCCAACACGCCGCCGAGGGTTACATGGACCTAGACCTCGACGACTACAAAGAAGGCTCACTGTTTTTGGAGTGGCAGAAGATCGTGCTGGAGACTGCAGGCATTCTTGTTGTAAGTCCAGTCCAGTCCAGTTCGTCGGCATTTGCTGCCTGGCCACCTTCAGCCTCGTACTGTCAAGCTGACTTTGTTCGTGTAGGAGTAAGGGCAAATAGAGTGTGTGTGTGTGAGGGACGGAGGGAGTAAAGGCAAATATTGTGTGTATGAGAGAGGGAGAGAGAGGGAGAGTGAGAGGGAGAAAGGGAGATGAAGAGAGGACTCTGGAGTATGGCAATGGCAATGGCAATGTCTCTTCCCCACTAATCTAGGGCACCGTATAAAATGTACACAAAATGGCCTTGGTAATACTAATACTGATACTAATACTAATGCGACCGTCGACATGGCCAACTCGTGTCCCCAAGACAATGAATATACGGCCGATTGAGGGACCGTAGCCCTCGCTAGTACGTCTCCTGTTGCCTGATCGCCATACAACTGGAGGTCGCTCCCTCACTGGTGCGTGTCCTATAGCCTGATCGCCACATAACTGGAGGTCGCTCTCCTGACTCGGGATCGGGTCTGCCCTATCTCTCACTATCGTAGTCTACAGCTTACTGGCAACCTTTGCGCCACCCACACCATCACCATCCAGCCTAGCAAACTGCTCATACCACTTCAACGAGGCCGGGTTGGCAATGGTGGAGCTCGGGGTGATGGACTGGCCCGACACGATCTTCTTGACCGGCAATTCGGTCTTCTTGCCATTGACGGTGATGGGAATGTCGGGCGTCTCGAAGATGAACTTGGGCACGTGCCGCGGACTCAGGTCCTGGCGGATGCGCGTCTCGATGGCCTTCTTGAGCTTGTGGTCGAGAGTGTGGCCAGGCTTCATCTTGACGAAGAGGAGGACTCGCTCGTCGCGATCCTGCGGCCGCCGCTGGCCCACGCACAGACTGTCTTCGATCGAGCTGAAGATGTTGAGCGTGTTGTAGATCTCGGCACTGCCGAATCGGACACCTGGCGTCGAGAGATGGTCTAGTCAGCATTCGAATATCATATCATATCTCACATCACAGTCACAGTCACAGTCACCGTCACAGTCACAGTCACAGTCACAGTCACCGTCACAGTCACAGTCACAGTCACCGTCACAGTCACAGTCACAGTCACCGTCACCGTCACAGTCACAGTCACCGTCACAGTCACAGTCATAGTACATAAATCCTGGTATGGTGTTGATTGGTGTTGGGTTGGTCGCTGGCAGCCAGAAGAGACGGGGAAGATGGAGCGGAGGGCTTCGAAAGCCACACAACACAACACAACCCAACAGGGAACAGGGAACACTCACCGGATGGGTTCAAGACGCCGTCGCTGCGCCCAAGGAACGCGATGCCCTGGGTGGCCGGGTCCATGCGAATATAGTCGCCTTGATGCCAAATACCTGTACACGGACGGGATGGTCAGCCTAGCCCCCGGAAGGGAAGGGGAACTGCGTTGCGTGTTCGCAATCGATATCGGTGAGAGTGGGAGTAGGAGTGAGATTGGGAGTAGGAGTGGGAGTGGGAGTGGGAGTGGGATTGAAGTGTTGGTGTCTGTGCTTGTGCTGGTGCTTCGCATATTCACCTGGAAATCTCTCAAAGTATGCAGCCTTATATCGCTTGCCGCCCTCGTCGCCCCAGAAGAAGGCCGGCTGGGACGGAAATGGCGCCGTGCACACCAGCTCGCCGGGCTCGCCGGTGGCTTCGATCGGCTCGCCGTCGTCCGAGAAGATCTGCACCTTCATGCCCAGTGCGCGTGCCTGGCACCAGCCGGCATAGATGGGCAGACTGGGCGTGCCATGGACGACTGTTGCAATATCTTGTCAGTTCACAGTTCACAGTTCACAAATCACACAGCGACGGGGTCATTGCGTCGTGCTTGGGCGTTGGCTTACAGGCTCCTGCAATGTCCGTGCCCCCTGCGATGCTGCTGAGTTGAACGGGGCCGAAAGTCTTGTACACCCAGTAGTATTGGGGCTCGGTCAGCACGGAGCCGGTACTGGTGATGACTTTCAAGGCGTCGAGGCCGGCCGGCAAGTCTCGTTTCGAGATGCCGGCCTGTTCCAGCAGAGAGAGATAATGGGCACTGGTGCCAAAGTGCGTCACGCGCTGAGCGGCGAGGATCTGAAGTAGAATGAGCGGACTGGGCTTGACCGGCGATCCGTCGTACAGGATCGAGCGTGCACCGCTCAGCAAGCCCGACACCGAGTAGAGGTACATGATCCAGTTGGTCTGCCGTGATTACTGTAGTCAGCACAGGCACGTACACGGTCACAGGGACAGGACAGGACAGTCATAGTCATAGTCATAGTTACTCCTCATCCCCTCTGAGTCGCTTCACTTACCGTCGTGTATTGCAGGTAGACGCTGCTTCGGGTCATGTCGATGCCGAGGATTTGCTCCACCTTCTGCTTGAGCAGGACACCGCCCAGAGTGTGCACCAGACATTTGGGCTGGCCGGTGGTTCCGGACGAGTAGACGACGACGAGCGGGTGCGCGAACTCCAGCTGAGCAAACGTGAGGTCGTCCGGCGCTCCGGCGGTGAACGAGTCGAGGGTGTGGAAGGAGGAATCGGACTGGGCTCGGTTGAGGTTGAGACTGTCACCGCCGAACCGGGGCACCACGATCAGATCCTGCAGGCCAGCATCGCGCCGGAGACGGACGGCCACCTTCTTGGCCTTTTCCAGGCACGGAATGCGTTTGCCGTTGTACAGCACCCAGTCGTCGGCGAACAACACCTTGGGCTTGACTTGCAGGAAGCGGTCCAGAATGCCCTTCTCGCCCATCTCCGGGGAACAGCAGGTGAAGGTGGCGCCGATGGCGGCCGCGGCCAGCAAGGCCACAAAGGTGTCGATGCTGTTGGCCCCGACAAAGGCCACCCGGTCCAGCTTCCGCACGCCGGCTCGCGTCAGGGCGTTGGACAGCCGGCCGACGCGGCGCCGCAGCTGCGACAGCGACACATGCTCGATCTCGCCGGCGCCCTCGCGGATGGCGGTCAGCACGGGCGTCGCGCTGTGGTCGGCCGGCGCGTAGGCGCTTTCCAGAATGTTTTGGGCGAAGTTCAGCCTGGCTTCGGGGAACCACGTCGGCGTGGGTGTGAGCCTGCTGGTCTCGGAGGCGGTGATGGCGTAGGTCGGATGGACCGATGCCCGGACCTGGGTGAACTCCCACAACAGCAGCCAGAAATCATTAAGGCTCTCCTTCTCGGTCGACCAGCGCCAGAGATCATGATAGTCTCCTACAGTAGACACGAGGCAGGTGGTCAGGTCAGTACATGGTTACAGCTTGAAGCATCCCTAAGGAGTCCCTTGCTTGGGGGGAGGGGGAAGAAGCTGATTGGCAGTGATTGAGCTTACTCAGGTTCAGACCGTGTCGTTCATTGGCGAGTTTGCGAAAGGACTCGATCTGGGTGGATGAGATGTCCGGGTGTTCCCAGACCTTGGTTGGAGGCGAGGACATGTCGGTGACTGTGATTACAGCTGCTCAGGCGGACCGGCACTGATCCTGTACGGCTCCCGACTGTTTGGCACAGAGGGCGACACAGATGGTGATGGTGATGGTGCTGATATTCTTTGCGTGTGGCCAGGCTATGAGGGACGCCGGAACGAAAGCGTGACCGTGACCAGTGACCAGTGACGAGATGCTATACTGTATGTAGAGTGTAGGTGAACTGTTTGTTTGTCCAGGCCGAGGTAAGCAACCCGTATGTACTGTCCTCTGTACACCGTACAACTCAACATCATAACAGTATAGGCGTCCAATCATAACAGTATAGGCGTCCAACTGGCATAGGGGCTCTGACCACCGTCCGGCCCGTATTCGGCCTCGGAGATCCATCTGGTTGGCCTGCTTAGCCTCGGGCTCCCCAGCAGACCTGACATCTTAGCCTAATCATGCCCTTCGGACAATCTGCCGATGCGCCAGGACTGACTGGGCACACAGTCGCCATCCAGAGTGCTCCGTAGTGTACTCCGTATGGAGGACAGGTATGTATGTACTATGTAGTATGTATAAGGCCAGCGACGGAAGTCTCCCGTGTCCAGTTATGTAGGTGCCAGTAGGAGTATGTACTCCGTACTCATGACCGATATTAGTCATCTCAGGAGGACAGCTGTGAGTCTCCGTCCTGACTCCCTCTCCTGGTGGTACATACAAGTACACTATCACTCTGTAGACTGCCCCCATCTTCTGGTGGCCCGTCGTGATGTATAGCAAGAGAGACAAGTACCGCGTGTCTCTGCTTTTAGGACAGCGCTCAGGCATCCTTTGCCGTTGCGATGGGCCAGTTGGAGCCTAAAACGACCTTCCAAGTAGTTGGGCTATCCAGGCGCGGCCACCCCCAAGGATCCCTTAGCCTCGTCCTTCTAGATCTCTTGGTGTTCATCGATCTGGATGAGATGGAGATGATCAAACAGGTGTAGGTGTCTCACCCGTTGCCAACCAAGACCACCTTCTTTCGAAGTTGACAGTGTCCTACCCTGGGTCACATTGATGGAGGCACTGGGGACACTGAAGACGGTTCAGCCGAGCTCTCTCTCTGCTCAGCCTGGCGCTGGACGGAGTATATGCGATTGATCCTCTTACTACCCTCTCTGCTTGTCTTGGAGTTGGTGGGCCAAGCCACTGCCAGCTGTGCCAGTGCACGGAGATTTTATGGGGTGTGGGTGACCCAGCCAAAGAGAGATCTGGGGCAGGAAGGGGGAAGGGGAAAGGGGGCTGAGGTCACGCCCGGTAAAGGCCGAAGGTTGGGGTTTTGGGAGGTAAGGAGGGTTGAATCCACCAAATATAGAGGCTATGGGGCCACAAGATTACAGTAGGCTGGAACCCCCTAACCCTCTCTGCGAGTAGCCTAAGCCTGACATGCACATCACATTGTTTGGCATGGTCTACTCTGTGCCTCGGAGACGGGAAACTCAAACATGACTGCCGACCTCTCGGATTTTGTACCGAGGGTTACCTTCAACATACTGCAGACTCGTCTGGCACCCTGGGTCAAGCAGCCGGGCGACACACGAGTGACCAGCAAGATCTTGCCCAAGGCCCAACTGTGCCTGGTAGGCTCGTGGTCTTGATGTAGCCCAGTCCGGGCTGAGCCGACCCAGGGAGGGCCTAAGGCTAAGGAGGCCTTTATATGGTGAATGCCCCAGCCTTACAGGAAGAAGTATGTATGTACCCCTACTTGCATCAGCCTCTGCAAAACAGACCAGTAACTCAATTCAACTCGTTTCACCTCCAGCCTCATGGCGGATTTACCAACCACTGTGCAAAGCACATTGCTATCCACATACACACAGCCCAACCAATATCTCAGCAACAATGTGCCCCCGACGAACGGCGTGGCCACCAACGGTGAGACCACCCACAACGGCAAAGGATATCAGATCCCAGACACTTATCTGGGCACCCGGTCACCTGTGCGGGTGGTTGTGAGGAATTTCCCGACTTGCCTCAGCTGAGGAATATTTACGTCGTGACCGGTGTCCTGGGCGTTGCCCTGCATGCCTATGTCATCTCCAGGATAGTCACATCAGGTGACCCGGATTTCACGCTGAAGTCGGTCTTCTGGCCTGATTCCCGTTCTGAGCCAAAGCTTCTCGGAGAAGGCATTCGAAATCTCTTCATGGCGGATTTTCAGGGATTTTATATCGCGTCGTATGTCTGGTGCTGCAATGCGGTGTGGGATTTGAAGCGCGTCGGCCGGACCACGTTCGACGTAGGTAAAACCGCGATCCTCATCCTCTTGGGCAATTTCATCATCGGCCCTGGTGCTACCATGTCGGCAGTCTGGTACTGGAGAGAAAACGCCATGGCCAAGACGATTTTCAACAAAAGCAGAGCATAATCGCCCCAGCTGGTGGTGGAGGAGCATGGACTTCCCAAGTATGCAGACCATTCGAAGAAGGGACATATTGCCTGCGAGGTAACCAGGAACCTTTGTCTGTACGTGACGGTACAGGGATGTAAAGGTAAGGGTTGGTTGCTCGTACATTATAAGATGTCGTCGTCTCATGACTCTCTTCCTCCGTTCGATGTTAGGTCGAGGGGTATTGGAGACAGTAAAAATCGTATAGAATGCTTCAAAGCTAAGTTTGCAAGACTTGCCACCAATCGGAAATTGCTATAGTTGAATGCGAAGCGTGGTAGATCGGGACTGGACAACAGAGGAGATCTCTGGACAACAGATTACCCCATAGCATGTTGGTAGCTTTTCTGTACATTCCGTGTGCCGCAGAATCGACGCATCGAGTGGGCTAGCAGTCGTAGGCTCATGCGCAGTATGGAGAAGCTTAGGTCAATTAATCTCTTGAATAAGGAGGCTTGGTTAGGAAAGGGTCATATGTGGCGGATTCAACAAGGGATCTCCAGAGGGAGGCACGTCCGAGAAGATGTTGTCGAGACCGCCCCAGAAGAAGGTCGTCGGGGCTAAATCAACCCCAAACGATGCCCAAACGGCGTCAGGCTTGTTGAGGACTGCATTTGAGTCGGGCCCGCGTATGTAGGACTCACAGCCTGAAGATAGCCCAGGGGCAGGAATTGCTGGACCTCCCGCGGCGGGAGAATGGAAGAAGTCGACCAGCGAGCCCTCCGCACTGATATGCTTCAGCGCATCAAGCATACGCTTTGTGATGGGGAAATGGGGCTGAACCGCTTCCAGGCTTTTGATCAGGGAGCGAACCCAAACAGCGTCGCGCTGCTGCACATCATGGGAGCTCGAAACTTGGTTGAAATGGTGGATTAAGGTCGTGGCTGCCACGACAGCATTGTCCAGCATAATCGAAGGTATCTTCTCCACCCCGAATACCTCTCTATAGGTTACCACTAGGCGAGCGATGCGGAGCGCCTCCTGGTAAATCGCACGGCTGGAATCTTCAGACATCATGCCAGGGATGCTGTCTCCCGATATCTGCGAGTATCTCCGTTTCCGAGGATTTGGACATCTAGCAAGGGCCTGCCTCAAGAGGATCTGTACTTTGCAGTACTGGGTGTGTAGGCCATACCCAGCCATGTCCAGATTCGTCAGGCGGCTCTCAACGTAAACCAGCTCGGGTGGGAGAGTGTTGTACCAGTCTTGCATCTGGGCAATGAGGTTGGGGAGAGAAGAAGAGGCATCGAAGTCGCCCACATACTGATTGTTGAGGATGTGGGATATCTCGGACATAGGCACACAAAGACCAAGCCAGGCGTTGAGAAGTGGTGAGTCTGACTTCTGGTGGGACTTGCACCGGGCGGCGGCAATGCTTATGATCGATTTGGGGATAGAGCTCGGCCGGCCCAGGTACAGAGTCCACACGCCTTCGTATACGATACACGCAGCAACGAGAGCATATGCCAAGGCACTCTCTCTGGTCGCCTCATTGTCCGTCCCTTCAAGAGCGACATGATTGATGTCTGCAAGTTCATGTAGACCAAGGTCGGACAACATTCGACAAGCAATACCTGCGAAGCTCAGTAAAACGGCCTTATCAATAATCTCGAATGGCGAAGGTTAATGCTTACCACAGTACATCCACCCTGGGCGATCATTTCCCTGCGTCACCTCATATTCGCTAAGTAGCAAGAAGCCTTGCATGATTGCCGGAGTTGGCTCTTGCAGAGCACCCAGTATTTCGTTCCTAGCCAACTGGGCATATTCACGTGCGAGTGAACGCACCACGCTCGAGGTGCTGAGGCGGGTGGCGCAGGCCAGGATGGCGTACTCGAGAAACGTGCAGTACCATCGGGACTGGGTCCCCTGGGCCCGAGAAGTGGAAAAGCAATCTTTATCAACGATATCAACCCAAAGTGTCTGGTACTTGAAAAAGGACTGGATCAGGTGGTTTCTCAGATGGGGCGAAGTTGGATCGAGGTCGATACCTAGGGCAACCGCGTCGTCGGCAAAGTTTTGCGTTGACCCTTCGAGAGGCGACCCAACGTGGGGATGGGATGTCAGTCCAAAAAACCCGGACAAGTCGTCTGATGGCTTTTCTCCTGCGTTTACACGATCTGTGGTCAACGACGTGGACGACGGTGGATGGGTGCCCGTCGAGAGCTCCGGGTTTTGTAGATTGGTTGGGGGAGAATAACGGTCGATGTTCGGAGACTGAGGGCCGCTTTCCACATAAATCAGCAGGCATTGAATAGAATCCACGCAGAGCCTTCAAGACTACGCCATACCGTTGCTCAGATCGCATGGTTTGCGTGGTTCCCGCCGCACCTGTCGTTGTGTTCCCACATTCTTGAGGTATTCCATTTCCTTCTCGTTGAGTGAGGGCTTCGAGGGTTTGGATGCGTTGTTGGAGCTCTTCGACGTACTTCCAACTTACAGACCTAGAGTCACACTCAGCCGTGGAACGGAGGCAACTTGTGAAGCCGAGCTAACCTCCTGCCGTCGGATGTCGGGTCCAACACGCAGCTCTGTGCTGTTCGTCGACAAGGAGAACAGGATTGACCGGCGGGGAGAGACTGCGCGTCGCACTATAGGACCGTGTCAGCTACTGACTTCACAGAGTACCCGAGAAGCCATCAGCGGCATTGGCCTACCTTGACCTTGCGCAGACGGCAACTTTGACAGGCAACTGAGGCACGAGCCTTATGACTCACACCTGTGACCTGAGTGGAATTCCGTTCTGTAGCCATGTGCCATGGACTTTAGATGGGATCCTAGTAGGTGCTATGGGAGCGAAGAAGTGCGTGGTCCGACAAAGCTGGGAGCGGACATCAAGGTGCGCCCCCAAGCCCCGAGCGCAGGCGGGGTCCCCTTACTGCCCCAGCTTAGGCAACGCTCCGCACTTTGGCTCTGTAACCCCAGGCTTAGGCTAAGGTCTAAACGATGATAATGTGGCCTTCGCCCACGTTTGGCAAGTCAGCCGCGTTCCAGTATGCACCCGCCAATACTGCGGTTCTCGAGTGACAATGTTAACTATCAAGACAACCTTCCATGGTATGTACAACGTATCTCATGGTTTGGTCATGTTAGCTGACCCTGAAGGTATGGCCAGACGGACGAAATCCTCCCCCTTGACACTCCTTCTACCTATCTGCCAATACGGCGTACAGTCTCTGATCTTACCTCGTGAAGGCACAGTGTATCCTTTCACCGACAGGAGGATATCTGTTCTGCCCTTCAGAGTTTCCACAATATCGAGGACCATAAGCATGTCAATTGCAGCGCCCTAGGGTCGATCGACGCACTTCTAAAATACCTCCTGTACATCGTGCCCTGGGTCTACGGTCTACCATTCCAACTCACCCCGCAACCACTCGATTCTTAGTCAAGAACCCTCGGGTACCACATCTGCGCACGGAGGATATTCAAACAGTACTCCGTAGTATGCACGAGATTCCCACCATTGGAGCGGTCGTCGACCAGCTCGAGTCAGATCCCCTGCGTTCCGAGTACGTAGCCGAAACGAAGACAGGTCTAACATCAATCGGCTTTTCCGAGATATACCCCATGGGCCCATACTGAGCCTTCGGGCCAGTTTCCGAACCGTTCTGTCCTCTCCACACAGGTGGCCGTTCGCTGTCACTGTGCTCGGCGCCGGCCGATATGGCAACATTGAACAGCAAGGCTTCGGCGTGGGGCCGAAGAATCCACTGCACCATTGCCGGGGAACAGACACTCATGCTTCTCTCCCCCACAGTCCCTGAGCCAGCTCCCGAGGCATGCTTGTTGATGGCGGATCCTGCGCGACAACACTGTGGTCTCATGCTAGAGCACCTCGTTCCCGCCAGTGTTGGCTTGCCAGCCTTGTCATCTGCCCGCGAAGGAACAGTGTCCTGGATGGGTTTAGCCGCCATGTCACCCATCACTCGCCTCTTGACTTGACCACGGCACAACTCTTGAGAGCATGCCGACTACCTCTCGTGTGCATGCTGGATCCAAGAGCGATGTATTCTTGGCTTATCTGGACAGTATCCAGTGAAGGCTGCTCACTGAGAATTTCTTCGTCATGCTACAGAGATAGGACTGTCTAAGAACTTGACCGGTATGTCCAGATACTTGCTTCTCAGATATTCCGCCACGCCCTTGCCCAACATATCGATTCTTGTACTGCTGGCCGCTCCTCCGCCCAGAAAGTCGAGGAATCGAAAGTGTACCGCCCAGATCTGAGGAAACTCACAGCGCTCGACGGTCACACCTGGCTTGATGTCTTCGCCCATCAACTCCACGATCTTTGGTATGGTCAAAGCCGACTGCAGCCACTTGTATTCTTCGGCGCCTCTGACAAAGATACCCACGTTGCAATTGTCGCCCTTGTCTCCCGATCTGCCGTGGGCTACCGAGCCCAGGGGGAAGGACTTTGTCGGCCCAAACGTCTCCAAAGGTATCGGGTTCTCGGTTTCCTTGCTAGGCCTCTTGCCCGGAGGTGGTTCGGTTATGCCATGGTGCTTGATGGCGATTTCTTGCCCGTCCACCACTATGCGGTGTGGCAGGCGTGTATATGAAATGATTCCCGGGAAGAGCTCCATGAACATCTTGGGCGACATGGTCCGGAAATCCAACGACATGTGATATCCTGTCAACTTGTCAATACCGTATCCGGTCTAAGCCGAAAGAGGCTCACTCACCGGCGTAGAACTGCATGCGCAGCGCATAAACATGCTTGCGAAACACATCCTCGCGGATGTCCTCCTTGTTCCGGGCCTTCACCAGTATTCTGTACCCGACGGTGCCCAGAGCCTGCCGAGGAGGATTAACGGCCGCCGACCCGTGACGTTCGATGCTCAACTCCAAGAAGTTGGCATCCTTGAAGGCATATTCCAGTTGCTGGCGCATGAACTGCTCTTTGGCGTCGATGTCCAACCCGTTCATATAGAAGGTCGCCTCCGCCTGGTATCCGCCGATAGCGACCACGATGGCCTTGGTTGTCGGGGGCGGAGGGCTTCCCACGGCTCCTGAGACGCGGACTCGATCCTTTTTGCCGGTGTTCTCGATTCGAACATTTTCAATGTCGGCACTGACGTCGGAGTTGATATACTTGGTGCCTTGGATTTCGTACAAGAACTGGGCGCGCACGTTGAACTCGTCCACGTACCCGGCCGCCTCGGGGTGTTTTGTGATGACCACGGAGCCGTCGTGAGCAATCTCTGCAATGGGAAAGCCCAAGTCCACCAGACCCTCCAGATACGGTCTGACCCCGGAGAAGTTGGCTCCGGTCACGTAGGGTCCGCATTCAATCAGATCTAGTCATGGTCCGCGCGTGTCAGCGAGATCGCTCCTCGTCGTGAAAGGCAGTGGGCATGCTAAGGGGCGAGCATAAACTTACGTCCAGCAATCAGCGCCCCGGCCAGTTCGTCCCACGCATCATGAGACCAGTTGTGCCACCAGGCTGCAAGCGCAATGACAGGGCTGGCGTCGGTGACTCGACCGCAGATGACAATGTCGGCGCCGTTGCGAAGGGCTTCGACAATGCCCCATGCCCCGATGTAGGCCACTCCGCAGTAGGGCTCGCGGTCCCAGTCCTCCAGCTTCCGCTCCGGATGGTCGAGATGGACGATACCCCCGAGTTCCTGCTGCTTGGCTGGGTCGACCACGATCTCGGAGATGTCGTCGCCCTGGACATAGGCTACCTTGAGATGCCCCTGGCCGTGTTTTTGGCAAATCTCTATGGCTTTCCTGGCACACTCGGGAGTATTGAGGGCGCCAGCGTTCGAGACGCATTTGATCTTCTTCTCGGCGATTATGTCGATGCAGTCATCCAGTTGTTCCAGAAACCCGACTTCGTAGCCTTTGGTGGGGTCGTCGTGCTTGCGGATGGCATTCCACGCAATGTTCAACTCCGACAGCCAGTCCCCTGCGATGGCGTCCAGATAGCCCTCGGTTACCATACGATGCCTGTGTTTCGCCCGGTCAGCTCACAGCGCAGGCCAGAGAGGGGAGCTTTCGGCCGCGGAGGAGTCTCACATGGCATAGGGACAGTCTTCCATCGCGCCGGCCACATTTCCAATGATGATGGGCCTCTTGGGCTCCTCCGTCACTGCTGGAGCCATCTTAGTCTTAGGTCTATGATATCTTTTATCCCTTCCCGGTAGAAATGGAAAGAATGCAACAATCTGGGACCTTTTAAATTGAAGAAGAAGAGTGGTTCGAAATCTGGCCGCTGACTTGGATACAAGGCCGCTGTATTCTCGGCGCGACTCAGGACCGCAGCACGCCTGGTGGCTTGTATTGCCGTCCTTCTCGGATATACAGGCACCTACAGGCCATGGCACTCTCCACTAGCCGTGTCATGGTAGGATGAGGGCGGGAGATAATCACAGACGCCGTACCAAACACTGTGAGAGCACCGGGTCTTCGTGGGGATGCTGGCAGCCCCAACTCGGCCGATGCCGACGAGAACGTTAGCAGGGACACGGCCAAAGTGGTCCATGCCAAAAGGACTCTCGCTCATTTCTGCCACCAGACCGGCAACCGGAGCCCTGCGGGACCGGAAGTACAATGATAGCGGTGGCTACACACCGGTGAGATCAACCATTTCAAAGTCTGGCCAGAGGACGGGCCGGTCATTTCCCACCAGGAGGAGAACCAGCTATGTACCAAAAAATGCGCTATCCGCCACACTGGCGGGCACATTGTCGGGGCTGTTCCGCTCTATGACCTCTACTCTGGATTACCGCAATATTCAGTTCGCATTATTGCCGATACCGGTCACAAGTTACTTTTCATTCTACATGAGCTCCCTGTTCTGTTTGGATCGCCCCTGACCATTGTGGGTCAGATCAAATCCAAGCCCTGAGGGAATACATCCAAGATCCAATGCATGTCGAGAGGGCCCAGTCCAAAGCGCGTAAGGCTGGCAGCTTTCAGGAGTTCATACTGTGTGCAAGTTAGCAATGGCTTCCCGCAGCGCAGGATGACTTCCAGACATACTTGATCAGTACAGACTTGGGTTCCGTGAAAGCTCTCAGTGCCTACAGGGTTTCAGAGGTTAGTCGTACACCGTGAAAGTGTGGCTCATCGTTCGCAACTCACATATTCGCCAAATTCACGGCCCAGACCAGAGGCCTTCTTGCCTCCAAATGGGACTTGCATGTTCATCTACAGTGCCATCAGCAACCACTTGGTACAACGGGAGGCAGGAAATTCGCAGAACTTACCACGCTGATGCAGTTGACCCCCACAACACCCGATTCGATTCTGGCGGAAACTCTCAGCGCACGGTTGATATCTTTCGTAAATACTCCCGCCATGAGGCCGTATTCCGTGTCGTTGGCCAGCTCGATCGCCTCCTCCTCTGTCTTGAACGTCAACACCACCGCTACCGGGCCAAAGACCTCCTCCTTGAGGACCTGTGCGGTTGGCTTCGGGTTGAGGAAGACGGTGGGTTCTATGAAGCAGCCCTTGTCTCCTTTTCGTTTACCTCCGAGAACGAGCTGGGCCTCTGTCTCGCCGCGGGCAATCATTGCTTTGACCTTTTCAAAGGCAGCGTCGTCTGCAAGAGGTCCAAATGCTACATTGGGGTCCTGAGGGTCGCCGATGTTGTCGACCGCGGCCCGCATCTTTTCAATGTACTTTTCAGTAAACTCTTTGGCAATACTCTCGTGCACGTAGACACGGGAAGATGCTACGCAAACCTGGCCGGAGCGCGCGAGGATGCCATTGACTGTCCTATACACGCAGCCCAGTTAGTCTCGCGGCAGCCACGCTCTGTGAAAGGGGCGCATACCAGGTTACGGCGTTATCGAGGTTGGCGTCTTCAAAAATGAGAGCTGGGCTTTTGCCGCCTGGTAATGATCAGACCATGGGTCGAGCCCTGCAGACTTGGGGCCCCTTACCTAGCTCCAGGGTGACACGCTTGAGGTTGCTCTGTGCAGCAGCCACCTGGATCTTCTTTCCTGTCGGTATGCTGCCAGTAAAACTGATCTGTCACGACGGGAGTGGTCAACATTCTACCGGACATTGGCGCTGCATATGTCCTTGCTCACCTTTCTGATCCGCATGTGTTGGGCGAGTAGAGCCCCGGTAGATCCATCGCCGGTCAAGACCTGGATCACACCCTTTGGGAAACCTGCCTCTTCGAACAACGGAGCCAGGGCCAAGGAGCCGAGGGGCGACTTCTCGGACGGCTTGACAATGAGAACATTGCCCGTGGCCAAACAGGGGGCCGCCTTCAAGATGAAGGTGGCTACAGGAGCGTTATAAGGATTTACAGCGGCACAGACTCTGCAGCACAATCAGAGTTCCAGCCACCATGGGAAAGAACACAACGGAGGAGGAGAATGTCTCACCCCAGAGGCTCATGTCGCACCAGCTTGACAAACCCGTCATCGGCAGGCAGGTAGTCACCCTTCTGCTTATCGGTCCATCCAGCTTTGTGTGAGGTCAGTGGTTACTCTTGAAGTGGATTCCACTTCCATCTCCAGCTGCCAGGCTTACCGTAGTAAAGCAAACAGTTTTTGATATAGTTCTTCTCGCGCGTGGGGATGAGCGAGACCGGGTTGCCGGTGGTGAGAGAGTCCAGAGTCAGAATGTCTATCAGACGCTCCTCCAAGATGGCATTCAACCGGTTGAATGCTTCGGTGCGTTGCAAGGCTGTAAACTTGCTCCAGGGGCCAACAAAGGCCGCTTCGGCCGCCGCCACCGCCCGGTCGACATCCTCCTGGTCGGCAATGGGCACAGCATCCGCCACCAGCGCGTTGTCCTTGGGGTTCCTCACAGAGAAGGTGCGCTTAGAATGCGATGCGACATATTCCCCATTGATGTAGATCTGGTTCAACGAGCCAGCGGAGGGAGTTTTGCCCGCCATGGTTCCGAGATGGTACTGTCGCTGGGTAAGGCTAATGGGGTCAGGAAAACTATAACTATACTATACTGCTTTACTGCGGTCAGGTGCAAGTGCAGATACAGGTGGAAGGTTCAGGCGTCATCTCTGCGAGTCTTGCACCTGCACTTGACGCTTAAACCAGACCATCCCCAACATTCAGAGAGGGGGTCGACCTCGGTGGTAGCCAACAAACCCCTCTGGCCCGCCTTTTGTTTCCCCGTGGCCCGAGGTCGGCATAGTACATGCACCGCTGGAAGAAGGGGTGCGTGTGGGGGGCTCCAGTTCACCGGACGCCGATTGATGATCTGGACGGATAAGGGGACGGGCCAATTACGGGTTTCGCCCCGCCGGGGTAAGCCTGGATGTCCAACATGTATTTGACGCGGACGAGATGCCCTTTGCCGCGGCCTACCTGACTACAACGGCAAATCAACATACGCCTAAGCCTCACCCAGCCCAAAACGCTTAGAGCTACTGTGGCGTCACAATTGGCACACACACACACAGAGAGAGAGAGAGAGAGGAAGAGAGTGAGAGTGAGGAACAGAGAGACTGAGAACAACAACTGATACTCAACCCAGCCCCAGTTCCAGTCAGTGGTCAAGGACAAGATGAAGGCGGTCGTTTTCCATGGCGCCTTCGACATAAGGGTCGAGGACCGGCCTGAGCCTCAAATCCGTGATCCTACCGATGCCATTGTCAAGGTCCAAACGGCCGGTCTATGTGGAAGGTGATTGATCATACAAGCACTGTTGTCTCCATTCTGTGATGCAGGTCTAATGTCATGTCAGTGAGCTGCACATGTATCGTGGACATCAGACTACAAAGACCGGGCATATCATGGTCAGTTTGATCACCGCTCTGGGCCGGGTCGGCGTCGGCGTGCGGCGTCGCTAATGATGCATGATCAGGGCCACGAGTTTGTCGGCATCGTCACGGCCGTTGGGCCTGACGTACGTACGCACAAGGTCGGTGATAAAGTGGTATCCGTGTTCGCGGCGGTGTGGTGAGTGCGCGGCTACTTCCGCCCCGGTCTTCCGCCCGGATCTCGTCTTGGACCAATTCCGATACTGACGGTTGGCTCCTACGGCCACAGCCAGAAATGCTGGTTTTGCCAACATGGCTTGGGCCAGCGGTGTGAGAACTCTCTCGCCTTCGGCACCCAACAGCTCGACGGCGGACAGGCCGAGTACGTCAGAGCGCCATTCGCGGATGGAACTCTGCACCATGCACCCGCCCATCTGGACGACAATCTCCTGGTCATGATGTGCGATATTTTTCCCACCGGGTATTATGGCATGATACGGGCCCTGGAGTTTGTGCAGCGGCCTCTCATTACTCCTCCGGCCAGTAGCGGTGGCCAGAATGGTGCGCATCTCGAGGTCGGCGCGCGTTTTGTTCCTCAAACGCTGGACGAGGCCGTCTTTGTCTGCCTCGGGTGTGGGCCGGTGGGTATCTGCGCCTTGATGACGGCCGTCACGAAGGGAGTGAAGAAGATCTACGCGGTCGACGCGGTCGACGAGCGTTTGGCCGAGGCGGAGGCCTTGGGCGCGATCCCTCTTAAGCTGGGGAGAGACGACATTCAAAAGACGGTGCTGGAGGCGACTGAAGGTCGAGGCGCCGACGGGGTCATCGAAGTGGTGGGCAACAAGGCCGCTCTACGGTCGGCATTCGACCTGACGAGACAGTGCGGCGTGCTGTCGTCCATCGGCTTCCACCAGGGCGAGGTCCCTTTCCTGGCGTCCGAGTGCTATGCCAAGAACATCACGTACGTGCCTTAGCCCCTGTTGAGAAGGTGTGTGGCTGTGGTTGCGAGCTCGTTGCTGACCGTCCGTCTGTGTTCATCCCAGGGTCAATTTCGGCCGGGCTCCCATCAGCACCCTGTTTACCGAAGCCCTCGAGTGCCTGGAGCAGAACAGGGAGAGGGCGGCGTCCTTTGTGTCGCATGAACTGCCACTGAGTGAAGCGGCCAAGGGGTTCGATATCTTTGAGAAGTATCAAGCGCGAAAAGTGGTGTTCAAGGTGTGACAGCGGCAGCAGTAGCAGCAGTAGCCGCCTGCGTGCCGCAAAGCTTAGAGCTAGAGAGATACTGGCAGGGGAGTTATCAGGGGCCCCCTGGCCTTAGGAGCTGGACATATTTCAGTCGCCATGGCCGGCCAGAGAAATGGGCCTTCCGGAAGCATAGAGACTTATGAGAGGGAGCGACGATGGCCCAGGATCTGATCTAGACGAGCTGTGTTGGATGGTATCACCAGCTGAGGGAGTGTGTCCTTACACTATATTCGTATAGGTATTGTGCTCGGTATATACTGGACTGTATGTAGTGTACCTAGGCGGACTGTATAGGAGGGATGTACTCCGTACTCGGTACAGGATGTACAGTATCATACGTACCTACGTACGGGGTATGTACATCCCAGTACGGAGTACGGAGTACGGATACTGTACGAGTACTGTACAAAGACTCCACGAGTCCCCATGGCTCCCCCTTCGCCCCCCGTAATTCGTAATTTATCTCCCCTCGTCTCTCTTCCTCTTCCCCAGATTCGAAGGGTTTAGCCTTCGCCTTCTCCTTCGCCCTCGGCGGTCGCCGAATACTTATCTATCGCTTCTCCCCGGACGCTGGATCAAATCGTATCGTGGTTCTTCCACCTTCCAGCTTTGTCATCTGAGTGGCACTGTAACCCACAAACGACAACCCACAGCCCACCATCCACCACCCCCAGCCTACGGTTGCGGGTGCGTACCCAGGTCTCAGAGAATAAACAGCAGCGGCGAAGAGAAGAGGCGGCAGGAGGCACTGGACTGCACCTGGACTGCACCCGAACCCGAACCCGACAGCCATGCAGGCCTGTGACCGGTGCCACGCGCGCAAGACCAGATGCGATCGGCGAATCCCTCGCTGCGGCGGGTGCGAGAAGGCCGGGGCGCCCTGCCTGCACGTGGACAAGCTCCGGTCACGCAACCTGCCCCGAGGCTACGTGGAAAGCGTGGAGAGCGACCTGCGAAAGGCCGAGCAGCAGAATCTGGAGATGCAGAGGCAGATAGCCGCTCTGCGCAGCCAGCTGGCCAGGAAGGAGGGTGCGGCTGGTGGTGTCGATGGCAACAGCAATAGCAATAGCAATAGCAATAGCAGCCCAACGTTCTCAGGCAGTCGAGCCACTCATGACCATGACCATGAGCACGAACATGGACATGCACATACACATGCACATGCCCCGTCGTCCGTCAGCCTCGGCGACCACCGGAACGGGAATTTCCACGGCAATGGCAGCATTGCGACGCCCGGCGAGGTCGCTGGCGCTGGTGCTGCGCCTTCGACCACTACCACCACCACCTCCGGCAGGACACCGGCCGACGACGCCGTCGCCACGGAGGTGGGATATCTCACGCTCACGGCGACGGGCGAGACGCGGTTTCTAGGGTCGAGCAGCGGCATGGGGCTGGCCACCATCATCAGCTCGGTGCTCGATCCGCAGCACGCGTCTACTGGCAACTGGCCGACGGAGAGCGGACGCGGCGGCGGCGACTTCAACACCAACCTCAATCTCAACCTCAACCTCAACCATGGCGGCCGCAGTCCACATCCACATCCACCGACGGCCAGCAACAATGGGAATGGGAATGGGAATGGGAACGGGAATGGCGCGATCGGGATGGGCATCGGCATGGATGCAGCAACGTTCCCGCCCCGCGCAGTGGCAATGCAATACATCGAGGCGTATTTCCAGCACACACACATCACGTTCCCGCTCCTCCACCGGCCCAGCTTCCTGGCGGCCGTGGAGCAGATCTACAGCAACCCCAGCTACTACGCGGTCCACACGTTCGACGCGTTCGCATTCGACATGGTGCTGTCGATGGGCAGCTCCAACTTCAACCGGTTCGAGGAGTCCATGACCAGCGGGGCGGCGACGCACTATGCGCGCGCGCGCACCAAGCTGCCCGCCGTGCTGAACATGGGCGGCCTGATCCCGCTGCAGGCCATCACGCTGTTGTCGCAGCACGGCATCTTCAGCAACCTGCGCGACACCAGCGCCAGCATCTGGCATCTCATCGGCATCGGCGCCCGCATCTGCTTCGAGCTGGGCTTGCATCTCGAGCCGAGGCGTGCTAGTCTGGCGGCCGGGAGGGTGGGCTCGAATGCGAATCTGCCCACGACTTTTGAGGCGGAGATGCGGAAACGCACGTTTTGGTGTTTCTACAATTTGGACAGGTGGGCTACCTTTCATCTCTATCTCCATCTTTTGCTTTTTATCTCCATCTCTTGCTTGTTACCTTTATCTCTTTCTCTTGTCTGTCTTGTCTGTCTTGTCTGTCTTGTCACTTACATCAATCCATCAGGGTCGTCAGCTTCACCTTGGGTCGCCCCGTCGCCCTCCGCGACGAGGACATTGACATCTCACTCCCGTCGCCGCTGGAAGACGAGGAATTCGGACCGGACCGACCGATTCCGCCAACGATAAGCACAACCACAACGACCGTACCGTATGCCTCCACCACCACCACCGCCACAGCCGAATCCCACTCCCACTCCCAACCTCAGTCCCAGCTACGGCCCAAGATCACGCCGTTTCTACACCTCATCCGCATCCGACGGCTGTCCGGCAAGATCCTCAGCACGCTGTACGCGGCACAAGAGAAGAGTGACGTGACGGTGGAAGAGAAGACGCGGGTGCGGCGCCAGCTGTACGACGAAGTCATTGCGTGGCGCGACGACACCGCTTTGCTCAATCTCGACCAGCGCGCCCAGGAGGCAGCGGCTGGGTTGGGGGTTGGGTCTGGGTTCGGGTCCGGGTCCGGGTCTCTGCACAGTGGAGTGGGAGGGTCTGGGTCTGGCTTTGTCTCGTGCTTCCTATCGCCGGAATGGTACAACGCAGTGGCCAACAATGCACTCCTCCTCCTCTACCGGCCCTCACCGTACCTGCCGTACCCGGTGACGGCGACCAAGCTGGAAGTCCACGGTGATGGTGATGGTGATGGTGATAGTGACCAGGACCGAGACCGAGACATGGACCGAGATATGGACGACGACGACGACGACGACGACGACGAGGCTGGAGCCAAGGCCAGAAGCAGCAGTAGAGGCAGAAGCGGAAACGGAACCGGAACCGGAACCAGGCCCAAGGGCACCACCACCACCACCGAACCCGGCGACCTGCAGCACATGTTCTACGCGGCCAAGTCGTCCATCACATCGTACTACGAGCTGCACCGCAAGCGGCGACTGAATTACTCGTGGATCACGCTGCACGGCATCTTCATCGCCGGGCTGGCCTACGTCTACGGCATCGGGCTGGCCCTCAAGGACCCGGCCCAGAACATGCCGATCCCGGACTACCTCGACATCATCAACGACACGCGCGCCTGCTCCAACATCCTGGTTGCCATCTGCGAGCGCTGGAGCGTCGCGCGCAGCTCGTGTGAGCTGTTCAATCGGTTGAGCAATGCCGTCATTCGCGACGCCATCAACGCCGTCACCAAGAGGGACAATATGGCCCAGGGGCCGATGCAGACTCGGCATTATTTTTCGTCAAGCAACAACAACCACAACAATAACAATAACAACAATAACCAGGCCATCTCTGGTGGCAATGGCAGTGGCAGTGGCGGTGGCGGTGGCGGTGGCGGTGATGGCAATGGCATTGGCGGTGGTGGTCGCCCCATCGACCCTCTGCTGGCTGCCTCGATGCATGCACAGACACAGCCGCAGCTGGGGATGGATGCGTTCGGGTCGACGTCGACGGCCACGGCTGTCGGGCCTTGCAATCAATTCGACCATATGTTTGTGGCGGACGAGTTTCGCCAGTATTCCCACGCTCTGGACTATACCTTTCTGGGCAACCAGCCGCTGCCGAGCGAGTTGATCAATGGGTTTTCGCAGGACTGGCCGTTCGACGAGGCGCCTTTTTCGCCCCAGGTTAATTATGGGGTTTCTATGCCTGGAGTTGACGGGTTGTGGTAGGCTGTCTTTGCCGTCGTCGTCACTGTCATCATGGCCGTCACCGTCATCGTCATCGTCACTGTTACTCTTGGCCTCTGGTGTGTTGAAGGTCGGGTCGGCGGACCCAGTCGACCGACTTCAATCCTTATGGAAGTCACAGTCGACCGATTTCAATCCTTATGGCAGTCACTAGTGTTGGCATCTCTTCGCATGTCCGCATTCGATATGAACGAGGTAAATAGATGCACCTAGGTAGGCGTTGTTCGTACGGCCTCATGGCCAAAGACGGCATCCAATTTTTTCAACTATGTGGCCAAAGACGGAACCCAATTTGTTCAATATATTATAAATACAGAACATTCAGGAGAACGCAGTCGTGAGCGAATCGAATGACACTACCTCAGGTACTGCCTCCGTATATATGGAAGGCTTAGGCTCCGGCTCCAGCTCCGGCTCTATAGCCTAAGAAGTCATTGATGACTATCCCTGCCGATACCAGACCGAGGCAAGGAAGGGCGAAGGGCAAAGGGCAAAGGTCTCCAACATCAGCCAGCCTAAAGCTCCTTGGAAACATATCATTTACAGCATCATGCCTTATCCTCGGTTATCATGTCATCCCCGTTCTGACTCTGATCCTCGACCTCGGGATGAGCAGCATCCATAGTTGAAGAGCTGGATCCAACTACTGTAACCGTAGCTTAGTACCACTCTCTTTCGGACTGATACCGGGACAGCATCACTCTCTTTCTAGCAGCTACAGCTACCGCCATAGTACTTGTTATCTAGGTCTTGGTCTAGGTCAATGCCGATGGCTTAGCCATACAGTACCTGTTGTCTAGGTCAATGCCGATAGTTTAGCCATATAGCCTAAGCGACCAAGGCTAGAAACCATGGCTACATACTCGAGGTCGGCCCTGGCCGAAGACGAAGACGACGACGAAGCACATGTCCTCACACTCTGGGGACCAACACCAACACCAACACATCACCCCGCAACCCGCGCCGCGATCTGGGGAAGTGGGAAGTGGGAAGTCTGCCCACGGGGAAGCGGAAGGGGTATTTAAGTGGAGAGAGATCCTGCTGTACCTAGTATATGAATTCCGAATCGTCTTCACTTCTTACTGTGCAGTAGACGTATACAGTATACAGCATACAGCAGGTTTACCTCGACCGGCTTCACAGTTCTTGTTCTTTCTGTGGGCCACTCCATTCCATTCCATTCTCGTTTATTACCACAGACATAGAATCCAGATTATTACAACAGGCAGAATAGAATGTCCCTCCTCCAGCAGACCGGAGATGTCTTCAAGGCATACTTCCTGCCGGCCCTCTTGGTCTTGGTTGTGCTTCACTTCGCCATCAACCGCTATGGATATGGTCTGGGAAAGATCCCTGGCCCGTTCGTGGCGTCGTTGACGGACTTTTGGCGCATGTTCCACGCCTACACGAACAAAGGCCACCAGGACTATCTTCTCCATCGGAAGTACAACTCTCCCGTGCTGCGAGTCGGGCCCAAAACAGTGGCAGTGGCTTCTCCCGACGCCGTTCGTGTCATCTATGGCTGGAAGCCAGTCTATCGCAAGGTTCGGCGTCCCTTGTTGCTTGGACTATGTCACTCGGTTCTCAGTTCACTACCAAGGGTGAGCTTGGTGTGCGTGCCGGTGCTGTGCTGACAGCGACGCTCCCAGACCCAGATCTATACCACGCAGTCTCAACTCAACTCGAACGGGCAGCTGGTGGAGAACCTCGCTTCCACCATGGACGAGGAAAAGCACACGCGCCTGGCGAAACCGGTGGCCGCCGCCTACGGCATGAGCACGCTGGTTGAGTTCGAGCCGCTGGTGGATTCCACGTCCCGGACGTTCGTGGAGCAGATGGAACAGCGGTTTGCGCGGCCGACGAAAGAATGCCCTCTGGATCGGTGGCTGCAGATGTATGCCTTCGATGTCATGTAAGAGCCTCCTAGCCTCCTCTTGTCTCGTGCTCCCGCAATGACCGAAGAGATTCGCTAATGCAGTCCCAGTGGCGAGCTGACGTTCAGCAAGAGGATTGGATTCCTCGAGACCGGGCAGGATGTCGACCAGATGATGTACCATACGGGCCGGTTCATGGAGTACACGGGCGTGGTGAGTCTTTTGTCCTCCCTTCCCATCTCCCATCTCCCATCTCCCTTGACCAATGTCCAGCAACTGTATATGTACCTGTCGCCAAGGTACACAGTACTCCCCTCCCGTCCACAGTACTGATCTGTCTGCCTTCGCCAGGTCGGCCAAGTGCCCAATCTGGACTGGTATTTCCGCATCAAAAACCCGATCCTGCACATGTTGCGGCCGACCAGCAACATCCTAGGCTTCACGCTCAAGCAGATCCGAGAGCATCAAAAGTCGTCTCACAGCCCCAGCGACAGCCACAGCGGCCCCCGCGATTTCTTGACCCGCTTTCTCGAGGCGCGGGAGAAATACCCGGACATTGTCGACGAGGGCTTGGTGCACGACTACGCCAACACCAACGTGGCCGGCGGCTCCGACACCACGGCCATCATCCTTCGCACGCTGGTGCATCAGTTCGTGACCCAGCGCAGCATCCTCGACAAGGTGCTGGGCGAGATCGGAGCCGCCTTACGGGCGCGCCAGGCACCAGGAGATGCGGACCCCGACCCTGACCCCGACGCTGACGCCGACATGGATCGGCCCATCACCTGGGCGGAAGGCTTGAAAATGACCTATTATCAGGCCTGTATCAAGGAAGCTCTCCGCTTCCACCCTGCCACGGCTCAGATCCTGCCTCGACTCGTGCCCGCGGGCGGCGTCGAGCTCGGCGGCCATTATCTGCCACCGGGCACGGTGGTCGGATGCAACGCCTGGTCGGTCCACCGCGATCCAGTCCTGTACGGGCAGGACGTCGACCGGTATCGGCCCGAGCGGTGGCTGGAGGTGTCGCCCGACCAGGCACGCAAGATGGAGACGTCGCTCTTGACCTTCGGGGCGGGCAAGCGGGCCTGCGTGGGCAAGAACATCGCCATGCTGGAGATCACCAAGTTCATCCCCGAGTTCTTTCGTCGCTTCGACGTCGAGTTGGTCGACCCTGAGCGCTGGAAGATCACCTCCACCTGGCTGGCGGTTCAGAGTGGTTTGGATGTGAGGTTGAAGGTCCGGCCGTTGGAATCTTTGCTCGCTGAGTGAGTCTCTATCTAATGTACGGATACGGGTACCTACATAATCTAGGTAGCAGTACAGTACTATGTAGGTACGTGTAGCGTTATCGAATTATGGCGTTTCCTAAGGGTGTCCTACTGTCATTGTCCCATTGTCCCACTGTCCCACATTCCCACCTTATCTAATTACCTACAGGATATGTTATATGCACGGAGTACAGACATTAGGTACTCTACATCCGAGTCGGGAGTCTGGGGTCCGGGGTCCGGGGTCTGGGGTATGGGACATGATACAGTATTGTACCCTTGCTTGACCCCAACACCTTTATGCATCCGGATCAGGAAGGCCAGCAACTCCGAGCATGGGCATGGCATGGCATGGCAATTGGCATCCCATTCTTCCGGGGTATATATGTGTGATTGAAGAACGATCCCCACGACCATGACATGTGAGCCTGAGCCTGAGCCTGAGCCTGAGCCTGACCTCTAGCCCTCTTACAGTAAGCACCTTGGGTAAGGTACAAGGTACTGCCGCCTGTCCAGCCCGCTTGCGAAACAGTACGGTACGGTAGCGGTTAGATTCCTACCTCCGCCTCCTCTTCCCCAGGTTCCTTGGTTCTAATCCTTGGTTCTAATCCTTGGTTCCAATCTTGGTTCTGGAAATTGGATACAATTACAGCACATACCACATACCATATATCACATATCACATACAGTACTACCTACTCCTAACTACCTTAGTACAGTCTCACACGTACACGCTGCGTGTGGGGAGACGGGGGACGGGATTGGCTTGCAGTGCCCGTTTGCTGTGCTGGGTACTGTGTGCTGGGTACTGTTCACCACTACACCAACACCAACAACACCCTCGCATCGCATCAACAACAACAGGGAGAGGAAGAAGAGAAGACGACAAGAGGAAGAACAAAAGAAGTAGAACAGAAGAAGAAGAACAGAAAACGACAAGAAGAAGAACAAGAAGAAGAACAAGACGACGACGACGGCACCACCACCTTGTCCTCCTCTTCCATCATGACACTACTACGATACGCCGGCGGGGACGGCGTGGCATCGACGCCGTTGCTGAGTTTCAGTTTCAGTTTAAGCACTGTTCTGCTTCTTATCTTTGTTCTTGTATGTCATGTCGTGTCGTTTATTCCTGTCCTGTCCTGTCCTGTCCTGTTTTGTTTTGTTTCCAGCCTCAGCCTCAGCCTTGTTCCTTTATTCCTTTATTCCATCCCCCTCCATCTCTTCCCAGATCCCAGAGCAAACTATACTGTGCTTGAGTTCTGGAACATGTGCCGAGCTCTAACTCCAACTCAACTTCAACCTCAACCTCAACCTCACACTCACCATGACACCCACCATGACACTCACCATGACTGACTGACCATACCAGATCTCGATATATCTCATCGCCAACACCATCTACAACTGCTTCTTCCATCCGCTCGCGTCGTTCCCGGGCCCCAAGCTAGCGGCAGCCACTCGACTATGGTACGTGTCCCGATTGATCAACGGAACACTGTCGCGCGAGGTGCGAGACCTGCACCACCAATACGGCCATGTGGTGCGAGTGGCGCCCAACGAGCTCTCGTACAGTTCCAGCAAGGCGTGGGACGACATCTACGGGTTCCGCCACGGCAAGCCCGAAATGGCCAAGGACACGCCCTTCTACACCAACGAATCGCAGCCGCCGGGCATCCTGTCGGCTAAGCGGGAGAAACACTCACTTTTTCGTCGCCTCATGTCGCGCGGCTTCTCGGAGGCGGCGCTGCGTGAACAAGAGCCCCTGATCCAGGGATATGTCGATCTGCTGATGCGGCGGCTGCACGAGAATGCGGGGCAGGGCACCAATACGATTGAGATAGTGTCGTGGTTTAATGTGAGTTTGTTCCTTCGTTCGTTTCTTCCTTCAATCCTTTGTTTGCTCGTTCGTTCGTTCGTTCGTTTATTCATTTATTCATTTGTTCATGTCAAAGGTTGAAATGTTCCATGCTCGCTATTGAATGGGTATAGGAGCCCAGACTATAGGTGTGCCTATTATGCCTATACCAGCCTCTGGTTAGAGGGCAAGGCTGGGAAGGCCTAAGTTAGTGCCTAAGTTCGACAGTTTGTTCGCTCGTTTATTCCTTCGTTTGCTCATTCATTCCCTCGTTTATTCGTTCCTTCGTTCCTTCTTCATTTGTCCAACTAACCAACCTGGGCGCCCCCCAGTATTTCACATTCGACCTCATCGGCGACCTCGCATTCGGCGAGCCGTTCGGCTGTCTCCAGACGTCCAGCTACCACCCGTGGGTCAAGATGATCTTCGACGCGATCCACCTCGTGGCATTCAAGCAGGCGTTGGGCTACTACCCACAACTCGACCGACTAGTGCCGTACCTAGTACCCAAGTTCCTGGCCGACCGGTACAAGGCGCACGACGACATGACGCGCGAAAAGGCGCTGCGCCGCAAGGAGAGCAAGGTCGACCGCGCCGACTTTGTGTCCAACCTGATCAAGCCCGAGAGCAACATCTCCGACCCCGAGTTGTTCGGCAACTCGTCCACGCTGATCATAGCCGGCAGCGAGACCACCGCCACCGTGCTGAGCAGCGTGTCGTGGTTTCTGCTGCAGAATCCTCGAGTCTACGCTGCCCTCGTCGCCGAGGTCCGCGCGAGTTTTTCCTGTCCCGCCGATATCAACCTCGTCAATATCAACCAGCTCAAGTATATGCTCGCCTGTCTGAACGAGTCGCTGCGGCTGTTTCCGCCGGTCCCGAGCGGTCTGTCTCGTATGGTGCCTGAGGGGGGGGATTGGATTGATGGCCAATGGGTGGCTGGGGGGGTGAGTACAGTCCTGTTTTTCATAATGGCCCTACCTATAGTCTGCTTTTGCTTCTGCTTTTACTTCTGTCCTGTCCTTTTCACGATGGCCCTGCCTACAGTCTTCCGGCTCTTTCACACATGATGTATACAGTTTGCTTCTGTCCTGTCCTTTTCACAAATAGTCCTACCTACAGCCTACTTCTGTCCTATTACACATGGCCCTACCTACAGTCTTCTGTCTCTTTCTCACATACTATATACAGTCTACTTCTGCTTCTATCCTGTTTACACCTACTATATATAGTCTGCTTCTACTTCTACCCTTTCCACACGTTACAGTCTGCTTTTGCTTCTGTCTCTTTCACACATACTGTATACAGTCTGCTTTTACTTCTGTCATTTCCATATATTACAGTCTTCTTCTGCTTCTACTTCTGTCATTTCTCACTTGTCCCGTTCGATTTCGACCTTTTACCCTCTTATCCTCCTCCCTCCTCCCTCTTACCTACGCTCAAGCTGATTTATGACTTCTCTTCTCTTTAGACCCACGTCAGCGTCCTCCAACTCGCCGCCAATACCAGCGCCGCCAACTTCTCGCACCCCCTGGAATTCATCCCTGAGCGGTGGATGGACGACCCGCGCTTTGTGGGCGACGACCGCGCCGCCATGCAGCCGTTCAGTACGGGGCCTCGAAACTGCATTGGAAAGAAGTGAGTTATATGTTCCGTCCTATTCAGTTTTAATTTCAGTTCCATTTTATTTCCATCTCCTCAACTACTTGTACTACTTGTAACACCAATATCAACACTAACACTCCACAGCCTCGCCTTTCTCGAAATGCGCCTCGTCCTCGCCCGTCTGCTGTGGGAATTCAATCTCGAGCTAGTGCCCGGGCCGAAGAAGAAATGGGACGACGCCCGCGTCTTTCTGATCTGGGAGAAGAACCCGTTATATGTGCGCTTGAAGCCAGTGGTGCGGACCTAGACGTAGGCCGAGGGCTAGTTCTTGTTCTGGTTCTAGTTCTGGTTCTAGTTCTGGTTCTTGTTCTTGTTATAGGTGCAATATAGGATGGGATAAGATGGAATGGATTATAATGTTGGCTGGCTATCATACCTAGCTAGTAGGTAGTAGGTAGTTAGCTAGAGTATGTTAATGTCGTTGTCTAGGCTGGTTAGGACATGTGTATCTAGTATCTTGTCAAACTTAGGCATCCCCAGCCTCGCCTTTTAACCAGAGAGGCTGGTTATACTATAGAATATAGCATGCGCTCCCCCGGCGACCCTTTGATAAAAGACATAGAACATTTTCAACCTTTAATATATATTATAGCACGGCAATTTATAGATATACACACACACACACACATATATATATATATATATATAGTATAGAGACACTATAGTGGCATCAGCCATCAGCTACTGGCGACAAATTCGACATTAGGCAGTATTGTCATCAGCTAGATGGCTAGATGGCTGCTCATGCGGCCACTTCGGCGCCACGCCACACTCGACACTATCCCTATTCCTGCGGCATAGTCTCTCTGCGGCGTGGTGTGTTAAACTAAGGCGTTTTCAGCCTTGCGTTTTCAGCCTTATACTTCAACCAGAAGGCTGGTTTAGATACTAATACTATACTATACTACATAGTATCTATACTATATAGCCTACGATCTCCCTCTCCCTACTACCGTTTGCCGTTTAATAGAGAACAAGCACCAAAGGAATCTTTTGACATGGTGACCTCAGGTCATACTGAATTATGTAGCCCAAGCCCTTAGACAGACCTCACAATCAGTGGACTCGCGGTATATGGCATATGGCATATGGCACATGCCACGGCATCCTGTCTAAAGTATCTCCTTTTTAGCATCCTGTTTAAATTGCCTCCTTTCTTGCTTCGCAGATGCAAATCAGAAAGCCACGGTAAGCACGGAGATGAAGATTGATATCCGTGCACTCCGAGCACTGGGTTTGCAAGTTAGTATTCAGGCACATACAGTATTTAGGCATATACAGTATTCAGACATACATAGTATTCAGGCACACATAGTATTCAGGCACACATAGTATTCAGGCACGCACGGTATTCATTATTCAAAACATGGATTCCTATTCATCATTAAAAACATGGATTGATATTCATCATTCAAGTGTCAAAGGTTTGAAGGATGAAATGTTCCCTGCTCTCTATCAACGGGTCGCAGGGTGAGCGCATGCTATATAGTATAGTATAGCCTAAACCAGCCTTCTGGTTAAAGGACAAGGCTGGGGATGCCGCCTAAGATTTGACAGGATTCCTATTCATCATTCAAGATATGGATTCCTGTTCACATTCAAGACATAGAATTCCCTCCCCCCCCGGCATCGAACCACCTCCAGCGAACTAGATTCTGATATCAGGCAGACGGTCCGTCTGCATGTGCGCATGCGATCGGGAGAGTTCTTGTCGACGCTCCGTCTGCATCTGCGCGTACGTATGCTAGCGGCGTCTCCCTGACATCAGAATCTCCAGCTCGCCGGAGAGTTCTTGTCGAGCGGCATCGACCGACTTGGAGGTCTGAGGCGCATGTTCCAAGGCTTGGAGCAGCGTCGAGGTGAGACGCTGACACGTGTCCAGGGTGATTCGCCTCTGGTCGTACTCTCTGCTGACGACCTTGTGCATGAGCTGAACGGCGGCAACCACGTGATGCGGGAACGGGTCGATGGCGACAAACGAAGCGGACAGGACTGAGGATCTCGAGAGAGCAAAGTTGCCCAGTGCACCCGACAGAGGATTGGTGTTGGTGTTGGTATTGGTGTTAGTACTCTGTACGCCCGACAGAGGATTGGTGTTGGTATTGCCCAACAGAGGATTGGTGTCGGTATTGCCCGAGAGAGGATTGTTGCCCAACAGAGAATTGGTGGAGGTATTGGTGGAGGTATTGGTGTTGGTGTTGGTGTTGGTCACGGTGTTGGTCACGGTGTTGGTGTGGTGCACTCCATGCACCAAATAAGTGCTGTCCAACCCAAACTGCAGCGTGTTGAGTATTTCCCGTTCGGCGTCGGCTCTTGTCTCGGTCAGTTGCGACAACAGGTCGGATCGGTCGGCGGCCTCGATGCCGTCGATCAAGAGCAAGATGCCCAGAAAATGATGGAGCATCAGCTCGTACCAGTTGAGTCGTTCCACCTGGCCGAGGAAGCGCAGACGGCGTTGACAGAGACGCAAGAGTGGCAAGAAGGTGACTTTGAACATGTCCAAGGCCTCGAGGGCACATGTCCAGGCTCCCGCCAGCTTTTTCTCTTCATAGCCTTCCCGCAGTGCCTCTTTCAGCACGGCAATCATCTTCAACAGATACAAGTTGCCGGCTGAGGCGGCGGCAATGACCTGTTTCACCATGTCCTCGGTCAACTCGACGCTTCCTCGGCGCCACTCCTCAGTTCGCGTGTGGAACGAGCCGGCGCCCATCTTGAGCGCTTGCCACGACGACTCGGTCCCGACGCCGTGCAGGCCAGAGGTGAGGGACGACCGGAAGTTGAGGGTCAACGAGGCCGACGTGTCGAAAATCAACGCTCCCCAGTAAGCCCGGCTTTCGGCGCTGAGGAAAGTGCTAGTGATGTTCGAGCTGGGGGTGGGTGCCGGGCTCGACGACATGGACATGGACACGTCCGGTCCTAGGGACACTTTGCTGCCGTTGAATTGGTAGTTCCGCTGTCGCTCGCGCAGTCTCTGCACCTGCTGAAGGGCGGTTTGCACACAGATCTGGCCGGTCAGTCCGTCCATTTCTTCTTCTTCCGACACGCCCACGGGAATCGGAGTGAGTCCGAAGAGGAACAATGTCAAGACAGACCGGTAAGACACTCGGTTGATCACCTTGAGCATATCCCTTCGAGAGGCTCGCCAGAGCTCCCGGACAATACATTGGTGCGGCGGCACAAACGGTTCCGCCTGTGGCACAAGATGGAGCCATCGCGCCGCGAAGCTCCGGATGGCGTGGCGGAGCGATACATCGATCTGGCGGTCCAGCTCCTGTCGGCTGGGGCTGGGCGACATTGATGAACCGACATGTGACTGGCCTGCTTCCCGATCTTCGGCAATGCAGGCATCCAGTTCAGTGAACAATCGCGTCGGGCGCAGGATAATATCGGAATCCAGATCGGCACTAGGCTTATCAGTCATTGCGCTCGCTGGACTGGGGGCCAGGTGTTCATGCATCATACACAAGTGGACAACAGTGCCGGCCCATCCAGAAGCCGAAGACGTTCTCATAGCAGCTTTCGAAGATTCGCTCGAGGGAGCCACCTACCCTGGCCATGGCATCTTCCAAGGAGCCTGGTCTTGAGCTCGCCCGAGGTGGGTGTAGTATGGCAGCTGGTGATTGGGATTGGGATGCTAGCTCTCTACAGTGCGATCAGTACAGACAAGAAGAGCGTCCGGGCCACTTGAAGCCGCCTACCGATAGCATTCTGGCGAACGCTGAATGTGAGGTTCGGGCGAGGTCGTGAGTATTCGAGTAGCGTGTCCAGCAGCCACGCTTTCCGGCGAAGATGACGAGGCCTGTGACTGGCCCGCCGGAGCTGGCGCAGCCCGGCTGGCGCGACGAGGTCTTGTAGCCGGTCTCTTGACTGTCTTGATCCACTGACAAAGTAAACCGTATCAGCGCCAGGATACAGGATGCAGGATGAAGGACGCAGGGCGCAGGGCGCAGACGACTCCGGGTCAGGGTCAGGGTCAGGGTCAGGGTCAGGGTCAGGGTCAGAAACGTACCTCAAACGTGCACTTTTGCCCTCGACGGATACACCTGGAGCAGGAGCCCGACTCGCCCGGCTTGCCAGGCTCGAGGCCCACGCGCACGGCATCACAGGCAAGCCGCGAACCGCGACAACCGTCGCAACTGGAGAATTGTGTTCGGCGAGGGGCAACATTGTCCGACGGCTTGGACAGATTCATTGCGACCCTGAACCCGGGTAAGTTGACCACTGATGCTGATTGTAGGGGTCTGTAAGGGGATGACTTTGTTGATTGTAGAGGGCAGACAGCCTTGCACGGCCCGGTCAAGAGCGAGATGACTGCGACAGCCTTGCACGGCCCGGTCAAGAGCGGGATGACTGCAACAGCCTTGCATGCCCTGATCGAAATCGGAAGAACAGCAACAGCCTTGCACGCCCGGGGTAAGTTGACCAAGTTGACCAATGATGCTGATCGTAGGGGTCTGTAAGGGGGGTGACTGCGACAGCCTTGCACGCCCCGGTCGAGGTCGAGATTGGAAGAACTACCAGTTTAATGGAAGCCAATAATCCACATCCACTGCCGGATCTTCCTTGCCTTAGTCCGATACGAGTACTCCGTACCAGCCTCAGCCTCGGGGACACGGTTTTATTCGAGGGGATGAGGGTTTAGGGTCCGGGGTGCGGAGCATCACAGCTTTGAGTCTCCACGCTCCCTGGCGCTCAGAATGCGGCTAGAGATCTCATGGCAGTAGGAGTATGTAAGTGAGCAATGCAGGGCCAAGCTTCCCTAGGACATCAAGCAGATTGAGGATGGATGATGGATATAATAGCTTCTCTGGCAGGAGTCGTCGTTCGAGGCCGATATGAGAGTGTATTTATGAGAGTGTAGATATGAGTGTAGTGTACGGAGAGACTGCCACGCCAACGGTGGTCCTGGGGGGGTTTGGTGATGGATACGGATGCGGATATGGATGATGATGAACCCTGGTCAAATCTCGTCCTGACCATGTCTCCGTGATATACGGAGTACGCGAGTACGGATACAGTAGCTGCGTCTTGGCTGCCTGCTTGGAGCCTGGGCCACTCCTATTGGTCCGAAGAATACTGGCACCACGTCTTCTTCTGAGGATTCCGAATACCTCAAGAAACAGTATATTTACTATCTTCTCAGCTTCTGCGGTAATATTGCAAGTTGTCAAATCGATGCAGCCCTTATCTTCGAGGACCAAGGCTTTCGCTGAGGATTTGGTTGAAACAGAGCGAAGGAACTCGTCAGCCAGCCTCCTAGCAACGTCAACTCAACGGGTGTGCATCAAGGTGGCAGCCACCAGTGACTACCTAGGTTTGTAATAAGCTTGCATGAAAGAAGTCGCCAGGCAGTCGCTGGTTTCACTGACATAAATCGGTTACTGTACAACAACTGTGGATGGTCAGTCGCAGACAGTCTATGTTCGCCACTCTAGGCTGGCAACGAGACATGAGCAAAGCTTCAAATTGAGCAAAGCTTAGACGAATTCCGGATATACGTGATCTATACACCGCTTGGCTCAGACATTGCCATTGTCAGCAGATATCGGCCTCAAATGGACTTCCCAGTTCCACAGCGCCCGTAACACTGCTAACCCTCCACTTTGGGTCTCCACGGTTCGCCCGCGTCCTCGATCATTGCAGTCGTCGGGGGTGATCGGTTGACCAGGCCAATCGTCGGGTCTAGGGTTGACATAGTCATCAGCACCGGCCGGGAGAACAGTCGTCTCCCGTACCTCGGTCATCGTCTTGTTGTCCAAGTCGCCAAATGTCCACCACATTCCGAAGCGGCCATTGGAATCCTTCGTGGCCACCGCTGCTGCCGCGTTATGGGCCACCCACTTGTCGTACGCAGAGCAGCGCGAGAGGTGGTCCTGGTAGACATCTCGGTCCAAGCCTGCTCTTCCATCCGTGGCCAGGAATGCTTGCTCTTGCGGCCACAGGGGCTTACAGAATTCCGAGAAGTGATGGAAGAAGATGCCTTTGAAGGTCTGGCCATTTTGGCTGCAATAGCCGTGGTGGTCGCAGAATTCCTCCATGACTCCGCCTCGTCCCAACCCTCTCCACGAAGCGTCTGAATCAGGCCAGCCAGTGGCGCGCATGACAGCCTGCACCAGGTCATGGCCGTCATCAAGATAGCTTTTGGCACCTGTAGCCAGCCAGAGGCCACGGCTCGCAGACAGGATGACGCCTTGGTTATATGTAAATACCATGGGATTGAGCTCATCACAGTTTCCGGTGCCCGGGTTGATAGTCCCGTTAGGGTATCGCCGCCAGCCGGTGATGTGGAACCCATCCTGGTAGAGTCCTGACCTCCAGTCTCGCATGTGGCTCTCCATGAACCACTTGTAGCTTTTGACGGCATTCTCCAGAAACACTGGATCGTGGGGTTTGACGGAACCCTGCATACCTTGCGTCATATATGGCGAGGTGCTGTTGTCCCCGGGAAAATAGAGATACATGCCAATGCTGGCAGCTGCAAACAGTTCGTTTGTGATTGCGTTTTTGTAGGGCGTCAGGTAAGGATTCCAGTTCATGCCTCCGCCGCAGAGAGATTCGTCCCAGCCAACAGAGGCCAAGTCGTAGAAGATGCGCGCGCGGTGTGCGGCCATGGGGATGATTTGCAGCCCGTGCCACCCGTCTCCCGAAGTGTGTTGTCTTCCAGACTCGAGGAAGTCCCAATGCTTCAAGGAGTACATTTCGGCAAATTTCAGGTTCTCGAGCCAGCCGAGAACCACCCAAAGCATGTCATCATAGGCTTGGTTTCGCAACGAGAATGCATTTTCGCCAAAATAAAAGGCAGACGTGTGGGCATAATACCGATCGATGATATTCTGCCATGACAGCATCTCGGAGCAGGTCGACGCGGAGGAGGCATCGAGTGAGGAAACGATGCTCGCCAGAGTGGCCGAGACATGAGTACCGATGACAGCCGCAGTCCAATCAATGGCATCAGGCCACGTCCCGGTAAAGATGTCAAAATATGTGTCTTGCATCACTTCTAGCGCGTCCAACATGTCGCGAAGGACTGTCGGGAGATCCAACCTCCATGTTCCGGTAGCATTCCCCTCTCTTGTGTCGGTTATCAGCCCTTTCTGGCTGAGAGGAAGAGCCACACTGCCGGCATGGCGTTCTTGTCGACGCTTCTCGATCGCTCCGGCTTCCGAAAGCCAGATCCAAGGGAGGGTAAGCTGGAGGACGGTCAGGAGTCGCATCGTGGGCCAAGGGTCCTGATACGCATGATCGCTCAGGCGCTTCTCGGACCGCGGGCCAGGGACGGTGGAATGCAAACGCTCCAGGGAGGAATCAATCCTTCATTTCTGTCGTGAATGGACGTCTGATCTGAGCAAGCTCACGCCGGATTTGAAGGTAATTCAAACACAAATCAATCTACGGAATCGAGGAGAGGAGGTGGTGGTGGTGGTGATCGAAGCAAACGGTTGTGGGCGCTTGTCAGTAAGCGCAGGGCTTAAGAGGCTTCGGAGGGCCAGGCCGTCGAGTGCTCAATACTGCCCGCGAGACTCGGATTCGAGGGTCGCTGGTGCCAAGAAGTCTACTATCGATAAGACCAGGCTGCGGACTCGCAGTTCCAATTTGAGGCTGCCTGCGACATCTTCATTTCTACTGCCGGTGATATCGTCGTACTGTGGCCATGCTCATCCAGTGCTTGGTGAAAATGACCCTCAGGCTGGGCTCGTCGCTGTGTGGCCCGGTATATTGTCATCCATGACAGCTACCGACTAGGTAGGTAGCCAAAGTTCGATCAAGGCAGCATTATATCGCTACGTGAGTCCTGGACAAGGTAATGCATGTATGAAGCTGCCACGTCTTTCTCTCCATATAGTATCTACCGAGTCCCAATACTCACGTCCACTAACTAGTATCTTCTCCGATCATTTAGAGAAATTGTCCAGCGGAGCCTCATGCTTGACCTGCTCCCAGATCTCATCAATAGCCCGCGACGCCTTGTCACTCAAGCCTCCCTTCTCAATCCCTCCCAGAGTCTGATCGAGCTGTTGGACCGAGCTGGCGCCGACAATAATCGCATCGCCATACTCAGGCTTGAGGGGCGAGTTGGACGCGACCCAGCGATAAGCAAGCTCTGCACGGGAAACACCCTCATCCTCGGCGATCTGAGCCCACTTCTCCAACGCATCGAGCAGGGACGGTCGCGCATACAAATCGACGTATATTTTGCCGATGGGGTTATCGGTGAAGCGGCCCGCGCCTTCGCGGACCTGCTGGACGGTCTTGGTCAAGAACCCGCCGGCGAGCGGGCTGTAGGCGTAGAAGGCGATTCCGAGCTTGCGCAGTGTGGGAAACAGCACGGTCTCCTGCTTGCGTGCCACGGGGTTATAGTTGCCCTGGTAGACGGTGGGCAGGACCCAGCCATGGGCTTTGGCGATGTCGTAGGCCTTTTGCACCTCGTCGGCGGGAAAGTTGGACAGGCCGAATCGCTTGAATGCGCCAGTCTTGTACACCTCGTTGACCGCCTCCAGTGTCTCTTCCAGCGGGGTCTGCGCATCCGGGGAGTGGATGTAGAAAATGTCGACTTGCTCAACGCCCAGTTTCCGCAGGCTTTCCTTCGCCGACGACACAATGCTTTCCTTATTCGCAGAACCGGGCACCCAGCCGCCTGTCCACTTGGTGTCGATGACGAAGCGGTCGCCGGCCTTGAGCTCGCCAAGCCGCTGCTCCGAGTTGCCGTATAGCTGGGCCGTGTCGAGTTTCTTGACCTTGTGAGCCTCGAGCGTCGCGAAGGTCTGGTTCAAGTAGTCCTCGGAGATCCATGGTTCTCTGTTGCCGGTGGGCGCGGAGCCAAACACCACGGCGATGGGATTGTGAGACGCCATTGCTCGATAGACAATAGCACAGTCGTCAATGGTCAATAGTCAATGACTCTGACTCAAGCAGTAAGGTATAGATAGTTACTTGTATACTAGGTAGGAGGTAGGTCAGTCAGAAAGTTGCAATATCAATTGTCAATGACGCACAGTATCCAGTCGACTCCGGTCCAGACGTTACTATCTCTCCTGGTCTCTGATATAGTCGTGATAGTTGAACGCAGAATTCACGGTTCCCGGAACTCAAAGGGCAGAGGGGCAGTGTGTTATATATACCTTTAGGACCATCAACAGAGCCAGGAGATTTGTCACGCACTGTAATGTGCAGCATAGATTAAGATTATTACCTACCAGGTACGTGCCTAATGCACTCAAGTTGTACTTCTGACATTAGGAATCCGTATTACTATACCAGGCAACAACGCCTCATCATCGGTCTTGCCCTCCTGCCCGTCGCCGTTCAAGGCCTACATTTGTAATCAGACCCGTGCGTACTCCGTACAGAGTGAGTATATGTGATTAGGATATCATCTACGGATACTACGTGGTACGTAGGTGGCACCTCGGTGGGTGGGAGCTAGGTTTCTTACAGTAAACAGTTCAGAGAACCGGGGACAACGACATAGCCCCAGCACGCTTGGTTGGTGGACTGGCCGAGGCGAGAATCCTAATTGTGGAACAATTCCAGCCTGAAATGGCGTATCTCGACGCCGGCCAGACTCCGTATAAGAGGTCTGGGTTTTATATGATTCTTCTCATCTCTTTTCATCTCTTCGTCCGTGTATCGTCCTATCGTCCGTATATCGTCCGTATATCATCCGTATACTCTGTCCAGAGTACGGAGTATACTCTTAATCCCGACCGTCGAATGAGCCAAGGTAGCACGCTGGGTAACACTACAGAACAATCCTTAGGTACCTATACACAGGCCTCATACATCCATCTTTGGCGCTGTCGTAGGAATGAGAGCTGGATTGTCATGTATATTTTTGCGCCTGCATGTGCATGCCATGCTGCCCCAAGAGCCTCCCCCTACGGAATAGAGTGTGCACATTTGAATACAGATGCCATTCATTTTTCATCCACTTCTCCTGTTTCCGACCAGTTGTTCTCTGAGATCTACCGAGCAGACACATCGTCAAGCCCCGAATAGGAAGTTCCATGTCCCTTACTGACCATGCGGCCGCGTTGAACCTAGTACTTGTCAGCACAAGGCGGCTGGACTGGGCCTTGTTGCTCGGTTATAACCCAGCGATACAATTCCGCGAATTCATATGCTGTCATCCCTTCTCGCTGATCCTGATACCCCCTTTGGCAGGACACTAGCCTGAGAAACATGTGTCCTTTACGTTGACTGGACCACGCGAGTGACTTATGCCTTTCGCATGGTCGAGGTTGAAAATATAGGACTTCCTGTAGAATGTGGGTGAATATAAACATGAGAAGAACAAAACGCCGAGATTGATTCAGGCCACACACTCAGAAAGGAAATTTGTAGGCGACTGCAGTCACCTGTCTGTGCAACAGTGCAATAAAAGAGTGATCGTGATCGTGATCGTGTAGTCGTGCAGTTGGCGTGTTATGTGTGGCTCGCTCGGTGCTTTCCGTATGGTATGGCACCAGGACAGGATCAAAACTGGATGGAAGGGACAGGCTTGAAATAGCTTGTCTTGGAGTCTTCCACGTATTGTATCTCCGGAGATCGACCCAGTGGAATACGGTATGGGGTAGTTCCGGCACCGTGCGGGCTGCTGGCATCACGCACTGGGAATGGTGGAGGCGGCCGCACATCCTCGCGCAACCACGTTCTAGATCCTGTCTTGACGGACCTCGGGCTGCTAGGAACATATGTTTCTTTTCTTCTTTGGCCTTCCAGCACCATGTTGCCTGCACCGGTCACAGCGTCTGGCATCGACACACTCCGTCGATGGAAGGTATCTCGGAGGAAGGTGTCAAAGCTCGGCAACGTACAGAGCTGAGGAGCAGCTGTGGCCGGCCTGGGTTCCAAAGCCACGGCAGCGTGGGAATCCGGCAGCGTGGGTGTTTGGACTCTGGCTGGCATGTTCGGTGGTGAAGTGGCAGCGCCATCGTCCGACACGTCGTCTTCCACCTCATCAACCCGATGCCCTTTTCGGCCCACCATCATGTGATGGTAGTGCAGGCGACAAGCCAGTTCCGACTTTTCAAGCCGATTGGCAATGTGTCTGTAGGGTAGTTTCTGGTTTCGACTTCGGAAAAGAAAGGTTTCCTGTCCACCTGTCAGTCGTTTCTGTCATTGAATGCCGGCTGCGATCACGAACCTCTTCATCGGTCCAGCAGCGTATCAGCCTTCCTTGTCGGACCTTGTCCCGCCTGGAGACATTGGCAGTCTTCGGGACTCGTCGAGGCCGTGACGAGGATCGCGAGGGTGATTCACCCAGAGGTAACGGCATGATTGGAGACGCCATTGCACATGCCCTCTAAATCGACGAGACAGAATGGTCCGAAGCAGAGCCTTGCAGAGCAGACTTTGCATTTGACAAGGAGTACTGTAGTGGACTTGACGATGCAGATTGCAGTGTCCCTGCCAGTCTCGGAAGCCCAAGGGAGGGCATAGAGCGAGACGTGGTTCTAGAAATACCGGCCTTGTTCACCTCTCTCCCTCGGAAGGAAATGTGAAATGAAGAAGCAATGGCTGTTGGTGGCTGATCTGCCTTGTCGAAACGCGAAGGCAGATTCGATATTGGCTTTGCTGCTATCTGACCTTATACAGACCTCTGCCATGTGGGACTTATGGGCTCGGCCCATGGAATCATGGATGAGTTGGAATGTTCCGAGCAGTGTGAGGGGATGAATAGCCGCTGGTACCGCTGCAAGTGGCTTGCATTAGAGGGCCAGGCAAGCTAAAATCTGTGCGGCATGCCGGATAGTGACCTTTGCAGAGGCAGGGGACTCCATAGAGGCTGCAGACTTGATGAGCACACAGCCGAACCCTTGAGCCGACTGCAACCACCCCCGGACGCCTCTTCCTGCGGCCCACAGAGAGATAGAGAGAGAGACTTGAAGTCATGGCCCACGCCATCAGATGCTATTGAATCCATCTTGCTGCTTCAACCTCCATGGCATCTGATCAGCCGATCAACCGGCTTGGAACAGGGGGCAGGTAGAGTTTAGCCCACCGGCAGCATCCAGAATCTCGCCGGCGTGCATCTGTAAAATGTTCCGAAATGGAGGGGCGAGCACCAGTTTCGTTTCCTGCGACAGTGCTGCGTCTCTGCCTTAGGGTCTGTATGGACGAATTGGATAGGGGTGGAGGTGGTTCAACAAGCGCCGAAGCCTGCCAGCGGCTATTTCTCCACCATGAGGCCAACAGCACCACATCCAGTGTTGACGGGCAACAAGAGACCCGACATTATAGACCAGGAATGTTCAGGAGCCGAACAATGGTGCCGCCGACCTTCGTCGATGGCTGAGGTTATGCAGGTTAGAATGTATGGAGAGGTCCCGGAACGCCCAGACATTCGCTAGAGGCCCCAGATGTGTTGAGTGATCTATTGTGCCGTCTTGTTCGTGTGGTGGACTCCCAGGCTACTGAACTGCAGAAGAGGGCATTGGACAGGGCCCAATCCTGGAGGCAAATAGCTTCAGTATGGACGGGACGCTCTGGGATGTTCCGGTTGACCTGACCGTCAAAGGTCTTGCATTTGCAGGGAAGTGACATGCAACCCATCATCGTTCGTCTTTTCTAGATCACGGGCATGGCGGAAGGAGTCTTCTCGTGGACTGACCTGACTGCACCGTGCCGTACGGGTGTGCTGAGCGTGTGGAAAGATGCGTTGCCTGTCCTGAAGAACGCATTGAGACTGGATTTGACAGTCAAAGCAAAAGGACGCCCGTCGGTGGTGGCCATCGATTTGGGGGCGAAAAGGATGAAGCGACCGCCAGCCAGCCAGGCTCACAACCACAAGCCAAATCCACTGATGCCATGCGCCTCCCCGCCCACCCGGCCAAGGGTCGCCTCAAGGTGGTTCGCTACACTCTAAGCGCGGGTTCGAATAAACTACCACCTCACAGCCCCTGGAGTCAGGACGAGGGGTCGGAACCGTCAGGAGGAGACGGCAAACCATCGTGTACTACTACAGAGTACTATCCATCCCCGTGACAAATACCAATATTCATCCTTTTCGAGGATCTCAAGCCTCGATGCTCTGGCCTCGACACGGATGGCTTCAGGTTCCAGCAGCAGTCCACGGGTGTTAACTCGCCGGATCCTGCTGCTTCAATATAATATCTATGAGTCGATGACCCCGTGTGCCGAGGAGAATCGGGCGATCACCATGGAGCTGCCGTGAGGAGTTGATATCCATTCTGTTCTTTGCAATGTGCTAAGGACCCTCGATCTAGCTCCTGGCCTCTGCCCAGGACCAACACTCAATCTGGGATTTGCGGCGTTGAACTGGAGTAGAGAGTCGAGAGTGATGAAGAGGGAGGCCTACAGAGGAGTAATAGTAGCCTGGTAGGTGCCTGGTGAAATGATGCATCTAGAGTACTACAATTAGGTACCTCAGCAGCAGTTGCTGGTGCCAAGACCAACCATCACCGCGTCCGAGTCGCGTTCCTTCCAGTTGCAGGGTCAGAGGCGTGTGTAATTATTGTATAGCCAGGTATAGTGACCGTACTCCGTACTCCGTACTGTAATCACTAGTCCAGGCTGCACGACAAACCCTCAGGCAGCCTCCTGGTGCCTCCTCAACCCCCTGCTACATCTACATGCTACATACAGGCCACGTCCCGGTTTGTGTTTGGTCTGCTGCAATCCTCAGCTCTCCCTCATGCTTGCAATCCCTCTCTTTGCTTCACGTCGCAGCCGCCTGATTACTTCGCCCATCTGCCCGTCTACCCATCTCCGTCCTGCGACGGATCTTACGCTCTGAGTCCCGACGTGGCTGTCTGGCCATGTTGGATCTGCAACAATGTACATGAACGTCTTCCGCATCTTGGGCGACGTGTCCCATACGGCGTCCAAATGCATTCTGATATATGCCATTCATTCCAACCAGAGTGCCGAAGGTGAGACCGAGACGTCTCGTGGTTCTGCCATCAACTTCCTAAGCTGATTGATACCTTCTAGGGGTTTCCCTCATCACCCAGATCCTCTACATCGCCGTCTTCTGCACCCGATACCTTGACCTGTTCTGGGTCCGACCGTCCTTGTCCTGGTGGAATTTCATCCTCAAGAACTTTTACATTTGGTCGTCCATCTACATCATCGTTTTGATGACCCGAGTGTACGCGCGGACACGCGAGCGAGAAAAGGCCTGGAAATGGGGAGCCTACGCAGCCGGTGCCTCTCTGGTTGCCGCTCCCCTGGTGTCGCTCATCTTCAACGGTTGGCGGGCTACCACATTCGTCGAGGTGCTCTGGACATTCTCCATCATCCTCGAATCCGTCTGTGTGTTGCCCCAGCTCCTCCTCCTGCGGCAGACCACCGTGCCCACGGTGATTGACTCGTTTTACCTCGTCACCCTCGGTTCTTATCGGGCCTTCTACCTCCTCAATTGGATTTACCGCACCTTTACCCCGTCGAAACCAGATGCTATTTCTGTCATCTTCGGCATTGTTCAGACTGCCTTCTATCTCGATTTCGCCTGGGTGTACTGGACGAGACAACGGGTCAAACTCAGAGGAGGCACAGTGGTGGATACAGATGATCTGCGAAAGGGCTGGCTGGTGGACAGGGTGATCAATCATGCCGTGCAGGAAGGCGAGGAAGATGCGGAAGCCGGCCCTGAGGAGCCCAATGGCCCGGCGCAGCCACCCAAGGCCAACCGGTGGGGACGACGGGGGATTTCAATTTCAGCAGACGACACACTGCATGAGCATGACAAGAGCAAGAATGGAGCATCCAAGCCATCCATCTCAGAGGAGGATCCCATCCTGGATGATGATGACGCCTTCGCGTCAGACGGGGAGGACGATGTACCCAAGCTGGGCGACCCGGAGAACCAGATGCTGAACAGCCACGACGAATGGCGAACCAGTTCACCCTCCCGCAAGTGATAGTGATGCTGATGTATGTACGGATACAGCGTTTAGCTACGTGCGGAGTACGGAGTACGGAGGATATATGGATATGAGTCCACAATGACTATCACCAGGCTGTGGCTGGCTACGGAAGGGTATCTAGCGTTGGGCTAATTGGTGGCCTCGTCCCTCCTGGGATGCGGATGCGCCGTGCTGGATTTGTGCTATGGCATACGGAGTAATATGATCGTGCAAAGCCCAACAATCTGCATGTGGAGTCTGCGGTCTCGCCGGTCTGATAAGTATGTACGGATACGGATACTGTGGACGGAGTACGGATATTCTCTAAATAGTGAATCGAGAAACGGTCCCGCCTGTCCTGCTCTGCTCCTGCTCCATCGTCCCAAGGGCAATGGGTTGGGGGGTTAGGAGGTTAGCCTTGTCCGTATCTTGCCTGACCTGATGCTATTTGGTCTGGCTGGAGGCTCCTCGGTCTGCCTTCGGGTGTGTCAACCAGCAGATTTGTAGTATTAGATTCTCAACATCAACAGCCCATGGCCCACGGGTGGGAAATGACTTACTGTTGACGGGACGCTTAAAGGAGGTTTACGGGGGGGAGGTGGTCAATGTCAATATCCAATATCCAATGTCCAATGTTCAATGTTCATGTCCGCCCACTCCTTGCCAGTCTGGTATCCTTCTTCTTCTCTTTCTTCTTACCTACATACCTTTAGTACCTATAGGTACCTTAGGTATGGAGCATCGAGTATACAATACATACATGTACCATGTCCCATGCCAGCTTCAACTCGACTAAACCAACCAGCTGACTGACTGACTGGTTTCATTAAATAATATCAATATCATATCACATGTATTGGGCAAGGCAAGGCATAATATCAAATCATATGTATTAGGCAAGTCAAGGCAGTCGGGTCATGTGCTACTGCTATTGCTACTGTAGTATCTCAGCTCTCTCTCAGCTCTCCTCTCAGCTCTCCTCTCAGCTCTCCTCTCAGCTCTCCTCTCAGCTCTCCTCTCAGCTCTCAGCTTATATGTATATGTATTGTCTGTCAAGGGTGCCAACATCGATTATATGTATTGTCTGTCAACGCTCAACTGTGCCAACATCAATGCGCTGGGAGCTCTGCACGCATGGAATCTCCCGTCAGCTCCGGTGGCCTCGAGTCTGCGGCTAACTCGGAGCGTTGAAGCCCTGAATCAACCGGACCTGGGGATGGAGGGATATGTTTCGATTCTCCCGCCTGCTTTGTGTCGCCGCCGCCGCCGCCACCGCTTTCCCTTCTTCTTCTTCTTCTTCTTCTTCTTCTTCTGGCCCAGATGGCCCAGATGGCCAGAGCCATCAAGAGGCCGACTCCGACGACGACCCCGACCACGATACCGCCAATGGCACCAGCGCTCAAGGCGGCGGCGTGATTGTGCGCCGCGGATGTGCTGGTTTGACTCGCAGAGCCTGCGGCCGAAGGTGAAGGTGTGCTGACGGTGGCGGTGGAGGTTTCGCCTGCGATCGAGGTCGGGAGAGAGGAAGTTGCAGTGGTCGGGGAAGAGGAAGAGGAAGTGGACGTCGCAGAACTAGTAGTAGCCGTGTCGACGCTGACAGAACTGGTAGAGGAAGAAGAGGTCTGGGCAGCGGCGGCCAGAGCTATCGGATCAAAAGACAGGTAGGTTTGGGTTTGGGTTTGCGACGCATCGACAGCAGCAGCAGCAGATAGAGAAGAGTAAGTCTCATTGAGGACGAGCTTGGGCACGTCGCTGAGTAGATTTCTGACCGTACTCAGGCACGAGTTGTCTCTGGTTTGGTCGCATTGCTCCCTGTTTCAACACAATTTGATTATTGGTGACTGTCAGTCGCATGGTATGGAATGCATCTCATCTCATCTTGTCTGATCCTTGCTTCGCTGTGATATGTAGAGCCAGTGCCAGCGCCAGTGCCAGCGCCAGTGTTGGTGTATTTTGTAGAGCGCGCAATGATGGATATAGACACAAGACAAAAGACACAGAGAGAGACACTTGACTTGCCTTCCTGTCACACAACACCACGTATAACCATCACGCTCACAGGTAAAGGTGCTACCGTCACTGGCGCAGGTCGCAATGTCGTTCCAGCAGACACCACCATAGTTACAGCAAAATGTCCTCGCCGAGTCCGGGTCAGTTGTGCAGGCGCTGAAGGGCGGGTCGCACCCGTAGGGAATCCGCGCACATTGGAAATCGGTGTAGGACGTGCTGAATGCCCATTCTGTGAGGTTGTCGGACATTTGGTAGACGAGGTGCAGGCACGACGTGAAGCGCAGCGAATAGTTTGGGACTGTTTGGGTCTGGTTTCGGTTTGGGGAGCCAGAAGAGCTTTGAACTCTGAACTCTGAGCTCTGAACTCGCGTCTGGGAGGAGGGAGGAGGGAGGGTGGTAGGGTGGTAGGGTACTCTCTATATGTGTACTGTACTGTGTACTGTGTACTGTAGGAGAGAAGATCCGGCCAATGCAATCTCCTCTGTACAGTCAACCAGGATGAGTTGAGAGCAACTTCACCTTGACCTTGTTGAGCCTCCTCTGCCGAGGTTACAGCATAGTACTCCGTACAGTGCTGCACTGTATGCCATGTTCCATGGTGCAGGTTGGCTGTTGCATTTGAGGGGGCAGAGGGCAAAGGGCAGGCCTGAGCCTAATGCCTCATCAAGGCTAGATTAAAGCCTACTCTGTAGTCCGGTCTGACGCCTTGCTTTTGTGACCAACCTTTTCTCACGACCTAGGCCTTGGGCTGATACAAGCGTCGCGCGGTAGCGCAGCAGAGTGCAAGCGAGAAGAGAATGACGGTGACGAAGAGGAAGAGGGAGAGATGTCTGCATAGGTACGTAGTACTCCGTACATCGTATCCCTATCCTGAAGGTAAAGTGAGACCAACTATCACCTATAGCCTACCACCACCTACCTCCTAAGCTCTATCCTATCACTGTGATGAATACGGAGTACTGAGTACTATTAACTCATTGTAGTTAATGGTCGAGTCAGTATCAAATCTGGACAGTAGTGCATCTTTCGTGTCCGATTGGACTATTTAACTGCTAGTATTTCGCGCTTCATCTCCCAGTTGCTGCAAGGCCTTCTCATATCTAGCCTTGATGTCCTCTTGCCCAATGCTTAGATGGATGCGTCTGATCGCATGTATTCGCTCAATCGAACCGTCGTTACCTCCCGGACCGGTCGTGTCCCCTTTGCCCTTGCCTCCAATCTCGCGCCAGAACCATGCACCCTCTCTGTGCTCGACAAAGGTCCATGCATGACCTGCCTTTCCCGCTCGAGCTGACCGGCCGACGCGGTGCACATATGTCAAAGCACTGCTGGGCACGTCGTATGAGATGACATGCTCCAGGCCGGGGACGTCTAACCCACGCGACGCTCGATCTGTGGCGATCAAAATCGATATCTTTGAACTGCGGAATAAAGCCAAGGCGCGGCGAGACGAAGCTGACGAGGTAGTACTGCGGGTCAAGGTCGAAATCCGGGAAGCAAGGGCAGGACAAAGAAGGACCAACAGTCGTGAGAGTCTGGTAGCCGATGCAGTCGAACGAGCAAAAATCAATGCTCGAGGAGACTGTCCTGCCTCATTCGTCTGACGAGACGCAGACGCCTTGGAGGGTGTGGCCTGAGCGGTCGAGCTGTGATCAGAAGTAGTTGCACTGTCTGAACTTGAGCTGTCCTCTTCGTCTGACGATAGGCTATCTGAATCTGACGATGATTCCGAAGATGTATCTGCATCCGAGCTTGTATCTGAAACAGATGCGGAGGTCGATGCGGCCGGCACGCTTGGAGTTGAGGGAATAATTCCAATATGCTTGTCGAGCAGTTGCAACAAATACAACGGCTTCTCTGACCCGTCCGGGACAGCAATGGCTGCTTCGTCTAGCAGCTCGGGAATGTGGAAGACGTCACTGATCTCGTGGGAAGAAAACTCAATGCCCAAGCCAGAAGCCACGGTCGGCCCAGACGCGGAGGCATCGGCCGTAGACGCGCCAGTTAGCACCACCATCTTTGGATTGTACAACCCCAAGGCATTCAGTTTGGACACGTCGCGAGTCATGGTGGCAGAAAGTAAGACCTTTGTCACCTTTCGTCTCGGTGGTGCCAGCCTCATGTGCCTGAGCAGGTCGTCCCGGTCTTTGGTGGCAGCTCGCGATTGTAACGCCGGGACAACAACCTCAATCCATTCCTGGTAGCTTTGGTTGAGTAACTTGTCAGCTTCGTCCACAACCAGCCATTTCACATCGTCCAGTGTGAAGCCCGGCGTGGAATTGAGGTGGTCAACGAGCCGTCCTGGCGTGGTAATCAAGATGTCCACTTTGGACCTGTAACGAGTCACATAGCCGACCGAGTCCATGGGGTCGCCAGAGGTGGATTTGTGCACCAGCTTCTCCAGTGATATTGAGGACCAGTCAACGCACTTCTTCTGCTCTATTTTGTATTGCTGAGGATTATAGACGTGCTCCTCTGCCACAAGTGACTCCTGTTCCTCCTTGATCGATTTGCTCCCAACGGCAGTGGCAATCTTAAGCGAAGTACCCGAAGCACAGATCTCGCATAACTCGCGCACCTGCTTCACCAGTTCTCGAGTCGGAACAACGATCACTGCCCTCAGCTTGGTGCCGGCAAGACTTCTCAGCCCATCAATCGTTGGCAAGACGTAGGCGAGGGTTTTTCCAGAACCGGTGGCGGCTGAAATGCAAAGATCCCCATCGTATCTATCTGGACCCTCTAGAAGCAACGGCAGGATGGCGGCTTGTACAGGGAATGCTCTGTCTAGACCGCTTCGATGCAGATTGGCCAGCAGTTCACTTGACACTCCAAGCGACTCGAAAGTCGCCGTCAATTCTGGGGAAACATTCAGCGGTGTTTCTTGCCAGCCGGGCAGGGTAGAATATGTCGGTTTGCTGGGAACAACTTCCACTTCCTGGGGCTGTGGGAGCGGTTCGAGACCGTGAAGTTCAATAGGTGGTTGATCTGAAGAAGCTTCAGAATCCTGCGGTCGTTCTGCCTCTAGCTGCTTGGCTTTCTCAAATTTCGACAACACCGCCGCATGTCTTTTGTGATGTGTGCCAGCTTCTGTCTCTGAGTCCGTCTCATCTACATCGAGTTTCGATTTGTGGCCTTTCCTGCTCTTGGATCCGTCATCATGATCATGATTTTGCTGGGCTACCTCCTCAGACACCTGAATCTTAGACCGCCGAGGTCTGATATCAGCGGAAGGGTCTGCACTTCTTGCTGCTTCGGTGACACGATATTTGTCGAGGACTGCTCTCTCTGCAGCAACGGACGCATCGTCGGCAGGTGTACGGTGGTCGGGTGAAGGGGATCTCGTCGCCTTAGAAGCCACCTTGTCTACCGCCGTGGACAGCTTTGGCTTTTTGCCTTGCTTCTGCTTGGTCCCCGTATCGCCTTCTCGCTTGCGCTTCGTCGAATTGGGAGAAGGGCTGGTGACTGCTACTGCTTCAGACTTTTGGCCGGGAGGCACATATCGGGCGTAGAAATTCGACATGGGTTAAGCCTGAGAGGGTGATCCAACTCCATTCAAGGGCAGTAGGTGTGTTTGGCTGTTCTCGTTTTAATTCTCGCTCTGGTTCTCGCTCTCTCGTCGGTCATCCAGCGTGCCTGTGCCTGGTTACCGACGATGGAAAAAAGTGTCTGGCATCTCCGCATTGCGCCGGCAGAATCTCTCACCGCCGCCGTAACGGGCATCCTGCGGTTTCCGTCTTGACGCGCGGAGCACAAAGACATCACGCGTCAAAACAGGTCCAACATCCAACATCCAACAGCCTCTACCTCGAACATCTCGACCCTCGACCGTGGCAGCTCAAGCAACCGCTGACATACACGTGCCTTGCTTCTGAAGTGTCATATTCAGTATGCATCTTTCGCTACCAAGACACACCAGGTCGACGGCGTCAACGGGCGATAGTGCAAGATGCCATATAACATCGCCATGGTCAGCGACTTCTTCTTCCCCCAGCCAGGGGGCGTGGAGAGCCACATCTACCAGTTGTCCACCAAACTGATCGATCGCGGCCATAAGGTGGTGGTCATCACCCATGCATACGAAGGGCGAACAGGAGTGCGCTATCTCACAAACGGCCTAAAGGTGTATCATGTCCCCTTCTTGGTCATCTATCGAGAGGCTACCATGCCGACCCTCTTCTCCTTCTTCCCTATATTCCGAAACATTGTCATCCGGGAGCGAATCCAGATCGTGCACGGTCACGGCAGTCTGAGCAGTTTCTGCCACGAAGCCATCTTGCATGCCCGCACCATGGGACTGCGTACTGTCTTTACAGATCACTCGCTGTTCGGCTTCGCCGATGCGGGCTCGATCCTAACCAACAAACTCCTCAAATTCACGCTGAGCGACGTCGACCATGTGATCTGTGTCAGCCATACATGCAAAGAAAACACCGTCCTTCGAGCATCTCTTGATCCTGTCATGGTATCCGTCATACCGAACGCCGTGGTGGCCGAGAACTTCCAGCCCGAATCATACCTTCCACAGGCGCAAGACATGGGATACATGCGGCCAAGGCCCATGCCTCATCGCCTGGGTCCTGACGACACGATAGTGATCGTGGTGATCTCTCGCCTCTTCTACAACAAAGGCACAGACCTCTTGATTGCAGCAATCCCAAGAATCCTTGCCACTCATCCGAATGTACGGTTCATCATTGCAGGCTCTGGTCCTAAAGCCATAGATTTGGAACAGATGATTGAACGGCAAATGCTTCAAGATAAGGTGGAGCTCCTTGGGCCCGTCCGCCACGAGGAGGTTCGGGATGTCATGGTCAGAGGACACATATACCTCCATCCGAGTTTGACCGAAGCTTTTGGAACTGTGATCGTTGAGGCGGCGAGTTGTGGACTTTATGTTGTATGTACCAGGGTGGGTGGAATTCCAGAAGTCCTTCCCGCACACATGACAACCTTTGCCAAACCTGAAGAGGACGACTTGGTATTGGCAACCGGCAAAGCGATTGCTGCCCTCCGCTCAGGGAGGGTTAGGACCGAGAGGTTTCATGACCAAGTCAAGATGATGTACTCCTGGACCGACATCGCGCAACGAACAGAGCGAGTATATGACGGCATTACCGGCGCCATCAGCGAACAAGAGTTTTACGGCCAATATCCAAGTGCAAGCTGGAATGCAACCCGCAGCCGTTCTTACGTTCTGATTGACCGGCTGAAACGATACTACGGCTGTGGTATCTGGGCAGGCAAGCTCTTCTGCCTGTGCGTCATTCTCGACTATTTGATTTTTCTCTTTCTGGAAGTCTGGGCTCCCAGGGCATCTATTGATATTGCCCGAGATTGGCCACGCAAGCCTTTCATCAACGACAAGAACAAGCCGGTGGAGAACGGCATGCTCAGTCGGAGAGGCACAGATCTTATGGACCGCCGAAATGGCAGCCTTGTGATAAGATGAGAACAGGGCCATGTTTCTAGTTGAGCCACTTCGAAGCTCTTCAACTCTAAGAATTTGGTGGACAGTAGGCCAGCAAGATTCTTGCATTCTTGGTTCTTGGTGGACATGTTCATCATTCACTTATGGCAACTCGAAAGTGACAAAATCGAATGGGCTGTCGACTCGTCGCATAAATTAAAACCGGCGTCCTTCAACAGTGCTCACTGATACGGCCATGGGATCGACATTAGTCCACAAAGTTACCATTTTGTTTTGTACGAGGCCGATAACACAAGCATCGCCTAGCTCTAGCTTCAAAACCGGGCGCACAGAAGGTCTCAGATATTTTCAATCGCAAAGGGCTTTGCGAAGGACGACCTTCGAACTGAAGCCGTTGTGGTTTGACCTCGGCTCTCTAAACATCCCCGATCGAGATTCACTAGGTGCACAGGGTATGCTAGTCCTAATCTAGACTAGCTCTTGCCCAGCCCACCAGCCCCCTTAGCGCCTTACCACCTAAAGAACAAGGCATAAAAGGCGACACCTTCTACTACTCGTACCTATTTACGCTCTTCTTATACATCTTTCTCCATGGACCCTCTTTTTATTAACCAAACATTCCCTTCTCGCTTAGCGGTGATCGACTACTGCCAAGAATGGGCTAGCGCACAAGGATACGCCCTCACGATTCGCTCAACAGAGCGACGCAAAGTGAAACAACAGCGTGTTGGCGACGTCTACGCTTACTCGATTAGGCTGTAATCGAGGCGGTCAACCCCGGCTGACAAATACGATCGAAGGCCTCCAGACACGCAACCAACGGAGCGTACGAGTTGGTTGTCCGTTTATGCTTATTGTGAAGGAACAAGGCGGGTGTTGGCACACAGAGATTCATAACGCTAGTCACACTTGTGAGCCTGCTATCATCCAATCACAGCACGCGATACTACGACGCCAAGAACGGAGGGCCAACCCGCAGATCCTTGAGATCATATCAACTAATCAGAGGGCTGGAGTCTCGGCAAGATCCACCTTTCTTGATCTCCAGTCCCGCTATCCGGCGCTAAAGACGACACTAAAGGACGTAGAGAACATTTACGCTCATCAGAAGCGCAAAGGGCAGTCAGAACATCCGCATGTGCACTTAGTGAGTCTCCCTCACCACTCCCCGCAGGGGGAACAGCCCAACGAGCGCCGACAAACGGTCCAAATCAAACTCGACACTGCCATGTCTGCCCCGTGGGTTATAGCCCGCGCGGAAATTGCCCCATGACTTGGCCATCATTACCAGCCCGGGCAGGCTATCTGGCGCTGAAAAACAGCAGTCGTCGAAACGCATTGTCTCTAGCTGTTCTGAAAGATCTCCGGGACCAACTCCATGCTCACAACAGGTCACCAGTGGATGGCAGGCTGAGGTTCCTACCTTCATTTAAACCCCAGGTTCTTGCGCAACTCGAGACTGCTGCCGACGACGTTACATCTGACGCCGGGAAAGAATATGGCTGGCTCCTACATTCGAGCGAATGGTCCAAACATCGCCGGGGACTGCCGAATGTAATTGTGTTACGCAGTGAAGGCCCAGTGTTTTCATCGGGGCACGATCTAGGCAAACTACGGACTATGGGCCACGACGAGGTCAAACAGACCTTTGCATTGTGTGCAGAGGTCATGTCCCTGATTCGAAGGTCTCCTGCGCCAGTCATCGGTGTCATTCAGGGTCTGGCCACAGCAGCTGGAGCACAGTTAGCTTTCACGACAGATCTGCCCGTTGCGTGTGCCTCTACTCAGTTCCGACTGCCAGGGGCCTCGATCGGATTGCCTTGTACGTCGCCGTCCACCGCTGTGTCTCGCAAGCTGGGGAATGCGTTCACGTACAAGATGTTGGCTTTGGCAGAACCGGTGCGGGCAGATCAGCTCCCCGGTGGAGCAGTTGAGGTCGTGGCAGATGAGGCGGCGCTTGAGAGAAGGGTAGTAGACATGGTCAGCAAGCTGTCAGAAAAGACTGCAGGGCAACCTCAGGCATTAGGGAAATGGGGATACTGGACACAACTGTCGCTAAACGGTGGGGAGGCAGGCGGCGCAGGAGGCGATGGATACGAAGATGCGGTGGCGTGGGCGGGGAGGTTGATGGCACTACATGCCAGATCGGACGATGCGAGGGAGGGTATCGGCGCCTTTTTCGAGAAGCGCGCTCCTGAATGGAAGACATGAACTGGATAGAACGACACCGTAAAAGCCAAGACTGACTGGTTGGAGGTTGGAAACGATGGAGCAGGCCAGAGGCCGGTGAGTGAGCGGAAGAGCAAGATACCGTACGGAGTACTGCGCATGCGCTGGAAGGGCTGACCAGAGGGAGAGGGGGAGAGCTGGACAGAGTATGGAGTACATACTGTAGTTTGCAAGCCTCAACCTCCCTGACTGCGTCGTCTCTTCTTCTCAACAGCATCTCACCGAGCTCTGTCTGGAACATGCCTCGAGCACTGGGGCGGGATCTGCTCCATAGTGGCAGTAGCGGGGCAGGAAGAAGTCAATGATGAATGTTCTGTGCTTCTTTGACGCAATATTGAGCTATTATGGTACCGTTCCCGTCCCTAACCAGTGTCTTCTAGACCTTCTCATGGATCGTCGATAATACTCCTCCCGCTCCTCCTGGACCTGAAGAATGCCAGAGTCCTCCCAGGGATCCCAATGGCTCATGGCGAGCCTCGACAAATCGACACGGTCATTGTGGGTGAGTTTGTGCGAGAGCGAGAGGGGCGCGAGCGACGGCGATAAGGACTGATTAGATTTCTCTGCCTCGTAGGAAACGGCCCCTCGGCGCTGATTCTATCCTACATTCTTCACGGGAACATCCCCTGGTACGACGAGTCGAGTCCGCATCCTGACCGGATCCTACACGACAAGCTCGTCCGGTCTAGCCATGACCATGACTTGCTCAGTCTCGACATCGACGCCGTGACCGACCATTTCGCAGCCTCGAGGTTCTCATACTCGACTCAAGCTCTCCCCGTCAATGTCCTGCTGGACACGCTGGTGAGACCGTTGGGGGAGACGGACGACGCGCAAAAGAAAACATGTGTGAAATGGTGTCAAGACCCGTCCCGGGCAATCTCGCATCTGGTCATCGGGAACACGCCGCGTGCCGGCGGCCAATGGGTTGACGACCCCGTCCACGCGAGTTGGGATATCGAGACACTGAGCTATGCGGGAATGATATCGCTGCCGGGATATGGCTTTGACGTGCACTATGAGCGGCAAAATGGACGGCCCATGCCCGTCTATCTGAGACCGTCGAGGCGCGCTGTGGCAGACTATCTCGCCGCGTATCCTGAGCAAGCGGGAATCGGCGACTCGATCTCCAACGGAGAACAAGTGTCCGGGGTTTCGCGACATGGAGATGGATTCTACATTGCGTCGCATAACCTCGTGTGCAAGAATCTGGTCCTGGCATCTGGTATCTTCAGCCACTTGATCCCGCCGCCGCCCTCCCTGCGACCCCTCCTGCGCCTACACGACGACCATCGCAGTAGGACCGGCGCCGGCGCCGACTCCGGCTCTCTCTTGCTGATTGGCTCTGGCTTCAGCGCCGCGGACGTGATCATCTCGAGTCCTCCAAACCAAAGAATTCTGCATGTGTACAAATGGGCCCCGTCGACGTCTCCCTCTCCTCTCCGAGCCTGCCACCAGCAAGCATACCCCGAGTACGCCGGAGTCTACCGACGGATGAAACTCGCGGCGATGTCGTGCTCAGCGTCGAAAGACAAGAGTCCGCGTCCTCGTCCGCGACATACCCACGCCGACTTCGACCTGAGCCGGGATTGGGCTTCGACGTACGAGGGCCTCCCAAACGCCGAAATCACCGATGTTCAACTAACCGATGACGGAGCCGCTTTGGTGACCTTCCAGATGGGATCCGCACCAGTCTTCCAACGCCGAGTCAGTTCTTTTGCGAATGTGATCGGACGACGCGGCTCGTTGGATTACCTGTCATCGGAATTACTGAGAGAAGTCATGCCACAGACGTCCGGGGAAGACAGTGGCCTGATCTCGGGCCAGACCTTGCGCGAGAAGGCGAACGAGGACCTCGAAGTCGCTCCCAACATCTTGATCGTCGGAAGTTTGACCGGTGACTCGCTGATTCGCTTTGCATACGGCGGATGTGCCTATGCCGCCGGGAAGATCGCCAGCCGCCGACCGACTGCTGTGACGGGGCGGGCCAACGATGTGAACAGTACTAGTCTGAGTACGGAGAAGGACAAGAGCTCGAACGGGATCCAGGTCTCGTTGAAAGAGAGCTTAAGCCGGTGTCAGACCCCCTCGCCGCGGATTCCCGCCATGAACGGCCTGGACGGACACGCCCCGAGTCCCGTGAGTCTGGCAGACAAAGGCACGCCGTCGGACAGATTGGAGGAGTGACCAAGTCCCGGTTGCGGAAAATCTCATGGCGATTTGCATAAAGATAAGATAGATAGATGGTCGGGCCACTTGGACATACCCATACCCATACCCATACACTTTTCGATTCATATTCATACTCATACCCCATACACTTTTCGATTCAGATTCATACCCATACCCATACACTTTTCGATTCAGATTCAGATTCATATTGCACATATTGATATTTCCAACCAACATAGGCCACGGAGCCAGGCCACGAGGAAAATGCGTGCCGTATACAAGACCGATTGACTCTAGCTAGAAAAGCATTGCATTGTGTCTTGCGACAAGTGAAATTATGGTAATAGTCAGGGAGGTAGGAATAGAAAAGATGTTTATCGACACAATCAACTAAATATATTGACTGTGTCCCTGACTGTGTGTCCTTAGCTTGATATCGAAGAGGAAAGTGAGATAGATCCTCCCTCGTCTTTGCCTATCAATTGAAAACCGAAATGTCCCGCTGAATTTGATGTTCGACGCGAGTTTCCTCTACCGTCCTTTTCCCTTTCCTTTTCCCTTTCCTTTTCCCTTTCCCTTTCCCTTTCCCTTTCCCTTTCCCTTTCCCTTTCCCTTTCCCTTGCTCCCCCTTTTCTTTTTCGTGTTAGCTAGTCTGAATTATAGATTCTAACGTCCTATCGGGAAATCATACCTGGGCCAGGGATTAGATTGACCTTTCGAGTGATACTGATTCTCGAGTATTACTGATCCTCAGAGTACTCCGTAATACTGATCCTTAGAGTAATACTGATCCTAATATTCGGAGATGCTGATCCTGATATTGATTCTAATACTGATACAGTTCCCCTACCTAATATACAGCACTCAAAGCCCCTCTTTGGCAAGCATGTCGGCGACGCCGAGGTAAAAGGCCACGGCGTTGAAGTTCTCTTGGGCGAGGCCGACTCTCGCAGCGATGCGCTTGAGGCGATTGGTCCAGTTGATCAGGTCCAGGTGGGTGACGCCCATCAGGGTGCCCATGTAGTGGCCCCATTTGGAGGAGTAGACGGACACCAGGCCGTCGTTGGGGCCCTCGACGACCGACATCAGGTCGTGGGTGAGGCGGAAGAAGCTGAAGAGGTGTGGGGTGGCGCTGGCGCCGTAGCTGAAGTAGCGCACGGCCGGGTCGTCCGGGGTGGCCGGGTTGAACTTTGTGGTGACATAGGCGGTGGTCAGCTGCGAGAAGGCGCCCGAGCTGATGTTGAGCCGGTCGAGGGCGCGGAACAGCCGCGGCATCAGGTCCGGGCCGATGTCGCGGAAGACCATGTCGGCGGCGGACGAGCCGCGGTGCGGTGTGGCCACGGTGGTCAGGCTGCGCACCACGAACGCCGACGGCGGCGGGCACAGGCGCGAGATTAGGTATCGCGCGTCCAAGCCGCCCATGCTGTGGGCCACAATGTTGACCTGCCGGCCCGGCAGCTTGTGCGCGATCTCCTCCATCAGCACCGCCGCCCGCTCCTCGATGCTGCCAGTCCGGGGCACCGCCGTCGTGATGCATTCGATCCCGTTGCGCCCAAACGCCTCCGTGATCCCGCGCCAGTAGTGGATGCCGGGCAGGTACGGTCCCGCCAGTCGCCACTCGTCGAACCCCATCAGCCCGTGAGCCAGCACGATCGGGTGCTGCGGCGTCGAGTACCGCTCCTGGAAATGCGCAAAGTCGTCCGCGATCAGTCGGCCCAAGTCGGAGAACCGTCCGTCGATCGGCTTTTCTTCTTCATTGTTCGGTGGCGTCTTGTCATCACCGCTGCTCGAGCTCGAGTTCGAGTTCGACTTGGTCGACTCCTTTGTCGCCGGCTGTGGCCGTGCCGGTCCTGGTTCGTTGGACGTCGATTGGCATCGTGTTTTGACACTTGGACGGCATCCTGGCAGCCATCGTAGCCCTCCTGGTCCTGGTCTTGGTCTTGGTCGCAAAGAGGCATGAAGGCACCGAGCCCGCCATGACATGCTCCACTGTAGTGATTGAAGTGTAGCACGACGACGGTGTCGGGGTGGAAAATTGCTACCAACAGACGATCGCGGGTGCGATTATGCCACAAGTATAACAGAGATACAGAGATGCAGTTGACGCTGGTGATACTCGATGCGTGCAGGGGAATGTCGTCATGGCTGTCTCCGTGCTCCGTACTAGTACTAAGACAGCCTCGTCCGAAGATACTAGACGGTGTACAGACTACAAACTCACAGGAGGAATCGTGTTGTTGGTCTGGAAAAACAAAAAAGGCAATTCTCAAATCAACAAGGTCCGTATGAGAACTCGGCAGGCTGCTCAAATCTATGTTCATTGCCCTTCCCATCATTGCGCCCGTCGTGGCTTGTAGTCCCTGCCATCAACCCAAACCCACCCCAGCCAAATCTCCCCTCTGCGTGTAGACTCAGTAATCGAAACTTCCTGGACATACACTGTCCATCCTCAATCCTCAATCCTCCACTGAGATCTTGTCAGGAACGTCGGGATGGGGAGTCGTGACGGCCTTGATCAGGTCCTCCACCACTTTGCTTCCGTATTTTCCCCCGGCCGCGTCGATCTCCTTGACCTTAGCCTCTGCTTCCTTGTTGGCATCATCTTCGGCCTTCTTGTTACCGCTCGTTTGCTATCCCATCCGTCAGCATGATGGCTTGTATTGAGCCGTGGGGGTTGGCCGACGAACCTCTGCTTCGAATTTCTTAAATTCCTCTTGCTTCTTCCGTCTGTACTCTTCAATTTCCTTCTGTGCCTCCGCTTTGGCGTCCTTTACTCTCTGTGTCCGGTCTGCAAGTGTTAAATGGGGTTGTGAGAATCGGCAAGGGCTGTCATACACTCTCTAGCTGTACGAGGCGTTAGCAGTATACAAGCATGGTTGACTGAACCACTTGCCTTTCTGGACGATCTTTTGTGCTTCTTTTTCTGCCTGCATCCGAGTCAGCAACTGCCACACGATCGCTAAAGCCTGGCTGTCTAGACGTACATCAAGCAGCGTCTGAATACCCGCGGAGTTCTGGGCAGACTGCATTCCTATCAGCGGGAGAAGTGAGCATGGTGGACGGTGACAAACCATCTTGGAAACCGGCTCGCTGAGACTTGGGGTGAGCAAGACGATAAGGCGGAGGCACCTGGGTTGCGAAAGTTCTATTACAAAAGAAGAGTTGGCTGCGGTGGACGGCTGAGGCCTGTTCAATGCGCCTGTGACGAGCTTGAAGCTGCGGAACTGGAAAAGGTTTAGTGGCAGACTCTGGGGAAGCCGCCGTCACTCGCAGCAGCAACATTTCTCATTTCTCATTTCTCCCGCCTAATTAATCCATTTCTATTTCTTTTGCTATACTCCGTACACTTCGCATTTACGAGAGCAGTCTTCCCTGATTCTTGATTTCAACAACTCTGCTCACCGGACCCTCCGCCCTCGCCCTCGCCCTCGCCCTTGCCCTCGCCCTCGCCAAGCATGTCTACCGCATCCAAAGTGACTCTGCTAGGCACCATCCTGGGCACTGCCGGCATTGTCGCCTTCGTCCACTGGGCGCAGACTGCCGAACAAGCTGTATGGACCTGTCCCATCCTACAGTGCGCGATGCGAACAGCACCACTGACCATTTCTAGGCCATGCATGCCGGAGTTATTCGAGACGTTGAGCAGCAACGACTCAAACGAGAACGGCAAGCCGATTTCGAAATGCAGAGGCGGCTCGAGGAGGAATATAAAAAAGTTCAGTCGGTACACGACAGTACTCAAGAAGCTTGACCAGACTGGAGAGCATCTTTGTGCACCGCAGCCGACACGTACACAGAGGCCATAATGAACAATGGGCCACCCTTGTCAATCCACTTCCGACCGAGGGTTCGGGCACATTGCATACGTACTTGCATCGCGGCTCAAACACGCCCCCTGAGCACTCAGGGGGCCGGCCGGCTTCGATCTAGACGGTACCTCTCTTGCCGTCGGAGCAATGTCCGGCTGAGGCTGCGAAGAGGCGTTGCACGTGCGAACATGTCTACAATGCGCGAACCCGCACACTCGGCCAATATGACGGCCAGTCTCGTGCCGACATTGGTGGTATGAATCCAGGACGCTGGATGTTGAGGCCACTGACAAGGAAGACACCTCCCAGCACGGGTCCGCGTCGTGCGGAAAATGATCCGGGAAAGACCTGAAGTTCGGCCCTGGGTTAGGAATCGTCTGTGCAAGGCGGACTTGATCCGAAGCTTGTCAAGACGACGGTTGCGCGAGATGGATCAGATCCTCGGACTGTGAACAGGCGAGCGGCCCGAGTGGACTGCATCTCTTGTGGTAGTCCTCTGGGCTTCCGTGATATGTGAATCGAAGAGCCCTAATATTGGCTAGATCCCCATCTGGGGCCAAGGAAACAGGGAAATGAGATATATCTCTATTTACCTACTCAATAAGAATGGCTCGGCAAATGAAGTCAGTCAATCATATACTCTGTACATCCAACATCCACGCGCAATCATGTCAGCACCAGGACCACATTGGTGACATCGAATATCGATCTCGGCCACGAGTTTGATGTAATAATATGTGCGAGTCCAATGAATAGAATAGAATGCGAATCAAGATACTGCCAGTGCCGTATTTGACCTCAGGAACTACATAGTTGCATTCTTGCCTCTAGAGGCGACTGGTTCTTTCGAGAGAGCGAACACAGGATACGGATACGGATACATTTTACATAGCTCAGCTGCCCTTTTTTTCCCTATTCTTTTTTTCTTCTTTCCACCGACAGTACGTACTACGCACAAAGACGTTGACGTTGACGCTGGCGCTGACGATGGCTATATTTAGGCTATATTACATTTCTGTCTGGTCTGTCTCTGTCTCTTTACATTCACATAAAGCGAAAGACGTTTTCGCAGCCCTGGTTGGACATCAGTGTCCAACGCCGCCGACCGCCCAATTGTTGAATTCTGGGTCGCCGGGAGGGGGGAACAGGCCTCGATCCTGGCCTTGTCCGGGATTTGGAGGTTGAGCTTGAGCCTCAGCGTGACCTTGGCCTTGATTTGGCTGTGGTTGACGTCTCCTCTCCTGCTCCAGACCCCTCTGTCGGGCCTGGCGGGCGTAGACTAAGAGGGCCAAAGCGCCGGCGAGGGCGACAATGATCAGGCTCTCGACCAGGCCGTCGTCAAAGTCGTCCCACTCGTCGGCACCGTAGACATCCTCGCCGTGCTGCTGGTGTTGCTGCTGGTTGGCGCCCGTCTGCCCGGCGCCGTTGGGCTGTCTCTCTTGACGTCCCGTAGCATACTCGGCGTCGCCGCCTGGCATGCCCGGGTCCGCATAGGCCAGAAGATCGTCGTCGTCGCGGTCCCTAGCTGCGGCTGCGGCTGCGGCCTCTTGCGCATCCATCTCCTCGGCCGCGTCCAGGAATCTGTTCAACCACTCAGTCCAGGTCTTGGGTCTTCGTCTGTCCTCGTCGTCGTCGTCGTCGCGGATCGAATTGACTTTGCCGCCGCTGACGCCGTTCCACCACGACCGGAGGCGTAACTTGGTCAGCGCCAGCGTCACAGGCAAGTAGGCTTCCTTATTCATCTCCAATGCGAGATCGTAGTACCGTTTGGCCATATGGAAGTCCTGCGTGACGGAGCCGATGCCGTTTTCGTGCATCCAGCCCAGATTCCAGAGAGCTTGGGCGCTGTGATGCGACTCCGCAGCTGTCGTGTAGCACGTCGTGGCTTTCTCGAGGTTTGCATGAGCTTCGGATTCAGTGTCTTTATCGATACGGCCACCATTGTTACCGATAATCTTGGGGACATGGAAGAGAGTTGTCAGTCCTTTGCCTTTGTGGTGGGCGGAAGAGGCGAGCGAGAGGTAGTAGTCGCCCATTTTGATCAGAGAGTCTATGTTCGCCTGCTTGGCTGAGCGTGTAAAGTACGCGAGGGCGAGCTCTGAGTCGTTGAGGAGTCTGCTGGGGGACGAGCCTGGTTTTGTCGACGACAGCAATGGGATATCGGGAAGAGAGATGACGGACGTTTTCTTGTCGAGCAGATATCCGACATTGGCTTGAGCATTTTCGTAGCCATGCTCGGCTGCCTTGATGGCCGCGAGGAATGCACGTCCAAAGTCGTCTCTTTCGTAGGCTGCGTTGGCCTCGATGAACGGCGAATGCAAGATCTCAGCTCTCTCAGCAACCACCTTGTAATAGACGGTTGCAAGGCCGCAATTCCGTTCGCGACCGACACCCTGGTTCGTCAATTCGGCGAGGTAGTAAAAGGCCTCCATGACGCCCGCGGCGGCCGCAAGCTCGAAGTATCTGCCTGCTGTGTCGACATCGCCCTGGTCCAGGAACAAAACTCCAAGAGCGGACTGGGCAATGGGTAGATTCTGCTCCGCCGCCGCCTTGAGATATGTCCCAGCACGCACTCCATCTTGAGCCACGCCGAGGCCGTCTCTATACATCAGCCCCAGATGGTACTGTGCGAATGAGTCGCCATTCGCGATGCCGCGCTTGAACCAGGTCTGAGCCTTTTCATAATTCTGCTCCATGCCTTCCCCACGGAGGAACATACGTCCAATATATGCGGCAGCCTTGCCGGCCACTTTTTCAATCCCCTTGGGAGATTTGGGATTGACCTTCCCGTCTTTGCCCCAATAAGCTCGGGCGATCTTCATGAATTGGCGCTGTGCCTTTCGCATGTTCCGCCTGTAGCCCCTGGGGGCATCATAATAATGTTTCCCAAGCGTGAGCATGGCGTTGTAATCGCCTTGGCGTTCCCTCATGTCCAGGTATTCCAGGACATAGTCGACATGCGCGGTGTTGAAGTTGTCGCGGGGGGCGTTGAGGCCTGAGCTACTCACACTGGCACCCTCCCCGTAGATTCCGCCGTCGACCTCAACCCATCGATAAGCATTGCGGACAAACGAATGTCCGCCAGGAGGGCCAGACTGCCAGTAACCCATTGCCTTGTCTGCCACTCTTTTGTAGTAACCCACGGCCTTGTTGCAGTCTCTTGGACACCCGATTCCAGCGTGGTATCGGAATGCCAAAGTCATCTCTGACTGAATGTTGTCCTGCTCCGCTGCAAAGGTATGGTATAACAACGCCTTGGCCTGATCCCTTTCCAGCCCGCCGATCCCCGTAGCGTACATCAAGCCCAGCATGTACTGTGCGGTGTTGTTGCCGTCCAAGTCAGCCAATCTCTTGTATCGAGTCATTGCCTCTGTGAAATTCTGTGGGTGCGAGAAGTTGCCGTAGAAGTTCATCTCGGCGAGGAGGAAAATGGCATCTGGATCGTCAAAGGCGGCGGCTTCTTTGAGAGCGTCGACTCCCTTCTTCAAATCTCCTGTGATCCTGGGTGTGTCATTCTCATGGTCGCCGTCCTGGCGCGACGGGGCGTTCATGAACAAGGCGCGGAATATGACTTTGGTATAGTGCCATATCGTCTCGAGCATGCCTGTCGGGTGGGCAGAAGTTACATTGTCTTTCCATGTGGGCTCAAAGTCTCGCAAGATCGACCAAATCTCATGGACAATGTCGTTCCCGCCCTGAGCCCAGTAGTTCTGCTTTTGCTCTTCGCTGGGCACGAAATCGGTCGGCGCTTCACCTGGGTCGGATATACTGCTTTGGGCTTCGACGGAAGTTCGAGGAGCGGGCTGGAGATACGAGACCGCCAGAACAAGCGCTATATCTCTCGTCAGGCCACCGTACAGAGGCAAGCATCTGGAATACTCACCGAGAAGAAGTGCAACTATGGACCGGATTCCTGAAGCCATGGTGGCAGCTTGAAGCCGACACGTTACCAATGTAGCATGTTTGTTAGATGTGAGCAATTGAGGCAAGCTACAGTTACCTTCTCAGACTCTAGAGGTTGCAAGAATGGATCACGCTTTAGGCATCCACCATTGCTCATGACCTCTTCAACGATACTAACAGATGGCAAGACGGTTGGTTACGTATCCCGTTTCGACAACGGAGTGACGCCGCCCTACATCACCTCGTACAGACGAGGCGGGATCACGTGGCCAGATGATGCTGACTAAGATCATCTCGGCGAATATGTACGAGTGCAGCGAGTGCAGTGCCGTATATCCATCTCTGGTACCGCAAGGCTGTGCTGGGCAACGAGGCCACTCCTGAGGAGTCCTCTCCATGGATAATATGGACTCATGACAAAAGTGCATATTTACCATTTCCACCCTGTCGGCCTAAGACTGCTGAAATGAAGGCTATAGCTAGCTACTAGGCAGCTGAAGAAGTCATCCCCCAGCCTCGTGCCTCAATGCCTCCAACCTCGAACATCACTATCAGCTAGATCGTTCACCCCCGATAAACCGGTCGCTCTCAGTTGGCCACGTTAATCAACATCGACTTTACGCTCAGGTACTCCTCGATGCCCTGTCGGCCACCCTCTCTGCCATAGCCACTCTCTTTGACACCACCGAAAGGACTCTCACACGCACTGAGCAGCCCAAGGTTCACGCCTACCATGCCGACTTCCAAGGCTTCTGTCACCCGCCACGCTCTAGGAATGCTCTCAGTAATTATAAAACTTCCCAGTCCTACCTCGCAATCATTTGCCAATTCAAGGACCTCTTCCTCGGTTTCAAACTCATACAAACCGACCACTGGAGCGAACGTCTCTTCCCGCGTCGTGATCATTTCTCGATTCATGTTGGTGATGACTGTTGGTTGAAGGAAATATCCCTTGTAATCCGTCAATGGTGACCCGCCTAGGATGACTTGACCACCATGTTTCTTTGCATCTGTCATAGCATCAGCCTGATTTTTAAGATACCAACTCTCGGTGCCCAACGGGCCGCTTACCGTTGATATGATTCATGGCCTTCTCGATAGCACGTTCGTGTGTCAATGGACCAACAAACACCCCATTTTCAGTACCAGGGCCGACTTTGAGGGACTTGATCTTGGCTGTTAACGCCTCGGCGAATTTGTCATAAATGCCCTTCTGTACAAAGATGCGGTTGGCAGTTACACAGGTCTGGCCCGAGTTGCGGAACTTGGCCAAAATGCAAGCTTCCACTGCCGTTTCAATCTTTGCATCGTCAAACACAATGAACGGACTGTTCCCGCCCAACTCGAGGGATAGCTTCTTCAATGTGCCGCTGCATTGACTGGCAAGAAGCTTGCCAACTCGGGTGCTGCCAGTAAAGCTGAGTTTGCGAACCAACTTGTTTTTACACAGAGCCTCGCCTACTTCGGCGACTAAATTGAGGGTGGTGATAACGTTGATGGTGCCTTTGGGGAAGCCTGCCTCGCGTGCGAGGACAACTTGTGCCAGCGCGCTTAAAGGGGTTTCTCCCGCGGGCTTCCACACCGTCGTGCATCCGGCGGCCAGTGCTGCCCCGACTTTGCGGGTGATCATGGCAATCGGAAAGTTCCAGGGGCTCAGACAGGCCGCCACCCCAACGGGCTGCTTGAAAGTCAAGATGCGCTGGTTGAGATTTGCTGAGGGCACGACCTCGCCGTGGACCCTCTCGGCTTCTCCCGCGAACCACTCGAGGAACGAGGCAGCGTACGTGACTTCGCCCTTTGCTTCCGTCAAAGTCTTTCCATTTTCGAGGGTCAGAATCAGTGCCAGGTCGTCGGCGTGTTCAAGACAGAGGTCGCTCCATTTCCGCAACCACCGAGCCCGCTGGCGCGCACTCGTCTTTTTGTAAGATTTGAAGGCTGCATCGGCTGCTTGGACAGCCCTGTTGGCATCCTCGGCGCCCATCTCTGGCAGAGTCGCAATCTTGTCCAGTGTGGCTGGGTCGTAGACATCAAATGTCTTGCCCGACGCTGCGTCGACCCATTCCTCGTTGACGTATCCTTTCGTCTGGAACAAGTCCTTGCGCTTGAGATCGCTCAGAGACTTTGGAGCCATGACTTCAGCTTTCGATATGTATATGTGAACTCGGGAGAACTGGTGAATGGATGGCTCTTGTGTTACCTTGTCGGAAGGCTGCGAGGAAGGAATGCCGTGTGTGCAGAGCGTACAGTGCTTCTTCTGTATAGGGCAAGGACCCAGGGGACCTGGCAGTCTTTATGCCAACCTCCAGCGAGCTCTTGCCCAAACATCTACAGAGTGCCTACGACATCGGCAGCCACCCCACGTCAGTTGTTGGAGAGGAACTTCCATTGTGCGGGGGAACAAGGGGGGGTAAGCTGACTCGAGGCTCTTGGGGCCGAGGTAGGCGATATGATTCCGAGATGATCTCGGGGACATGAGGACATGAGGACCTCTTGGTCAAGTTTCGAGAAAGAAGGGAACCACCATGCTGCCCTTTCGAGATGAGTACTGACCAACGAGATGGGCCTCTGATTTGATTTTGGTAGAATCTCGGAATCTCTCATCTCTTCGGAACGTCCGACGCCGATACCGGCACCGGCAGACGGCCTTCCCAGGAACTTACAAGCCAGAACATGGTAATTATGTACATGCGTACGGAGTGTGAGGCTGAAGAATCTGTGATCGTAAGGCTTTCACTTTCACCACCTCAAGAGAGAGGCAGGACACATTTTCCGGGGTAGGGGGCTAGCCTCATCTGAAAATCGCTGTTGCTCAAACAGACCTCACAATAATGTAAACATAGCGACGCGTGGCATGGTGGTGGCTCTCCCATGCGGAGATTACTACAACTGCATGTATCGTACACCTTTGAAGCCAAGTATGTAAGTTGCCCCTTCAACCCCGTGTCGATGAGGGAGTGTCCTCGAGCTGGTTGATTTTATCATGCCTAACAATCTAGGCCTCCTGAGCCCAATAGTGGCTGAGACTGCAACCTGGCTTCGCCGCGCCACAATCCATTCCAGGCAATTCTTACTTCCTTCTGCCAATAGTACAGATACTCGGTAAAGCAGCACACCATGACAAGTCACCCGAAGGCCGCCAAAAATGCTCAGGGGCTCGGCTAAGACCAGAATGGCGGCGGCCTCCAGTCTCTAGTTCCATATTACTTTTTACTGGTGCAGCTTGCTTGACAAGACCCCTCCTTAGTCCTTACTGTACCAGTGCGCGAACCAGAACGTGTCAAATTTGGGACGGGGACGAACGCGCCCACGTGGAAATTGGGCTTCCCCTGGCGATTTTTGCTATTCCTACTCAGACTCACCGGTTGAGATAACCAACACCTCTGCTCAGCTGACCCTTGCAAGCCTCCGTTGCTCCACTGAGAGGTCGGACGCAAACAAGCCCTTAAGGCAGGGCCTCGTCTCAAGGCTCAAGGGATTACCTTTGTGCTTAGGATATTCGATACAAGTCCTGTTATTATTGTTACACATTCCAAGACCGACCAAGACATGAAAAAGCATGCAAAACTTCGCTAGTACAGAGTAGCGGCGCTGGGTGGATCAGCCTATCGAGCCTCCACGTTTCCTGGGTCTCGATCATTCGGCATCCAAGCAACCCTAACGGTAAGGCAAAAGCCACAGCTCGGCTCGACTGTTGGCCTGCCTAATAATTCGACTTAATGTTCAGCTCCCACATGCCAGCGACTGCTTACGAGGAATCGTGGCGTTCAGAGCTGACGCTGAAAGTCGCTTCCAACATCCAACAGTGGCCCTAGGATTCCTGAAGCTTCAAGCTACCGCCAGCACAGGTGGTATGGCGGCGGCTAAGGCTTCACTGAAGCACGCGGAAAGACAAGGCTTGCTTGGTCTAGAACTTGATGTTCACCCTCATGGCAATGGCCAAGTCTCAAGCCACCACTGACAGGAGAAACAGGTGCTCTTGGCCTCCTGAATCCTAAAATTGAATTGGCGTCTCGGCCATTTTATGATAAGAACGAAGAACGCCCAAAGCTTAAAGGTCTCAGTTGCGCAAGTGACGCGAGTTTGACATTCCTGACATCTATCCGCCGTGTATCTACTATCTACTACACATATTGTGCTGTTTACCGAACGGACGCGCTCCTTTGTCGCTGACGCACCAGCTTTACTGTTGTTGAACATCTCGTCGTTTCGTTCACTTCGCGTATCGTTCTATGATGGCCTCCAATACTGGATATGGCCTCCAGATTGGAATCGTCGGGGCTGGTGTTGCTGGGCTCAGCGCTGCTATTGCTCTGAGGAAAATCGGACACAATGTTGAGGTGTGTGCATGCTCCAATGAGACGCATCGAAAGAAAAGAAAATGCGGCTGTTGGCTCTCTCATCTTGATATTCTGTCGAAATTGGGGCTCAGATTCCAATGTCCTAGGTCTTTGAACGGTCTCAATTCAAGAATGAGAACGGTGCCGCCGTATCACTGACGCCAAATGGTGGCCGAATCTTGGAACACTGGGGCTTTGATCCCATTGCAGCCGGTGGCATTGAGAACAAGCAGGTACGTTTGTACATGGAATCGAATGTCCTGTACCCCGACTGACAGCCCGCCAGGCTCGTCGACCAAAGGGGGACACGCTTGAACCGATGGCCCCGACCATCAACTTTGCCAACGTCGAGCAGCAATTCGGAACCAAATGGTACTTTTACCATCGTGTCGACATGCATCGACGCCTACGAGAAATGGCTGAAGCAGCTGGAGCCATCATTCGACTCGGCTCCCAGGTGATGGACGTTGATCCGGAGACTGGATTGATTGATCTCAAAGACGGCTCGCGAGTCCAGAAAGATCTTGTCGTTGTTGCAGACGGCCAGCATGTTAGCATCTTCCCTTGGCCAATATGACATTGTGTCGGAACTAACCTGGGCCCATCAGGACCGAGTCAATGCAAAGATTACAGGGAAGGAGGTGCCCATGCAAAGAAGCGGGCAGACCGCTTATCGGTGCCTCATTCCCATGAAGGACATTTTGGAAGACGAGGAGACCAAGCCCCTGTTTGAAAACCAGCCGGCGGGATTCTGGGCTCCGGCTCTGCCAGCCAAGGGAGTCATGGTCGTATCCTACCCCTGCCGAAACAACGAAGTCCTGAATGTGGTGGCAGTTCACCGCAAGCTGGGTCAGCACACCTCGAGTGATGACGACGTGATGATCGATGATTGGAATTTTCCCGCCACCCATGAGGATCTGGAGAGGGTGCTCGATGGGTTCCATCCCAGTGTCCAGAAGCTCCTGTTGAAGTCGCCCGAGGTCAAGGTGTATACGCAAATGAAACGAGAACCCCTGAACAAAATGACTCGAGGCAAAGTTGTCTTGATCGGCGATGCCTGTCATCCTATGCTCTTGACTCATGCACAAGGCGTGTCATCCTCGATCGAGGACGCGGCTGCCCTCGAGCTCTTCCTCGCCGATGTGCCCAGCTCCGAGAGCGTCGCCTCCGCGCCGTCTGAGAAACTGCTACGACGTTTGGAACAGTTCGAACAGTTCCGGCTGCCGAGAGTTTGCGCCACACAGATCATGACTGATCCCGTCGTGCCAGGCTCACAGGCTGCGGCCAACTACGCCAAACAAGAGGCTGAGATCCGCCAACATTACTCCGGCCCTCTGCCTCCCACCGGGTCCATGCCGCACAGCCCAGCTATCTGCGAGTTCTTTTTCGGATACGATGTAAGGAGGCAGGCTATCGAGTTCCTCAACGAAGCGAAGGCCTCAGAAGAGGCGGCAGCTGCAGTCGACACCCCGACCGTGAGCGTGGAAACCCCGCCGATTGACGAAACGAAGGCTGTGGAGGCGCCAACCCCTACCCCTGCTCAAGCGCAAGTCGATGAAAGGGCCATTGAAGTACCAGCTGCGGAGACCTCAACCTCATCTATTGACCCAAAGAAAGGAGTTGTGGAAGCCCCAGCGCCCGTTCAAGAAGCAGTCGAGGAACGGGTGGTTGAAGAACAAGCACCGGTCGCAGAGCTGAACGCAGCCAACCCGATGGAGCAGAGAATCCTAGACCTGGAGCGCAAACTGGCAGAGATGGAGACCAAACTGGCGCAATTAAGTGTCCACATCACTACCATGGAGATTCAACCTACGCCTCCTCCGACGCCGCCAGCTTCTCATGAAGTGCCAGCGTTGGTACTGTCGGCCTGAGTTGGAAGCCAGCCAGCATCTTCGCGGTGCATTGTGTCTGGCGGACGCCCGCCCTTTCCACGTCTTCATAATTATTACTGCCGCACTTTTATATCACAATTCGCCAACCGTTCCTCCCCTCCGATGGTGTAGTGGTACAAGAGACAACACAAGGTGGTACGCTTAGGCGTTTAGAAAGAGTCTCATGTTCAACTGGGTGGATATTACTATCAACAACAATCAACAATCGAAAGAACCTGAGTAAAAACAGGTTTCACTTACCTACAACCTCCGCTCGAGGAGTTTGTAGGAGAAAGTTTTTTGTCTTTTGGGGTTCTCGTCGACCCTCAACATTCAATATTGATATCGATATCGGTATCGAGCAGAGAGGGTCATGTGATGATGGTTTTGGTGTTGGAGATGGTTTTGGTGTTGGAGGAGCGTCGGGCATTAATGGTACTGTAAGCTGTAATAGTCTTTTACAATGCCGATAGCAATAGCACTTGATCCAAATCCTGAATGCCCTATACAGGTGCAACCACCTCTCGTAATTGCCTGCTGCTCAATGCCTGCCACGCAGCCTCGTCGAGCGGCAGCCTGGGCGCCACTTTACGCGACCCGCGTCATGCTTGGCGCTGGACTCGCCGATGCAATTTGAAGCTTACGGTCACCTTCCACTCCGTGCTACTGTGATTAATTTGAGCCTTGTGCACGTACCGAGTACTCCATACTCCATACTGTAACTCAGTAATTCTCACTTTTCATCAGACTCCAAACCCGATGGCGGCACTGCTCTTACGCAGTACCCCAGCACTCCAGTACTTGCTCTGATTGTCGGTTGGAATGCGAATGCCCCATAAAGACCCAGATCCGACGCCTCAGGAGCCCTCAGAATGCGTCTGCGTCTCTTCATCCAACGACACTCGTTGCCCTCCGTCCAGATCGTGTACACAACCGGCACCGGCCCCGCTTCACATACCAAATCCCCAGACAGCACCATTGCAGACCTCCTCCTCGATGTGAACGATCTGGTACCGCTCGAGTCGGCCGATGGCGAGTGGGGTTTAGAGGACTATGTCGTGGAGGTTGTGCCCGCCGCCGATCCCACGGCCGCATACGAGTGTCTTCATTTCCAGACCTGCGAGACGGTCCTGAGAGAAGACGACGAGGTGGTCATACGCGCTCTGTCGTCAGAAGAGCTCAGAATACGGAGGCTTGGAGGGCGACATCAGATCTCTGCCGACGGCAAACACCTCATTGACGGCGTCACCTTTGGGAAACAGTGGTTAAGGAAGGGCAGCCGACCCGGAATTGTGATACCGCCTCGGAAGAGAAGAAGGCTCCTGTCGGCGGAGCCAGCGGCAGACTATGATGATGATGAAGTCAGACAACTTCTCCCTCCTCCAGAGGGCTATCTGACTGCCCTAGTCGCGGTCACTGGGGACGACGAAGATGAGGACGACGAGGAAGAGGACGAAGATTATGTTGACAACCCACTTCAAGTTGCTGTCCGCGCAGACTTTGATGATGCGGATGCTGGATCAGACGACGCTTCTGAGATATCAGATGGAGCCTTGCAAGAAGCGGACCTGTCAGCTGAAGTTAGGCTTCTTCTCGAAGATGCTGCCGACATTGAAAAGTCGGGCAACAGCACCGCGGCCCAGAAACTTGTGAGAAAGCAACTGAAGAGAAAAAGAGGCCCTGACGATGAAGGCGAGGAGCAGGAAAGCGCCACTTTTGAAGGCTTCTCTACGCCGCTCAAAGCTCCCAAACACATGCGCATTAGTGATGAGATTGAGTCAACCACTGACTCGGATGCAGACAGTATGCTACAAACGATAGCAGTCGAACAAGCTGAAAAACGTGCCAAGAACCTCATTTTGGAGGAGGAAGACGAGGAAGACGATGAAGACTTTGATGAAGACATTGAAGATTCGTCAGATTCTGATGCATCCTCGAATTCCGAATCTTCTTTTGGGTCTGGCACTGACAGCGAGATGGAGAAGCTTGCTGTGGAGCAAGCAAAGAAACGAGCATTGAATCTGATTCGGGCCACTGAGGACAGCTCTTCTGACGACGAAACTGCTTCTGACTATGCCTCAGAAACCTCTGGATTAGAGACCGTGGATGAGGCAACGTCCAGCTCAGGGTCAGACTCAGGGTCAGACTCAGATGCAGACTCGGACTCAGACTCGAACTCAGACTCGGACTCAGCCTCGGATTCAGACTCGGATTCAAACTCGGATTCAGACGATGACAGTGACTCGGATTCCGACGTCTCTTCTAGTTCTTCCGACTCCGACTCCGAATCTAACTCTGTGGTGGTGAAAGTGAAGCAGGAAACGAAAAAGGGAGCTACATCGACGCCCGGTACCTCTACTACCCTCCAACATCCGACGCCTGGCTCTGAGGGCCCAGCAAAGCCGTCAACCGTACCGCCTGGCGCAGGAACTGCGAGAACGCACAATAACAACAGCAGAGCGAAAAAACGGAAAAGACTGATATTTCTGAAAGAGCAAGGTATCTTGCCCAAGGATGCTGATTTTCACGCGTTGGCAGCATATGAGGCAGCGCAGGAGAACAAAACTGGCGCGCAACCCAGTTCTGAGGAGCCAGGACAGTCTGCCGCAGCCGGTCAAACCGCCGAATATAACGTTGAAAAACAGAAAACAGTGGGTGTCAAAGCAGTGAACGGTGCCAGTAAGATTGGCTCTGAAACAAAGACTGCTGGAAACTCGACTTCAGCTCTAGATGCCGTTGTGGCACCTTCGGCTGAAGTTTCAGAGACAGTGCAAGCAGAGCCACTTCCAGACGTGGAGCCTACCCCGAAGAGAGCTAGACTGGACGTGGCCAGCACGCGAAGAATGGTGTTCACCTCTCTGGGATTGAGGACTCCCAAGACTCCTGAGGCAGAACAGGCCTTGAGGGAAAAATTATCCAAGTCTATCCGGCCAGCTAAACAACCTAGCAGCTCTTCTGCCGAGGCCGCTCTGCCCTTGCCGCCGAACGAGGCACAGGCTGAGCACGAGGATGCTTGGAAAGAAAAACTCATCATTGCCGCTGTTGAATGCGAGCAGCAGGGGGTTGTTCTCACTCCTCCACCATTCCCTTTCCAACAGGGCTGGACTAAGGCTTCGAGTGATAACCCCACCAGGAGCAAACGTCGTGCTCGAGATCAAGCTCAGTATTATGATGACAACCAGGGCCAGCTGCAGGAAGACCAGCAAGATGGCTTCGCACCTGACGTATCGACTTTGGGGTCCGGAGACCCCCATCAACCAGACGATGTTGATAGCTCCAAGTTGACGCCCAACGGTACTGCAGATATACCCATTCCGACAGACTTTGAGACTCTGCCTCATCTCGACCAGGCTAGCATATTGCCAGGAGTTGTGGTTGCCTACAAGGAATTGCATGTCGATGCTTCCACAAATTATCAGCCCGAGATATCATCATTTCGAGTGGGGCGTGTTGCGAAAGTGGATGAAGATGGTAATGTCTTTTTAACCTTGGCTAAACGCTCCCTCGAATCTGCCTCTAAAAAGAAGTATGACGAAAAGACAGGGGAGAGAGTCTATGGCAAGTTCGAGCTCCTGTCCGAAGATGCTGATGAGCTATCCGATGATGGCTTCCGGGAGATACTGTTCTCCAGCATGATATCGCCCAAGCTCGTAGAGCCGTCTTCGGTGGAGGTGCCGAACAGCAACCAGAGTAGTGGGCTGAGGGGCGGAGATGGTTCGGATTCAAATCTCGACGACCAATATGCAGCCATACTAGAGACTGTCCAAAATATTAGGGACTTAGATGCATCGAACCCCACTCATGTGTCTGTGGACGACATTGCGACCCCACGCAGAAAGGAGATCTCAGATATGATCAAGGACGCCGGATTCAACTCAGCCCTGGATGAGCAACTCCTACCTGTTTCGGTGCCTTCAGATGAACCTCAACTGTCTGGAAGCACTGGTAATTTGCAGGACCAATCTCAGGAAGAGTATCCTCACCGGTTTCGCAAAGACTCTCCTCGGGTCAAACTCACACACTCGGCAGACGGTACTTCTTGCGAATTGGACGAGAGTGCCAATGTTGACGCCCGAGCTCCTCGCCACTTGGAATCGGAATTGACACAGTCTTCACCGCCGATAATTCACACCCAGGAAACAGTCGAATATCCCCATATTTCGCAGATCGAAATCAATAGTTCTGGACCACTTCTGACTGTAAAGAGCAGCTCGCATCAGGATGCGCAGCACATCTCCCCAGTGCATGGAGTTGAATTGTCTTTCACTGCTTCAGATCAGCAGGATTGGGTCAACGAGGCAGACCATGACAGCCAGGGCGACTCGAATCGGCCGCAAGATTCCTTCGAACCGTTGGAGTCGCAGGTCCCACCGTCTCAATCACAAGAGGGTGGTCAGGACGAATCGCCAGGCAGAAGAGATTCTTTTTTAGGAGTACCTGGGTACGATGGTCAAGATTCCTCGTACCATGACGACGACGCTGCCAGTGAAGATGATAGTGACGATCTTCCGTCCATACAGGAGATAACGTCAGGCCACCGACAGAGCAAAAGTCTCCGATTACGCCCAGGCAACGAGATCCGGCAGCCGACGAGAAAGTCGCCGCGTCAGGCCCAGAAGGTGCGAAGCTCGACTCCTCCCAGCAGTCTCGATCTTCCACCATCCAGTCAGCCGGTCATCAAACTCTCACAGAGCCAACAAGAGCCTCGCCTCTCGCAAATCCCGGCTGGATCCCAAGTTATTGACTTGACGGGGTCCAGCAGCCCGCAGAAGCAGGATGATGAAGAATCCCGGACCGGTATAGGCAGAAGGAAGTGTTCTTCTCAGGCCAACGGCACCAAGAAACCGGCTCCCAAGGCGACGAAGGATGAGAATGGAGTCGGGAAACGGAGGCTGCTTACTACGAAAAAGGCGAGAAGCTATTGGTAGATGTCTAGGCCTAAGCCTTTCGAGACAGGAAAGGGGTTAAATGATATTCAATATCTCAATACGAGCGCCAGTATAGAGACGGGCTAGGGCTTAGGCCTAGTCAACACCGGTACATAATATAGTACTAGTATGATGGCTATGGTCCTACCTCTACTACTAGTATGATGGCTAGAGTCCTCCCTCCCTCTACTACTGAGCAACGTGATTTAGACTCTTGCCTGGACAGAGTATCCGTACTCCCTTCATACTCTCAACACACACACATGCCTCTCCAGATGGAAGCCTTAGCCTCTGCTTTGTTTTCACTTTCCCACTTTGTCCAAGCCAGTTCCATTGGTCAGGATCTTGTCCTACGAAGAGGTTTCGGAAACAAGTCAGTGAGTGAACAGCCAGTGAGTGAACAGCCAGTGGGTGAACAGTCAATGAGTGAAGAGGGCTAGCTAGGGGGGTTTGACGTGCCGGCACAAAGGACCGTCCGAAACTAACCTTGACAAAAGTCGGCACGAGGGGAGGCAGGAAGCGTGTCGCCGTGGCATTTGCTCCTCGGAAAGTCTTGCCCGTGACGCCGTTGAGGACGTCTTGCACCACCTGCTCTGCAAAGACGGCCGGCTTCGATGTGGTGAAGTTCGCCGTTCCCTGGATGAGGTGCTCCATGTATTCTTCCGTCGGGAGGTACTTCGACGTCGGGGGCAGATTGGGCGGGGGGGATTTCTTGGTGATCAGGGTCGAGATGGAGCCGGTCACCACGGTCAGGACCTTGACTTGCAATGGGGCAAGTTCAATGCGGAGTGTTTCGTCGAGCGCGTGGACGGCGGCCTTGGAGGCATTGTAGATGCCTACGTTGTGTCAGTGTCGGCGTCAGCCATAAATCATCCGGTTCGGTTCGGTTCGGTCCCCGTTCCACGGAGCAGATAGATTGGGTCGGGAGGACGAAGCAGATGGATCGGGTCAGGAGGGCAGGTGTGCAGTGCAGGCTTAGGCTTAGGCTTACCGGAGAAAGGGGGACACAGATATGCGGCAATGGAACCAATGTTGACCAGGGTGCCTTTGGCCTGTATAAGAAGCGGCGCAAAGGCTTGGACCATCCTCACGACACCCCAGAAATTGACCTCGAACATGTCCTTGGCCTGGTCGATGTCGTGGTCCAGCACGGGCCGGAATTGCTGCTGTCCCGAGTTGTTGACCAAGTAGTCGAGTTTCCCTCCCGTTCGCGTCTGGACCTCTTCGACCGCTGCGGCCATCTCGGCGGGCTTGGTCACGTCGAGGGCAAGCAGCGTGGTGTTGGGAAGCGTTTCGAGGCCGGTCATGCTCGACAGGCTCCGTGCTGTCGCGAAAACAGTCAACCCTCGTTTCTGGAAGTGCTGCGCAAGCGCGTAGCCGATCCCGCCGGCACTGCAGCCGGTGATCAGCACGGTTTTGTCAGGCATTGTGGTCGGCTCGGCTCCGGCGCGCACTTGGAGGAGTGGGAAAGAGGGAAAGAAAGGTCATAAGGCGAGGGAGGAGCTGGACAGGTGCAAGGGCAGATGCCATGGTTCTTGTATCCTGCGATGTACAGTATTTCTCCTTTGTCCGGTGGCCGTGAAATCGGGCCATCATCAGGCTCCATAGCTGACAGGGCCCATGTGGCATACCATATGGAGTACTGAATACCATCCTGGCATATGTACGGAGTATGTGGACTCCATATTTCGTCGAACATGTCTCGATTTGGTTTGGCGTGTCAGCAGCCAGCAGCCAGCCACGTCGCTTGCTGGCCTTGCAGTGCCGCTGCCACTGCCACCACCTCATCCTCCTCCTCTTCGTCTGCTCTTGTTTCTCTCCTTCATCCCCTGTGTGTCCTATACTGGACAGTGCTGTACTCACCAGAGCCCCGATGCCTTGGTCCTATCAGGCGATTGCTGGCCGAATTGCCCCATCATGGACCTTGCTCCCGCCGGTCTTGACTTGAAACCGAGCCCACACCTGACCGAGGTAAGAGAGTGTCTTGAGTGACTTCTAGACGAGAGATACCCTCCTAACGGGCCAGGCAGGCCATCGACCACAACGATGACTGGACAGGGCTTTCTGACCCGGCTGCTCGCAGGAAGTTGCAGAACAAGTTGAACCAAAGGGCCAGGCGTAAGTTAGCAATCGTAATCGTGCAGGACTGACTTAACCTGCCCCTCCCCTCCCCCTGCCACGATTGCGTGGACTCCGTATTGATGTTTGGGCTCGTATCAGGACGTCGTCAAGCACCCAACAAGTGGACCCCGGTCCAATCCAAGATCAACGATGTGAGGCAAGGCCACCAAAGGGCTCAGGGACAGAGATTCGGCACCGTGACACCTCCTGATCAGCCTGCAAATCCGAGGATTCAGGCTGCCATCCCAGCGACCACAGCCTTAGCCCTTGGATTTGCCAGCTTGCAAAACGACGGGCCGCGATTCCCGCGATTCCGCTTTCCTCTTTCTTCCGATCATCTCATCCACTTGATTCATCACAATGTCTACCGAGCCATGTTGACCAACATGGTCACTCTCCGTATAACGCCCTTTTTCACATGTGAGCCTCGCTCGAGCCGGGATGAATGTGGAATCATCTCTGCACTCCCTCTGCCCGCTGCTGTGCCTCCACCGCTTGAACCAACTGCCTTACAACAGCGCGTTCATCATGCCGCTTGGATTGATCTGTTTCCCCTGCCTGCTTTACGAGATGTACTCATTCGTGCACAAGGCTCATTCGATGAGGATGATCTGTGCCTTGACATCCTTGGGACCGTCAGCATCAAGCAAGCGGGTCTCAACAGACCATCCGACCCCTTTCGGCAAGACCTTGACACCAGTGGCGACCGCAAGGGGATCGTTGTCTGGGGCGAACCTTGGAGCGTGAGTTCATGGGAAGTCGAAGAAGGGTTTGTCAAGAAATGGGGATGGCTGATTGGCCACGGCTGTGAAGAATTGCATCGCTCAACCAACAAATGGCGATGGTACAGAGGGGCAGAACGTATCGACTGGACCAAGTTGATTGTGCAAGACTGCAGCTAATGGGGGGAATTCCTGACCTGGTACCTATCTAAATCCCCTCGGGCCAGCAGGGGATCGGGTTTGAAGTTTTGCGGCGTACCACAAGCCTACATCGTCTGTCGACCGACCGAGGACTATACGCTGCAAGATCTGCCAATGCATCATCCGGACGCCGACATTGCCGGCGCGAACGCACACACTCTGGACGTACCAGTCGCCCATTCCGTCGGGCTGCTCTCGAGTCGCGTTTGGTGATATACGTTTGTTCAGCAGCGTTTGCACCAATTTACCTCAGTTCTTCTGGTCAGGTGTGGTCGATTTCTGTTCCTTGTAATTGAAGATGGCATATCTGGTCAGCAACAAGACACTGACAGCGCGGCTAGTCGACTCGGGGCGTCCACGGCCGTTCACAGCAAGCCATTAGGCGTCGAGGCTGATTGCGGCACCAAGTCGCAGCCAGCCAGTCAGTGGCAGGATGGGCCTGAAAACAGACACTCCGCCAAAGTAGGCATACATGAAGAAATGGTGGAAGCAATTCAGGAAGGCGAACAGTTGCCAGTCTACCGCATTCAGGACTCGGAAGTAAGTCAAAAAGGGGGTGGTAAGATGGTGGAATGCCACATAGGAGCCGATCGAAGGGTCTGCCACTGGCCACAAGACCCAAGATGTCCACGTACTCGTAAAATTTGGACAGGTGGAAGATGTAGGCCAAATCCAAAGCAGAGCTCTTGAGCGGTGCATACGCATATGGAGACTCATACTCGTGGAAACCGACCACGTCGTTGAGGATCAAGCAAGGTGAGAGCGAGGGAGAAAAGGACGTAGATCTGACTGTTGAGGCGGATCAGAGTTCGAGCGACGGCAAAGGCGCCATGGCGTTCGACGTGGCCGCGGAGTGTGCTCCAGAGGAAGAGAAAGGGCGCGGTGGTCAAGATGACGCCCTGCAACGAGGTCAGCGGCTTTCCTTCAACAGTCATATTGCCTGCCAGAGTCAGTGCAAGTGCCAGTGCCAGTGCCAGTGCCAGTGCCAGTGCCAGTGCCAGTGCCGAAGCTGAAACTGATGGCAGCTGGGTGCCTCTGCTTCTGCTTCCAGTTCGTGACCTCCCCCCAGCGTGCACAAGTGTGGTCTGAGGTAGCGATAGTGACAAGCAGGAGAGTGGCCAGCAGCGAAGATATGGATATGGATCAGCCAGCGACGAGGGGAGGAGGGAGGAGGGGAGGAGGGATAGGATGCTGCCATGGCCATGCAATTGTTGAAGGATATGGAAGACTTGACATGTGTTGAGGTGACTCTGAGTACTGCAATGCGCCAAGCGAGTCGACCACCTCCTGCGGTGGCTGAACCTGATGTAGTACTCGTATACGAATAGTGGTCACGGTGGCTTCATTATGGCCATATAGCCAGCCCTATTACTCCCTCTGATCAGATTGTTCCTCCTTCTACGCAAGTTCAACTCTCCGTTTCAGGATGTTCCTTGCATCGCCTTCACTGAGGTGATCCAACCCCATGTCGGCCAGACCCTGTCTCGCTGACTCGTTGCTCTCGAAGATGAGCCTTTCAGCATCCCAGAGACCCCATTCCTTGACATCGCCGTGGCCGTGACTATCATCCAAGGTGTCACTCACGTCCTGTTCGGCTGCGACGTCCCCTTCGTCCTCAAAGCCCCATGCATCCTCTTCGCCGTTGGCCACCCGCCGGGACTTCGTAGCATTGAGTGAAAGGAGGAACACGGCTTCTTCGAGCCGTTTCATACTCGCACCAGTCACCACTCGCAGCTTGCTGTGGCGTTCAAGGCTTTCCTTGATTGAAGTCAGGTCTCGCTTCAACTGTGATGCTCCGGTCGCGGAAAATGTATGATGCATGAGGACATTGTCGTATATTTGCCGTTGCACTTCCGAACAATAGTGCCTCGTGATTCGGCGCATTGAAAGAGGGGCAAGCACTCGGGTCAGGAAGCCCAGGAGGACGGCGGTGGTCTCAAAAAAGCCGTCCAGGCTCGGGGAGGGTGACATTGAGAGAGGGTCAGAAGGAGTCTCCGCCAGAGAGGACCACTGAGCATACTTTTCATAAGGCCTGAGCGAGCCGTGTATATTGACCTCCAGTGCTCGGAGGATCTCGCCCTCGGAGCGCTCACGGAGTCGGCGATATGCCAGTGCCGTCTGATCAAATAGACCACTTCCATCCATATCTGCATCGGGGTCTGAATCGTTGGCTTTGATGGCGGTGGAGGTTTTCGCTGCCACATCGTCAACTTTCAGATCCGTCCCAACCGAGGCATTAGCACCAGTGTTGGCTTTCGCCCGATACCGCAACTCGTCCCAAAGCTCCAGGAAGAAGACATCATCACTCCAGTCCGACATCTTGCGCTCGAGGAACTCGGCGCTTCCGTAGATTTTGGTCAACGACTCCAGCCCCTTTAGACCGAAGGCGTCGGCTTCGGATCCACCCTGCAGCAGCCGTCCTGCCGTATGCGAAGCCACCAAATGGGCCTGGAGGGCACCATGTAGGTGATTGTGGTAGTCGTCGAAGATGGACAGTTGGATGTCCAAGAGAAACGTCATCTTCTGGCTGAAAGATGAAAGACCTCGATATCGATCTGTAATTGTCTCCAGAAGGTCATTCACTCGGATCGCGCCTTTGGTGGGCTTGGTCTGGGTGGCATCCGCGTCGAAATCGACATCGCCACTGTCGGCGGCATCCCTGATGCTTTTGTATCGCGAGAGAGCGAACTCTTTCTCCACCGCAAGCCACGGGGCAAAATAGCCATGTTGGTTCAGAATAATCCAGGTGATGCCTTTCCATTCTGTCAACATTCTGGGAACTGGGACATATTCCCAAGAATCCCGGATTACAGTATCAAACGCCATCAGTTCGTGCATAAAATGAGAAAGGAGCTGTGGCTCCCGTGAAATTTGTGGTAGGAAAGACAAGCATTTTTCAACGACCATGGGGAGCAACGCCGTGATGAGGGCTGACACGGCGTCCGGATAGATGGATTCCAAGGCCTCAGAGAGATGAGTTCGCTTATCCAGTATAGACCCAAGCATGTCCGAAATAAAGCCGCTGTGTCGCTCGAGGAGGTCTAGGACGTGATTGAGAAAATACTCTGGCTTGTCTAATCGGTTCGTGGGCTTCTCTCCGTAGAAGTGATAGTGAAATCTTGTTACCAGAGGCTGGGCCATGACCTCCAGTGGAAGGAGAACGACTGGTTCACCGGCCGCAGAAGGCCGGTGATTGTCCCTGTCCCCAAGCACTTGGATTAAATCGGGTTCTTGTAGCTGCAGGAGCAGCTCAACCTCTTGCTTCCATTTCTCTACCACTTTTTCCGATGTATTCAGTTCTTTCCCAGGCCACTTCAGCTGCTCCAGCGTCTTCCTCAGGAGGGCCTCCAGCACATCCTTGACCTGCGCATACAGTTCCTGGGATTGCTGCTCGAACATGTACAACAGTTGGGGTGCAGCTCCTTCTGCAGCTAGCTGTGCATCCTGCAGGTGGTCCGAGAGTCTCCGGAAGTGAAGGTAGGCTTGGAGTGATGTGGCCGGACGCTGGGAGAGGTTTTGTTTGGTCTGGTCGCGCAGAGTGTACAACTGCTGAACCAATTCAAGGTATCCCTGGGCGATTTGTAGATTGCGCACTTTGCTCATTCGCGCCTCGATCTTCTTTGTGGCATCATCGCCGGCGTCAGACTGCGCAATGTCCCTAAGCCGCTGCTCGAGATCACCTCGCTGTGACTGGAATGCCTCGGCCCTGGTCCTCAGCGCCTGCGACCGCTCTTCAACCCGGCCTTGGGCCTCTCGCTGGTTCTCGCGGGCATCTTGAAGCTGTGTGACTGTCAGAACTACCACAGGAAGCCAGTGTCGGGGAGTGGCACCTGTTTCCTCAATAAATCTTGCTGCTCCTGCACCCTTAACAGCAGACCGTCGACTTGCTCGAGATCGGCCTTAGTTTGTATCTTGTCACTCAAATAGTCCTCCACTCGCGTCCAAATATCGCCGGTCCTGCTCGATTGCAATTCGGCCATATCTGCCTCCAGTATTGGTAGTGTTGGGCAGAGGGAAGGTTGATGAGGTGGCACGAAATATTTAATATTGTGGAAAGGTGTCGCTCGTCTTTCCCCGATTCCCCGGCCGAAACGCGTCATTATTGTCCGTGGGGAGCGCGACCACAGGCCTGAGGCACCAAAACCGATGACGCCGTCAATTCTACTGTTGCAGTAAATAGTAAATATTGATTCTGCAGCCACTTCTGCAGCCAAACAACATGGTGGCCAGATAGTCGTGCTGTCGTCACACCGACGGCATTGTCGGTGACTCAGCATACATGGCGAGCCCGGCGAAACGACGAAAGAAGAACGATTCTACCGCCGCCATCGTCCAACACCGTAGCCTAGATTTCTTCTTTCGCAAACAAGCCGACCAACAGGAGAAGACGGCTGACGGCCGTGCACAAGATGGAGATGCAACGGCCTCCGATCACTCGTTGCTCGAGAACGACCAGAATTCTCTGGAGACGGCTCTCACAGACGAAGAATTGGCCAGGAAGCTGCAGGAAGAATGGGCTAAGGAGGACGACGAAGGATTCAATCCACAATTACCGTCACGACAAGCTGAGGACAGCAAGCACAAGGCTGACGAAGGAGAAGCGAAGAGCTTTGTTGCCGCTGCGCCCGATCCGCCTGCGCCCACCCCTGAGGTTGGGCCGAGGGCCACTGGGACACAGAAGAGTGTCCTTGGCCTCCAAACTACGGCATCGGACGAAGACACGATCACCTTGACGATACCGTTCGACCAGAGTCCTTTAACCTTCGACCCCTCCAGATATGTGTCCGAGCTGAAAGGGCATTGGCAAGCAGACGGAGGCTGCGCTTCTTACGCTCTCCTGACCAGATGCTTTGTCCTCATCAACTCGACTCAAAGTCGGATCAAGATCGTGGACACGCTCGTCAACTGTCTGAGGACCCTCATTGAGGCTGACCCAGAGAGTCTGCTCCCAGCAGTGTGGCTGGCTACCAACTCCATTTCGCCCCCGTATATCTCGCTCGAGCTCGGATTGGGAGGGTCTGCGATATCGAAAGCGCTAAAGAAGATCTGCGGACTTGATAATGCAGGCTTGAAGAGTCTCTACGACAAATACGGGGATGCAGGTGACGTGGCATTCGAGGCAAAGAAGAGACAAAGTTTCACTCTGCGGAAGCCAAAACCTCTCACAATCAAAGGTGCTTACCAGACCCTGGTCAAGATTGCAAGCAGCAAAGGTCATGGGAGCGTGGAACAGAAGCAGAGACTTGTGGAACGTTTGTTGCAAGATGCTCGAGGGCCGGAGGAGAGTCGATACATTGTGAGGACTCTAGTTCAGCATTTGCGCATTGGCGCCGTCAAGACAACGATGCTGATAGCGCTGGCAAGGGCCTTTCAGTTGTCCCGTCCAGCAGATGCAGACTTCCCAGTCAGAGACCCTGCAGACCTTGCCAAGCTGAAGAAAGACGAGCTCGCCACTATTTGGGCGAAAGCAGAAGAGATGGTGAAGACTTGTTTCGCCCGGCGGCCGAACTACAACGACCTTGTCCCTGGCCTACTGGAAGTCGGGGTGTCAGAGGAGCTGCTGTTGCGGTGTAACTTGGCCCTGCACATCCCTCTTCGACCCATGCTGGGCAGCATCACGCGGGACCTGAGCGAGATGCTCACCAAGCTTCAAGGCCGAGACTTCAGCTGCGAATTCAAATACGATGGTCAACGCGCGCAGGTCCACTGTGACGAACGAGGGAAGGTGTCTATTTTCTCCCGCCACCTGGAAGTCATGACAGACAAGTACCCCGACCTGGTGGCCCTGGTACCCGAGATCCGTGGCGACGGTGTGTCGAGTTTCATCCTGGAGGGAGAAGTTGTCGCGGTTGACAGAAACTCCGGGGAGCTGAAGACCTTTCAGACACTCACTAACCGGGCGAAGAAAGACGTGGATATCGGGTCTATTCAAATCGATGTCTGCCTGTTCGCGTTCGATCTGATGTACCTCAACGGCGAGCCGTTGCTGGACCGCCCATTCCGGGAGCGCCGAGCCCTCCTGCGAAGCATGTTTGTTGAGAAAGAGCATCACTTCACGTGGGTGCGCAGCATCGACGCGACGTCTGCAGACTCGGAGGTCGTGTTAGAGTTCTTCAAAGCTGCAACAGACATCAAGTGCGAAGGGATCATGGTCAAGGTCTTGGACAACCTCCCAAACCCTGATCTGGGCGTCGCTGCCAGCGGCGAGGCCGAGGGAGACGAAACGAGCGCCGCGGCCGCGGTCACGGCCACGCCTGTCACGCCCAGAAAAAAGGGCAAGAAATCCGGCCTCAACAACAAGAAGAGCCAAATCGAAAAAGAGCAGGAAAAAGAAAAAGGCAGCCGCCGGAAAGCGCTGCTGGCGACCTACGAGCCGGACAAGCGTTTGGATTCGTGGCTCAAAGTGAAAAAGGATTACGCGACTTCGGCCGACACGATCGACCTGATCCCGGTGGCCGGCTGGCACGGGTCAGGGCGCAAGGCGAAATGGTGGTCGCCGATCCTGCTGGCATGCCGCAACCCAGAAACCGGGTCGCTCGAGGTGGTGACGAAATGCATCTCGGGCTTCACCGACAAATTCTACCAAGCCAACAAGGACAAGTACGCCGAGGGTGGCGACAACGTCTTGGGCTCCAGACCCAGCTACCTCGAGTACGTGGGCCCCAGGCCCGACGTGTGGTTCGAGCCCCAGGAGGTCTGGGAGATGGCGTTTGCAGACATCACCCTCAGCCCGACGTACACTGCCGCGATCGGGCTGGTGCACGAAGATCGCGGGTTGAGTATGCGGTTTCCCCGGTTCCTGAAGGTCCGAGAGGATAAGGGCATCGAGGAAGCGAGCACGAGTGAGTTCCTGGCCAATTTGTATCGGAAGCAGGAAGCGAGGATGAAGGAAACAGGGCCGAATTGCCAGACCGCCCACACTCTCACAGATGTCGTGGGTGACGAGAACGAGGATGAGGATGAGGATGAGGTTCTTGAATGAGTAGCGGCTTGACGAGTAGGTAGATAGAGCTTGTGCAGATCCAATTCAGTCGATCAAATTGTCCGAAACAGTGAGTAAGTCCTTTTTTGTTGCATTGCCCATCATGTTGATGGTTGATGGTTGATGGTTGATGGTTGTTGGCTGTTGGCTGTTGGCTGTGTCCTGTTTCCTGTTTCCAGTTTCCTGCTGTGCCGTTTTGAATCTTCTCTTCTCGGAATGAATTGTTGTTATGTCGACTATACGTAGTACAGAAAATGAACATGATTCAGCGATCTGCTTGCCAGCTTGCTATGTAGTATATAGACAGTACTAATGCTGGATAAGACACCGTGCGATATCATGTAATTTAGGTATACTGGAGTACGAAGTGAAAGAAGTGTCCATATTTTCCATTGCCCAATATGCTAGGTAACTACCGAGTTGGCCTGGCCTCATGGTAAACCGCGACAGCTACCCTACCTCCTCCAGGCGTGTTATGAGGATGCAAGGTTGGGTAGGTAGGTAGGTAGGTAGGTAGGTAGGTAGGTAGGTAGGTAGGTAGGTAGGTAGGTAGGTAGGTAGGTAGGTAGGTAGGTAGGTAGGTAGGT